TTAAACCAAGTTTAAAGGCGCATGATTAGATAGTCAAAAGATATCCCGACACGACAGAAACTTCTTTTTCAAGCCAGCTTTGAAATATACTAAAATTCTCAGCCTCGTCGGCTACTTGACCAAAGTACGATTGCTCCTCTGCCGACCTCAATCCCATCGGTTCTGTCAGTAAGACCGACCTTCGGAAGTTTTTGCAACTGGCCCATGATGAGTACGGCATGACTGCCCTTGAATCGTGAGATTGATAAAAAAACTTCGAACCTAAACTGAAAACTTCTAAAGGGTCATCTCTTCGATACCGACTGCTGAGCTGAGACCCATGGAGAAATGGAGAAGTCACCCAGACGGACGAGGTTTTTTTCACCACATGAAAATGGAAACATTTTTGAGCTCCAGAATGAGATTGGCCTGACTTATGACGAGCTCTCGACGATGGGCCAACTCAGAAGACCTTCCGGCTTGGGTCCGTACGCCATGTTCCTGAGATTGTTGCAACTTTGGTCCGATAAGTACACTCCAAGCCAGGTTCTTTTTTTCACACTGTATGAATGGAAAGGATTTAGGGTGCGTAAAAAAATAAGATTTGGATAGGAAAATTTCTTTTTGCCATTGAATAAGTCCGCTTGAGAGTGAAAAAGCTGGATTCGACTCAAAATTGCCAAATTTTTGAATCAAAAAAATATAAAAAAATCATCTATTGTCACTTTTTTTAGCCGATATTTCACGCTTCTATCAAGATTAGAAGCTTTAAAGACGGTGAACAGAAAAAAAGAAATAATGGAAATCAAAATGAATGATCGAGAAAAGGCAAAAAAATAATAATAAATTTTTGGATAAAACATTTTTTTGGAAAACGATTTTCCGTTCAATGCTCACACCACATTTTTTTGCGCGACTTTAAAATTTTATCATTAGGTTGATTTTCTTTTGAAAAAGATCGGAAATTAGTAATTCGACGACCTTAAATGTTCAAAATAAAACAAAACTTTCGCTTTTTCAGGTAGAGGAAAAGGTTCAGAAGTTCTTCTACCGCTACCGAGTTAATCGCCACAAAGCTACTGTTTCAACTCCTGGTTTCCTCAAATTCCCCTTCTCTCTGTGAAGATCCGAATTTCCAGCAATTCACCTCGAAAAGTACAGTCCCGATGATCATCGCAACGACCACCGACCTTTCCTCTATCCTGATTTTTCGTTCCAGTTTGAGCGCATCCGCGAAAAGGTTCTCTTTCATTTTTGGGTTCTTTCAAACAACCAATTTTTTCAGGTCGTCGAGTTGGAATCGAAATCTGCTTGAAAGGAGCAATCCATTTTCCATCTTTTAATGTACATTAGTAGGCCACAATTCCTTGTTCTTTTTGTTAATTATCCTAGTTTGAATGTACGAAAAAGCTTTATTTCTCCCCACTGCTTTATTGATAAAGATCTTTTCGTTTCCCAGTGTTTTCTGTATGAAACAGTTTTTTGAAAACGAAGTATCATTCCGCATATTCCTTGGAAATTTTTCCGTTGCGCGCCATGTGTTCTGCAAAGCGTGCACGGTATTCATCACTTTTGACCGCGAAGTTTAAAAAAATTTTTTTCATTTTCATTCTTCGATTTTGCGTTCAAAGTCATTTTTTTCAAAGCTTGCTAACTTTTCATTTGTATGTAACATTTTTTTCAATTCGTCTGAAGCTTTCGAAGCTGTAAAATTCATTTTTTTTTTTCAAGAAAGAACGTTAAGGATAAGTATGGATTCAGAAGGACGTTTTGCATTTTAACTACCAACTGAAGTTTTATTGGCATGACGGACGTCGTCTCGGTTAATCGATCCTCATCTCTTTTTTATCAATCACTTTTCGCCAACTTGATCCAGCCCCTTGGTCGAAGCCCCGCAGAGCTCAAGTAAGGAAGTAATTTTATTCGGATCAAATGAGGATTCATTCAGATCTTATCGTACAAAAGTTTACTTGAAGATTTGTGATCAGAGAAACGAGGTCAGCGGCGAAAAGGTACTTTTTAAATTATATTTTCTATAAAATAATTTTTAAAACATATGTGCGTTTGTTAAGGAAATAAGAATCGAAATTAGCCGTCCAGACGATTATGAATTCCTCTACGCCGATTCTCTCAATCATGAAAAAGTATCAGGTTATTTTTTTGTTTTTTTTTTCTAATTAAAAAAACTTCCAGCAACTCGCCCACGACTTCGAACTGACCGTTGATTTTGAAGCCTTTCCAAGAACTCTTATCGACAAGCTTTTGTCGAAGACTGCTTGTGTTAGAGCCCTCGAGGCAGATTCATCGAGTAAATTCACTTTTCCACGATTAATTTTTTTTTAATTCAGATTTTTCAGCAAACGACCTACAGAGTGATGTGACACCCACGGAGATCAATCTCATTCTTGATCAAGAGCGATCAAATTGCGTGTGAGCTACTTTTTTGGTTTTCAGTGATTATTCCGCTTTTGATTTCCCGAGGTGTTGCGAAAAAAAGCCAAAAAATGTCTTTTCCAAACTCAGAAGGAACACAAAAAGTCGTTATTTTTAATTTAAAACAAAAGAGGCTCAGTTTCATTCGGATTATAAAAACCTTGTCAATTTTTCGGATCGATTCTGGCGTAGAGTTTCATTTACAAATAAAGTGTATAACTTTTTTTCTGTCTGTTTTGAATCTTCAATTATCTTCAAAACCATTTTTCCACAACTAGTTTAGGTCAAACTCGATTTTTTCCAAGTTAATGACGTTTATCGATTGCAAAGCGAAACTCAGTCCTAATTATTTCATGTTATTTTTTGCTGCAGATTCGAGCTTTCCTTCAAAACCCCAGTGAGTAAAGGAAGAATCGTCTCGATAAAGTTAGCGGCAGTTCGGGGCGAACAACTCGTTTCACATTTGCTCAACAAATTACGGAAAGTCTCCAAGCAGAACAACGATTTGCAGCGTCTATCCCAACAACAAAAGGTTTTTCCGTTAGACTAAATCTCGAAATTTCCTGTTTTCATTGAAGGTATCATACTTAGGAAGAGCTGGATGTGGTCCGGAAAGAAAATGCCGAAGTTGGGAGCAAAGTTGACCGTTGGAAAATGGAACGGGACGACGCTTTGGAGAAGAAAAAGGAGTTGGAAGAACAGGTCGAGGAAATGGAGGAGGATTTGGAGGTTTTTTTTAAATGATTTTTTGTCATTTCATCTCAGGAATGTCTCTTCATTAAATTTTCAATAAATTTTGTATTGTTTATCAAATTATAAGAAGCCGTCGTTCAGGTAAATATAATGCCGTGTTCACTCCAAAATTGCCATCAGAGAAAGAAAAAGATAACTAAATTTTGGAGAGTCGGAGAAAATTTCGCATTTCGCGGAAATTACTTTGAACACGGTATAACAAAAAAAAAATCGAAAAATGAATTCGAAGTTTCAAAATTTTTCGTGAGACGAGTTCAAGTTTCAAACACTGTTTTTTTAAAATTTCACAACAAATTCATCTCCAAATTTTCGTTATAACTAATTTTTAATGTAGCATATTTTTCATTAACAATTCGAGAACCATCGTTTGAGAACATTCCTTTAAATGTTTAATTTTGCGTTCTAAGGATTTCTTTGTGTCTAAATTTTACGCTGCGTGAACTTTTATACAGATCTTTTATACAGAAAGATTTACATACCCCAAGATAAATTTTCCAGTTACTGAAAGACGAAAAACGTGGTCTCCTCACTTGTGTCGATGAGTTGAAGGAAAAATCGGAGGAATCTGAGAAATTGGTCGACGAGCTCAGGTCGGAGGCCGAAAACAAGGATGAGCAGATTGCCAATCTCGCCTCGGAGATTGATGAAGTCGTCGCCATGGTTTATAGATATTTTTTTAAATGTTGGAAGCTATCGAATTTCATATCATCTATCTGAGAAAGATGATATGAAAATTTTAAATTTTGTCTAAAAGGATTGTGTTCAAAAACAGTCTAGAAACTTCACAAGTTCAAACTTCTTTTCCAAGAAAAATCGCGATTTTCGCGCTTATATTCAAAGTTTAGGATTCTGTGGCTTTTTGAATTTTAATTTGCACTTTTTGCTCGACCTATGGATTGAAGAAGTGAGGTAACTCTTAAAAAACGATTTGTCAACTTTAAAATTTCGGGGTGTTTTCTGAAGGTGTCTTACATAATCCTGACTGACACCGTGAATGACTGTTTGTCTCAAGACCTTTCTGAAGTTTTCCTATGCTCTTTTGAGCTCTAAAGAAAGTTTCTTCTAAATTTTGATCTAATCGATGTTTCATTCAGCTTCGAGAAGAGCAAGCTTTATCAACTCAACTGCAAAAGCAACTGGCCGAGAAAAAGAAAGAAAATGAAAAATGCACGGATTTCATCAATAAATACGTTAAGGTTTGCTTTCTTAGTTATTCGGCCTAATTTTTAGCTTTCAGAACGCCCCGGCCCAAAGCATCGACCTGAAAAAGCTGAAAGAACTCGAGGGCGACCTACGAGAAAAAGAGGATATTGTCATGAAATTGACAGGTTTTTTTTGAACATCAACAACCACAAACAATTTTTTTTTCAAGAGACTGTCAATGTTCAGCGGAAAGAGTTGGAGGAATGTCGAGATGAAATTGAGAGGATATCGAAGCTGAACGAGCAGCACGCTTTGGATTTAAAAAGTGAGTCAATAGACGAAAAGTTTAAAAAAAATGATACACTAGGCTTTCAAAGAATGATTTTCGTTTCTCAGTTATTCCCCCAAATAGTCATACCTCATCTCAGAACACATTTTTGGCCTTTGACTAGGAAAAAACTTAATAACTGGAATAAAAGGCCATGGTCCTGAATATCCAGAGATAATTTATTCTCCAAGGTCGTTTCGACATTCAGTTAAAAATAAAGAGCAGCTAGAGAGGATTTGAAAATACTTTTATTCTTCTAGAGCTCGAAATGTACCGAGCGACGCGAATTTTGTCGCCGAATGTCCCGCCGTCAGTCGGGCGACAGCCTTACACCCCCGTTTTCGCGCCGAGAGTCACTTTTGATCTACCGAACCAGGCGACAACACCTTTTGCCCCTCGCCAATCGAACTTCCGATTGGGAAGCACCCCGTCGGAGCTGGGAAGACCTTTCGCGCCCCTTCAAAATGTGAGTTTGTTTTTTTTTCTGTGTTTAGTACTGCTTACAAATTCCTTTCAAATTCTTTTTCAAAATTGTTTTGAGTTTTGAGATTAGCTCAATAAAACCTGAATATTAATGCAAAATTTTTAAATAATTGTTTTTTTTTATTGTTTTCACCATACTAACTGGATTTGAACCTATATATTAAAAAGAATTTTCTTGATAACGGCTTCTGAAAAAAAAAGTTTTAATAGACGTTAAAGTCTTGATAAAATAAAAAAGTTTGTTTAAAGTTCAATTCATCGTTCAAACTCCGCCCCTTATGCGTAGATCAAACCAATCAGAGAGCGAGCTACCCCCAGCGTTTTTGGGGCGGAGTTTGCTGCTTGACATTCAAAATCTGAACATATCTAGAAAGTTTTAAAAGATTTTCTAGAGGAATCAAAATATTACTACGCTACCAAGAATCCAAATAAATTTGGTTACAAAAGTTATCAGGAAGGTTTATGAAAAATTCAAATTATCTTTTCAGCTACAAACGCCGCCTTTCAACTTGTCCTCCCAATTGCCTCCAAAGATCCCAACTCCCCTTACGGCTCAGAAAATCGCTCCACCTACTGTACCTAATAAATGACCGTTCTAAACTCTTCTATTTACTCGACTTCTATTGTACATTATCACTTGAATGACTTGAAATTTATTTGAAACAAAGAAAAATTAAATTAATTGTAAAGAACTTGCTTGTTCAGAGCATAAAAAACGCTCCGTACAACCGTTAATATGATCAACCGGTTACGCCACGAAATATTAAATAAAAACAAAAAGTTCCGAAAACAACAGGCAAAATGTCCTTAAGAGCGAGGGAGTTGAAATTTTTTCAAATTCTTTTTTTTTTAGAGGGATGTGATGACTTGATCCAATTCCTCGTTGGTCACACGCTCGAACTGGCCTATCAGTCGGTCTAAAAAGTTTAGCGGTTCTTATGGAAAAATGTTTTTTTGAAGTAGATGAAATTTTTTTGCCGTATTTATTTGGTCTGAATTTGTAAAAGTTTTACTATAGTCGTTTTGAAACGTGAAAATCCATGGAACAGCTAGATTATTTTTAAATTAACTGAAGTCTTCTTGAAAAATTCAGCTCAAAGTATTTGAAAACAGGTAGGAATGACAAAACCCGAAAATTCCAAACCGACATAGTCCCAAATTATGAAAAAGAAACCTTTGGCGTCTCGGATGGGCTTGATGACGACGACTTCGACGTTGGCCGAGTTCAATTTCTCTTCCATAACTTGCTTCAAAATGGCCAACGCGATCTTGAGAGCTTCTTTCAAAGTGATCGCCTGGAAAACTGATTTTTATTTTTTCGATTTTTCTTGACCCACGTCGTGATACTGTTCTTTCAAGTTCTGCTCTGCTCCATCGCTGGCGGCGCCGATCGACTGAAAAAAGTGAGTTCGACAAATGAAAAGGATTACTTGAAAAAAATAAAAAGTTTATTTTTTTAAAATATAAAACTTCGATAATTTGTATTTTTCAAGGTTGCCCGTTTTTCTTTATTTTTTCGTATCATTAAGATAAGTTCAAATGAGAAACACTCGGGCAAAACTGGAGAGATCCCCAAAAGCTTTTCTCGAAAAAAACTCTGAAAGGGTCCAGCAGATGTTCTGGAAGGACAGGATCAGGCGTTATATCACTTAATTTCTGTATCTTTTTCACTTTCTCTAACAAAAAGGAACCTCTGAGGCTAAAAAAAATAAGCTCAAAAGCGTTTTTACATCCTTTTAGGAGCTTTTAGAAGGACCTTTTCACCTCCTTCTCAGAATCCTTCGAGGATCCTCAAAGGAAATTTTCGTTTTACCTATGATACAAAATAATGCAAAAAGCGCGCAAAATTTGAAGATGAATTTTCAAAAACTTTTATACGCCTTCTTCATATTCTCTCCATTTTCGACTTTAAATAGAACTATGCGTTAATAGATAGGCAAACTCAGAATGTTCACTAAAACGATCTGGGAATAAGTAGGAACTTTTTTTTCAAATTAAAGTAGTTAAAAAAATCAAACTTTTTGCTGGGAGTAACTGTACCTTATTGTCATTTTTAACAAAAATATCTATAGAAAAAACCGAAAAGATATGTTTTTTGAAAAATAACCTTAGCCTTGCAATCGATAAAAGTGCCCGACGGATCCAAATGGAAAAGTTTGACGCCTTCCTGATCGACGCCGGCAAACAACATCGCCACGCCGAATGGTCTCGACATTGATGCCTATCAAGAACAAGAAAAATTATGATCATTTTCCCGGTTTCCCAGAACCTTAACGTCGTCATCTCCAAACTGCAGGGCGAGGTTGGCGACGGACTGCGTGACGTCTTCAACGCGAATCTTGCGATTGTAGGTGAACCAGAAGTTCTGGGCCTCGATCTGCGCGCGTTCTACCAACGTCCGCGAGTCGGCGATGAGTCCCGCAAAAGTGACAGCTGAAAAAATGGATTTATTGAAAAGTAATAATTAAAAAGGCTTGAAATTACCGATATGCTGGTCGACTTTGCTGATTTTTTCAATGGCGTCATTCACCATCAACTTGGAGGTCGACCTTTTTTTCAGCGGCGAGAAGGACTCCTTCGGGGGTTCTAATGCCAATACTCGTAGATCCAAGCTAAAAAAATTTGATTTTTATTTTTTTAACGAAAAAAACAGAGCAATATATTTATTTTTCAAAATCAATAATTTTTTTCAAAAATCAATAACCTTAACGGCCTCGATGGCATATTCGACCTGGAAAAGACGACCTTCCGGTGAAAAGGTGTTCACTCCACGATCGTACTCACTGCGCGTCAAGAACATATTACCTAGGAAAAAAAAAAATCAAAAAGTGTATTGCAGACAAATAATCAACGAAAACGAGAGAGTAATAGAAAAATAAATTACATTCGCAAGTAAAAACTAAAAATTCAAAAAGGACGTTTCAAATGCGGATCAGTGAAAAAATATATAAACACAGGAGTAAAATCAAAATCTGGGATTTTCCCACCAAAACCTTCTCAAAGTTGCTTTTTCGTGAAGTATTCCTACATTAGCTCTACTCAAGTGGATAATGGACGAATCATCAAGCAACAAACGTCAACAGCTAGAAAAAAGAAGTGTGAAATCGCAAAAAGAAAAAAAATAATTTTTTTCAAAAGTCACGTAATGCGTTTTTGTCCCAACGTGTGCGCACCAAAGTGCGTTCGAGTACAGTAACTCACTGAAAAAATATAAATGATAAAAGTGAATCATTTTCAAGTGTCTCTATATTCTCCATGCTGCGGTTGCTCAGATTCATGAAATTTTGAAATAATGGAGGTCGAACTGGAAGAGGTTATTGCTGCCAAGTATGTAGCGAAATTTGAGGTTTCACGTTTTTCATTTTCTTGTACTCTAATTCAAAAGTTTAGACTGACGGTAGGAAAATATTATTTGAATATGATAGAATCGTTCAATTGAGTTTCAAGATTGTCTTTCATTTTTTTCAGATGCACTCGCTAGATGCCGATAAAACTTCAAACCGCTCAATAGAGGAAAAGGTGAGAAAAGCACGGAGATTGAAACAAATATCATTAAAAAAATACCCAGATAATAGAACAGATCGATAACGCTCAAATCCTGCAACAGGAAGGCAAAACGATGATCAAACGAGATGTCTCCTCAAAAGGGCGGGATGTAAGGTTTTAAATCAAAACTTTTGATGGCTTATTACAGAAGTGTACACATTTTTGAGAATATATCTTTTTCCTACAATGTTTTTCAAGGCTTTTTTTAAAAATTAAATTATTCTTCTAGGCGACGTTGAATGCACTCAAGCATTAAAATCCCTTCTAACGAATTACGCTTTTTTTCTACGCACGAAAACTGTACAAAATTTAATTTCTCAACAGATAAAAATGAAAATGTCGAAACACGGAATCGTCATTTACAACAATGAAGGAAAAGTCGCTTTGCGGATACCATTGTTTCAAATCGTGCTGGTGACTGCCTACAGTGATGAAGGAAGGTAATAATTCGAATACTGAAAATGATCATAATGAATAATTTTGATGGATTGAAGGCAAAATGGAGTGATACTCGAAAGTTCTCAATTTCATGGAGAGCGAAAAAAGTTCTTCAGTCACATTGTACAGTTCAACAACGACCAGGACGGCCTTCGGTTTTGTGAAGTGTTCAAAGTGAGTTCTTTTTCAATTACAAACTCTGGTTTATTAATGAAGGATCACCAAAGTTTTTGAGGTGTAGAAAAATGGTAGTCTTTAAAAAGAAAAATCAGATTTCAAGGCTTAAAAATGAAATGAAGTAAGTGTTTCGCCTCGAGACCTTTATGAATTATGCCTACACTCCTATCCACTCTAGCAATGAATTTTGGACAAATTTATTAAACTAAGTACTCCGGCTAGCGCTTCTGAATCAGCTAAAACATTAATAAGGCTCCACGCTTTGAAACGTTGAAAAATTGGCCAAAGTTGTTTTGAAAATAGAATAACGCAAATCACATGTTTAAAAAAAATGAATAAAAGCTTTCAGGACATCTTCCTGAGGGCAGAAGACGAGCAGGAGGCCCTACAGTCCGAAACCGAACCCCCTAGTCCTTCCATGTTCACCAAATTAGTGTAAAAATAAACTTCTCTTCGAAAAATTGCAATTTGTTGTTTGAAAGAGTTGTTGAACTAAATTATATCGAGCCATGAAATTCACTCCAAAGATGTTTTTTTTTGGGCAATGTGGTACCGTTCACTACTTCGAAAATCACCAGTAATTTTCTCAGCCACCGTCTTGCCATTGGGATTCGTGGCACTGAAGAAAGGTTTAAAATAATTAAAAGTAACCATCAAAAGAACCTAATATTCAAGAAGATAAGGAACATGAGAAAAGGGACTCCAAAAACTTCAAGTTGAAGAAAATCGAAGCAAGGAAAGCTGTCGTCACAGCCATGGTATTTTTGAGCTAGATCCAGAGACGAATGGAAATCGGAATTTGAGCAAACTGCGGGGATACCAGGCCTTAGCGTTGGCGTCACAGTCGACGGCGTGACTGTCTGGGCCGAAGGATTCGGCTACGCCAACGTCGAAACTCTCACCCCGTGTGATGCCAAAACAGTCAGATTTATTTCTGTTTAACGGTGAAAAATCCTTGAATGATCCAATAGAACGAGAGGCGAGGTTATCCGCTCCAATATTTTATGAAATAAGTCTCTGCGCCTTTGAAAATCACATCAAGAAAAAGAGATTTCAGAAAACAATGAAATTTGAAAGATTAATGGCATAACCAAAACGTAAAAAAATAGCTTGATGTTGTTTAAAATTAATACCCTTCTTTTCTGAACAAAGCTACATCTAATAAAACTCAGGTGATGAGAATCGCGAGTATCAGCAAGCCGATAGCCGCGACAATAGCGGCTCGATTGGTTCAAGAGGGGAAGCTTGATATTGATAAGGATATCAAGGTATGCCTTTGGATTCAATTTCTTCAAAAGTATCAATCAAAATTATAGGATTATCTACCGGATTATCCTAATAAAAAGTTCGAAAGAAGATCGGTTATTATAACTACACGACAATTGCTCTCGCACTCAGGAGGAATTCGTCATTATAAAGAGGAAAATGTTGGTTTTCTAAATTTTTTTTGTTCATTCTCGAACCCAAAATTAGTCAGAAACGTCGGTACGAACGAAAGTTGTTGTGAAACTGGACAGTCGAAACCTTTGACACTATACTTCGTAACTAGATTTAAACGAAACGTCCGCGTAATTGTAAAAAATAATAAGATTCGACAAATTGAATAATTAAATAACAAACGAGCCCTCTTGGCAACGAAAATTTAACGGGTACAAAAAAAACAAAAAATCTATTGTACATCTTTATTTGTAAAATGGTAAGGCCAATAATTCACAAACATCGAAGGCGATGTAAAACTGAGTGAAGATATATACGACTATCGTTTTTTTACATGTTTCAAGTAACAACAAAGAAAAAACAACCTTTCTATGACAAAAAAAAGGGCGAGATTACTTGGCTTCTGCGGTTTTCGCCTGTTTCTTTTGATAATCTTTCAACGCTGCTTGGATGGCATCTTGAGCGAGCACTGAAAACAAACAATAAAAATTCGAAAATATTGTTCGGAAAAAATTTTGAGACTGAGAAATCCTATTACTAGAAATAATAGAAAACAAACTTGAGCAATGAAGTTTAACAGGAGGAAGACACAATTCCTTGGCAATCTGATCATTTTTGATCTTGGAAGCGTATTCAACTGTTTTTCCATTTATCCATTCAGTTGCCAAGGAAGACGAGGCTATCGCACTTCCACAACCAAATGTCTTGAACTTGGCATCAATGATTTTACCGTTATCATCGACCTGAACGAATTAAATTAGCAGAAAATTTCAACACGGTTTACCTTGATTTGCAATTTCATGACGTCTCCACAGGCCGGAGCGCCGACTATTCCTGTCCCCACTTTCGGGTCATTCTTATCCAAAGAACCAACGTTACGCGGATTTTCATAATGATCAATAACCTGTAATTTAAAAAATAAATTCATACGTTAGTTTCAAGCTCACCTTTTCGTGATATTTTGCGACACCGGCTACTGTTGGAAGCCGAGAAGCAGATGAAAGAATCTGCTGAGTTTTCGCAGTGAGTTTTAGGGCCATTTCTGAAAGTTAGAAAATTTTATAAAGCACGAGAAAGTTGTTTTGGTTAGATTTTTGGTGGTGTGAGAGCTGAAAATAATACTCTTTCGCAATTCTCAATGGAGCGAAATTTGTGTTCGCACAGCGCTAAACGAAGTACGCTGTTTCTTCGCGGCTCAATCAGGCTTGTGCGTCAGGCCGGGCGGCCCGGGCCGGCCTGGCCCGGGCTTTGGGCCTCATTTTTCAGAAAAAGCCCGCGTGGGCTCGGGCCGGGCTTCAAAAATTTAAAATTTTATTTAAAAAAATTTTCACCGAAATGTTACTTTTACTTTTTGAAATCATGGTTTTTGTTAAACTTTAAGTGAAAAAAATGAGCAAAAAAACTTAAATTTTTTTCGTTAAAAAAACTTGTTCTCCGACTAGAAAAAAATTGGGCGTGTTGGGCCAGGCGGGCCATTTTTGAGGCCCGCTAAGGCCGGGCTTACGAAATGATCGAAGGGCCGGGAGGGTGACGGGCCGGCCCTCGCACAAGCCTGGGCTCAATTAAATCAATTAAACATGAAAATTGGATAAAAAGTTTAGAAACCGCTTTGAAAAAGATTGTTTTGTAGTGAATCAAGAAAAAATTCAGTTTTGGATATGAAGAAAAGAAAATAAGAAAAATTTGAAGAACTTTTTGTCAGAAAGACCAGAAAAATTGAACTGGATCTCCCTCCATGAAGATTTAAAAAAAAGCAACGGTAAAAATAAAAATAAAAAAACCAGTGGAAGATATTTCTGAAAACGAAAAGATCTTTGAAAAGAGTTATTAGATTGAATTTGGAAACTCGTTTGCATCAGTAGCAGTTAAAAAGAATTACGGATATTAAGAAAAAACAATGAAAAGAGAAAAGAAGTGATTAAAATAAAAAATCAAAAAAGGTTTCAAGAAAGAGAACAGGCTTTGAGACGCAGAGCCAGATTCTTATTAAAGGCGCGCGTGGTTCAGACTCGCGACTTTTCTTTTTTTTTTTTAACTAACGAAGTTTTCATTTCAAACTTGTCAGGAAGGAAATAATCAGAACGAAAAAAGCTTCGAAGATCCAGCGAACAGTAGCGCTCGAAAGCCTGAGTTTCTCTCCAACAAGAAATACAAAACAGTAACGGATGCGTTGGAAATGTTCAAGAATGACGATCTCGTCGCCGAACCGGGAACCAAGTTCGCGTATGTAACTATAATATATTTTTGTTGAATTTTTATTCGAGTTTTTTCAGGTATACAACACATGGTCTGACTCTAGCGAGTGCAGTTTTGGAAAAAGCGGCTGGAGAAGACTATCCAACGCTTGCGAAGAGGCTTTTCTTCGATCTAGGGCTCCGGAACACCCACCTCGACGTCAATCAGAAGATAATTGCTGGGAGAGCGAGGTTTTATAAAAAAAATTATAGAAAATAACAGATTCCTCCACTTTCAGTTACTATCACAGAAACGATAAAAAGGTCTTAGAGAACTGTCCAGAGGTCGACTGTTCCTACAAATGGGCCGGCGGCGGATTGCTTTCAAACGTTTCTGACTTGCTCGTTTTTGCGAATGCGATTCTGTACAGGTGAGCTTTTGGAACCTTTCTTTTTCGAAATTCAATTCAGCTCACAAAATGACACCAGCGACTCTCTGATTACTCACGAAACTATGAGAAAATTCCTGACGCCTCAAATCGAAGTTGAGAAAAACGTGAGAGCGGCTCTGGGATGGATGATCGTTGAAGGCAAAGACCTTAAAAGTGCCGATGATAAAAGGTAAGTTTCTTGTTTCTCAATATGCAAAATTTTCTGCGAATCTGCAAAAAAAAAACGGTATTAAAAAAACGAGCGAAAAGTACAAAAAAACCATTTCTTTATAAAGTCAAGGGTTTACAGGAGCACTGGAGGCTTCTTCTACCACACTGGAGGAGCTGTTGGAGCTTCGTCGGTTCTTCTAGTTCGTCCAGCTAAAGAAACTCGCAAAGAATCGCCTTCTGGAGTCTGCGTCGCGATTCTCTGTAACCTTCAGGAGACATCTGTTCTTTCTCTGGCTCACCAAATCGAGGAAATCTTTCGTAAATAGTTTCTTCAAATTTAGTAGTTACTCAAAAATAGCTTGCTGGGGTTTTTGGAAAGCAAAAATAATATAAAGAGTAGTCTTATTTTGAGTCACCTGAAGCCATGAAAACCTAGCAAATTATTTAAATTTATTTTTTTGTAAATTTTTCTGCCAATTTTCTTTTTATATCATTTTATTTCTATAATTTCTTACATTCCTTGCAATTTATTCCGCACCGAGTTATCATATGGGCATTTTTGTTAAATAAATTTATATTCATCAAGAATTTTTTCTAAATTCTCAATTTTCAAAAGTAGCGGGATCAGAATCTTCTGGAATTCGAAAAACTCACCAAAAACGTTTAATTTACAAGGTTTTTGGCAATCAATGTTTTCAACGTGGAAATGCAACCAAGTGGGAATACGCCAATCAACGACAACTGAACGACGTGGTCGCGTAGCTCAGCGCGATAAGTCTATGGCTTTGCGCGCGAGGTCGAGGGTTCAGCCCCGCTGAAGAGCATCAATTTGTGTACTCACTTTGCCCTGAATGGTCAAGTCGAGAAGGAAAGATGCGAAATTCAAGCGGCTTCGGTGTGAAGCTGATAACGGTGTTTCTGCTAGTGTCATCAGATTGAAGCTTAACATTTTTTTCTTTTTCAATTAAAAAAAAATTTGGATGGTTTTAAAAAAAATGAAACTGAACTATTAAAAATTAAACATTAGCGTATGTGGTTAATTTTGTCAAGGTTGTCGATATTCATACAAAAAAAGTGTAACTTTGAAAAAAAGAACGTCTAAGGTTTTTTTTAGGATAACAAAAAAGTGAGCTTAAGGTTACTGGAGAGGGTCAATATGTTTTTTAAATGAAACATTTATCAGTAAACTTTTTTAAATAATGAAACTCCTTACTTTCTCGGTCCTTTGGATACTTAAAATAATTTTGTTGTTTTTTAAGGATATTTTATTTAAAAAACTTCTAAAAAGAGTCAATTATTCGGTTTCATGCAAAAATTGCACCTAAAAATCACGACAAACCCCCTTTTCTGAATCAAAAGCGAATTCGATTCAGACGGCCGCAACATTAGCGATGGCATTTTGCGCGGCGATTCCTGAGAAACCGGAAGAGCCATCGGCCCCACGGAGATGGCGCGAAAAGCTGCGCGCGACGTTTTTCGCAACATAATACCTTTGGCAGGAATGTTTAGTGTGACAGGCAAAAACGGTCGAGCGCAAATTTGCTTTCTAGTGCGAAGGCCCTGGGGACTTTTTTTTTGACCGCGCGGCCGGCCGGCAAGCTTTCCGGCTTAGGCGGAAGCGCCTCCCACCTTGGTGCATGTCGAATAAAAGCCTCCGCGCACACACACTTTCCACAACACGACCAGCGAGAGAAGCCTATCAATTCTTCAAACAGAATCCTAATATTCTCGAATAATGCTGTCCAAGTTTGTGACTATCGGCCTCTTCGCCTTGGCTTTGGCACAGGAGGAGACGGCGACTCCGAAGAGCGAGAAACGGCGCCAATACGTGGCGCCAGCCGTCCCAGTGGCGCCCGTCGTGCCGGTGGCGCCAGTCGGTCAGTGTCCTGGCGGACCTTCGCTGCCGATCGAGTGCGACCCGAAGCGACCATGGCCTCAGTGCCCACCCCAATCCTACTGCTACGCCACCAACTCGGTCGACATCGGACCTTATTTCTGCTGCCCGATCTGGTCGACCTACGGCGCCGCCTGGCGTCCGGCCACTCCATTCTACAACTACGTGCCTCCAGTCCCATCCAACTGGCCTGAGGTCATGAAAATGACCGCCAACTGGCCCGCCGCTGCTATCGGCCTCCCGGTCAAGGCCCGCAAGCAAGCCGAACAGACGACCGACGGCGAAGACGAGAAACGCGTCGAGATCGGCTCCTCCATCGACGCCTGGGTTCAGCGACAAAAGTTGTAAGGTGATCGTTCCAAGAATTCTGCCCCTACCTTGCTCATCTGGATCTTCCGGTTGGTAAAACAAACAAAAAAAAATTGGTACCAGACTCGATAAATCTGAGTCGTTTTTGGTCGATCTTCCCTTTCCTCACAGAGCTTAAAGCTCTTTAAAAATAACTCCCCAGTATTCTATTCCTTTATTTATGTGTTGGTCTTTATTATTATTTTTTTGTAAATCTGAATAAATATTCTTCGACCAAACGTTTTGAATTTATTTTACATTGAAGATTTACATGTTGGTCCAGGAAAGTGTGAACTTTGGTGTTCCGCTCGACTGGGTCCTTTGCTGCAAGTTGATCAGTCTGGACGCCGTGAAAATCAGCCTGTTCCCGCTCCAAGAGCTCTGCGACTTATTTAGCAGGACCTGAAAGGATCAAAAGTTCAAGTGAAGAACAAATCTTTCTCTCTTCCAAGCCTGACCTTGGCGCCGTCGAGTCTGAAGTCGTCGAAATTTGGCGCCTGTGGATAGCCAATCACTTCGATCGTGTCCAAAGTGGGTACAGAGACAGTCTAGGAAAATTGAACATACTTTTATTACTCGTGATACTCATTTGAAACTCACATTAGCGCATTTTTCGCATTGTCCTGTCAGAACACCACCGCCCACCGAGTAGGTGAATGTGAAGGTCCAGTGATGTCTTAAGCGAAAAACATTAGGACAAATCTTAACATTAGTTCAAAAATTATGATAGAAGCTCTAGCTCTGAAAAACTTAAAATTTCAAAAAAAAATAAATCTTTCCATTTGCGTCTACAATTCGTTTTCCACGAATTAAAGCTTCCTAGTATCTTCCAGAACGGTTCAACGCGTTGCGGTCGCACTGCGGTTTGAGTTCTAATCAAATTATTAAAAACCCCGCTCTACGGTGAAGCCATTCTTCTTGCGACCAATTTTTTCAATTTTTTAAAATCTTTATCTGTGAGACACTTTTGGAAGACATGAATCTTGTATAAAAATACAAGAATTTTTCGAAAAATACCAAATTTAAGTAAGGAGGATGAAAAATTGAAAACCTCGCGTGATTTTCAATATTATCGTTGGGAAGAAGATCATCACCAGCGTCGTAGTAGAGTTCTCCCTATAAGTAAAAGTTACATTTTTGGAAATTGACTTTGAAAAATATGTCAAGCATCATGATAAACTCCTTAATTCTATAAAAAAATTGAAAGGATTCTAAACTTCCTATTATTTTTTTATATGAAGAGTTGAAGGCTGAGAATAGCTCAAACAAAAATTCTTTTTTCAAAATTTCGTTCTATTAGACCCTCCTCAAGAAATATAAACGAGAAGGTCTCCCTTGCCGATTTCCAGTGTTAATTCGAGTTCTAAGGACCCTAAAAACTGGTCAAATTGAAATATACAGTGGAAGCGCCGCCGTTTGGCTGCAGAGCGACGAGTAGTTCCAAAGGATTTTTGCGAGAATCGGTTGTCGTCTGGTTGTTGGCCTGTCGGGGCAAGATATTTCCACCTGGAAGAAAATGATCATTTAAGCGACAACTACAATGCTGCGGCGGGTTACCCGCTGGACGAAATTGTCATATTTTGGGTTATTCGCGGTTTCACCGATAGGGAGCACCCGCGGGACTATAACGGGTGAAAAATGGGTGAAGCTCAATCCGTGTGGAACCCCTCGAGTGAAACGGGTGATGTGCGTGGGGAATTTCGTTCCGGGTGAACCCGCTGGATGAAAACGGGTGAAAAATTGCGGCTTGGGAGAATTTTGAGGGGCCACTTTTAGGTTTTGAGCCCTTAGTGGCCACTCTAGTAGTCAAACTAATGACCACTTTAAAGGCTAAAATTTAGTGACCTCTTTAAAAGTTTACTGGACTACGAAAAAATCCTATAGTGGCCACTAAGATGTCCAATATTGGCTTAAATAGAGTTGGTTTTACTGGCCACTTTAGTGCCCTCTCCAAGTAGTCCTCGAGGAACCTCTTAAGTAGCCCCTAGGTTTTTCTTTTCAGTTCAGTAATTGAACCGGACGTCTCCACGGAATTTTAGCTGCAACCAAACACGCAGCTTCTGATATTTTTTTTCATAACAAAGGTTAGGAGCGTTATTGATAGAGAAAAGCGTTTCAAAGGTTATCTGAATCTCTAAACCTCGAACAAAGACCGGCGTCAGAGAATCATGGGGCGAAGGAACATCATTGAAGCCGGCGGAGATGACTTTTCCGTAATTATTGGGTTGCAAAGAGTACCAGGTTGCTGAGGGGAAGTAGGCATGGACTGACGTCATTCCCTGACAGTTTGATGAGTGAGGGACTTCAAATAGTTTGAATAGAGACTTGATAAAGAGCAGGAGCGATCATGAGGCCAGAGCCCCACATGAACTGCTCGCTGATGGCCAAAGTCTCCGAATCGTGCGGGAATTCAAAAAATAGAGGTCTAACGACGGTGTGGCCGTACCGAGAAGCCGAATAGTGCAGGCTAAAAATTCATATCTTTATAAAAAAAAATTTTTTTTCTGTGTTTTGTCAGTGATAAACCTGTAGAGATAAGGCAAGTAGTAATAGCGGAAATTGAGAGCGATTCTGGCGGCGTTGGCCACCGACGGCCAGACAGCCGGGTCTTGTGCGGGAGCACCTTGAGTATTGTGATCTCTGAACAGTTTCCCATACTCTATTAGTCAATGTATCCTAGAAAACCTAGAAAACGAGTGGAATGCGCCCATTTGATGCCAGCGCAAGCAAAGCTCCTCGTTGGAGACACCGTTGAAGCCGCAGATGTCCGAACCGACGTACGGGATGCCGAAAAAGTTGAATTCCATGGCGCCGATGACGGAGGTCTGAAGATCCTCCCAACGGGCAGTGTTGTCGCCGAGCCAGTGTCCTCCATATCGACCAGAGGAAATGAACGTCGACCTGAGGGCGGTCAATTTGAAAGCACAAGTGCTTAAAAGAAAGTTGGAGAAGAAATTCAACATTTGAAAATTTTTATTGCGCTTTCGTAGTCAATTTTAGATTGGTAAGAGTGGCGCCTTGCGTACGCGACGCGGCTTTTGGCGTAAGTCAAACGGTGGAAAAAACGTAGAAAACGAAGTTTTCGTTTCATTATACTTCTAGCAATCAACTGAGCCTTTCCCATACTATAAGAAATTGGAAATCATTAAAAAGTATCAAAAAAAAAAGAGGAAAAGTTCGGAAAGTGGTGGCTCGCATTCGACCTTAAATTTCCCGCCAAAAAGCCGCGTCGCGTACGCAACGCGTTCTCCTTGTCAAGCTAGCTCGAATGCTGAGGAGGTTAACCCAGCCGTGCTAAAACGGGGTCTCAGCGGGTGCCCCCGTATTAGACCCGCATAAGCCCAGCTGATAGAACTTTTGGCAATTTTCAGCCCAACTGAGACCCCGCTCTAGCCCAGCTGGGGTACATATTTTTCTTAAACCCGTTGATCCCCCGTTTTAGCCCAACTGAGATTAAAATAACCTCAGAAACACGGGTTTAATACGGGTACACCCGTTGAGACACCTGCTCAGCATGCGAGTAGCCTTTTAAGTCGAGAAGGATTTACTATTATATAACAGTTTACTCGAAACAAAAGTACTTTTTGAATTTTTTTCTAAATATAATTTTCTTATATAAAGTTCCTCGTCCTGAAATCTACGTTTTCGGAAAAATTGATCAAAAAACAAGGTTTTGTGAAAATTCAAAAATTTGAAGATACGACGTTCAAAACCCAAAAAAGTCTCCTTTCTTTCTTTTTTGATCAAGAGTTCTCTTCATAAATTGTTTTCTTGCTCAACTTTCAAGCCCACCTTGAGATGATGGCTCCTCTCCTTCCCGTGGTCTTGGGTAGGGCCAAGTAGGTGGCCCGAGCTTCACTCCAGCCGTAGAGATTCTTGGTGTCGTAGAAGTTCATAGTCCGTCTGGCCGTTTTTCCGAGCATACAAAGGGTCTTGGAACTGAGGTGTTCCCCGTCGTGCAGGAAAACCTTGAAAAAAGTCATTTTTCTTTAAATTTCGAGCTGTAGCCTCAGAAGGAGGTTATTTTACTCGAAACTTCAAAAAATCTTGAAAAAACGACACAAAACTAAAAAAAAGGAGTGTCCTGAAACTCTCAATTGGCGAAACTTCCCAACTTTTTAAAATATATCTCAGAAACTTCTGGAACTCAGAATGTCTTTTCTTTTCAAACAAACCGCTTGAGTAGGATAAGGAGGATTGTCCAAAGTCGCATCAGGTCCGCTGATCGGACAGGAAAGTTTGCTGGCGTCAAGGTTTGATCCCACGGATGAGTATCTGTAACTTTTTCCCTGAATATTATAGAACAAATTAATTTCTACAGTTTACGCTAAGACTGAAAAAAAGGAACCAACTTTATAAGTCGTGATTCTTTGAGTCAGAAGTACTTCTCAATTATTAAAAAGTTTACTTATAGAGTAGCCTTGAATCTTATCAGTTATCAGTTATGATCAGCTATAAGATCATTCTTGAAAATTAAATGCGAGGAAAAACGAACGTTCCGGTGTCAAAGTTGGACGGCTCATTCATGTCGATCCACATACCGTCAAATGGAAGCTGAAAAATCCTCGAATAAACATTCTTTGTTTTCTAACAGCTTTCCTATTTTGTAAGGTCATTTCAACGAAAATTTTTAGAGTTTGCTACAGAATCAGGCTTGAAATCGATACTTCCCAACTTTAAAAAAATTAATATCTCAAAAAAAATAGAAGTTTGAGTGGGTACGACTCTGAGAAACCTTCTCCTAGGCCTTCAAAAATTTTTCTAAAAACCCAAAATACTAAAAAATCTCAAGCTTCTGACAGGAATGACTGTCGGCGTTCTCACACGGGGTGGAAAAAAAAACTTTTTGGCGCGAAAATTCAAATCTTAAATACGCAGCCAAATGAGGAGTACGGTAGACAAGTTATTAAGGTTGAATACTCAGTGTATATCTAGACTTAATTTTATCCGGAGCGCGAATTTACTTTTTTTTTTTAAATCAAGAATTTTGACGCTCATTAGGAATGCCGTGCCTTGGATCCCAAACGTCCCAAAAAATAAATCAAAAAAAAAAATGCCTTACAGAAACCTAGAAAGTTTATGAGCCTTCACACCCCAAAAAGCTTTTTGATGAAAAAAATCACGCACAATTTGGTGGAAGGTCGAAAACTCGTTGGCCCACCAGTTGTTGGTTTTGTCAGTCGTGTCCAAAAAGTCAGGGAAGCCGGTGTTTCTGTCCGGCCACACGTTTCCTAACATTACCTTGAACAAAATATCGTCTTCAATATTTCATGAAGTTTTTGGAAACTTTGGTATTTTTCGCCATCGGGTACTGATCCTGGATTTGACGGGGTACTTGAGCGTCCGTGTCCCATTCGATGAACGACGCTCCCTGGATTGTTACTGTATGTTAAGGGTCAGAAAAAACGACAAAAAAGAGTGTTTAAAACAAGACAGCTTCAAGATCACCTAGATTTTTCACTTGATTGACAAAAACTCTAATAAATCATTGAACCTGATCGATGGCCCGTTGGAAAGAGCCGTAGTCCGCTTCAATAGCCGGATCGAAGATCACGATGAGATGGAGACCGTTTTGGTGGAGTTCATTGGCATAAGCTGGGAAGCCGGCCCAGTCCTGAATCTCTTCTTGAAGGCGTACATTTAGTGAAAAGCGTAGCTCAGTTGATTTCTTTTCATTCATTCAGAAATCAGAGAAATAAAAAAAGGCTCTGTTGAATCAAGGTAGTTCAGCTGTTTCAGACTCACGTCTAACGTTCAAAAAAAAACAGTTCGAACCCTTCTGAGGTTAACAAAGCCCTCAAAATAGACTAAAATGGAATCTCCGACTTTCAAAAAGTTTTCTTCATTTTCCGAAAGACGTTAAAAACTTCACAAAAACGCTTAATTTTCACGATGCAGAAGAGAACTTTTTTTTTTGGAGTTTCAAGCTCTCCAGTCGTTCTAAAACTTCAATTTTCCATGCAGATATATTAAATGATCATTTCCGACTCACACCGCCTTCCGTGAAGTCTTCATAATGGTTCATGTAGTCGATGTCTGCATAAGGAACGTCGAGAGGAATCCCAGCCGCTTGATTTCGCTGGATCACTGTTTTCATCTCATCCAGGTTCTGGTAGCCCCAGCGGCACAACTAAAAAAATAGGAAAATATCGAATTTCCATCACTCTGAACGTCATGAAACTGCATTTGATTGCTCAAAAGATGCGATCAATAACAAATATCAACGTTAATTCATTACAGGGGAAAGAAATGACGAGTGAAACTTTTATATTGATTTTTTTGGACCATCAAAATCATCATTTCGAAAGCTAGACTCACAGGTCGTGAAAAAAGAAAAAAAGCGGGTTATTATTTTTGAAGGGATTCACTTCTCAGAGAGCCCTCCCGGTTCGGAAAAGTTCCAAAAAGGTGTAAAACTAGGAAATTTTTTGAATTTTGATCTGAATAATCGTAGTTCCTTTTTTTAATTAAACACATATTTGCGCCCGAATTCAAATGACTTTGTTCCTATGCTACTCGGCAAGGATGGCGCACGGTGCATTCTGCTTTTTTTCACTCTGGTGCGTAATTGGGGTCTGCACCGTGCGATTTCGGTGATTTTTTGGTGCAAAGGTGTCAAATCAGTGCTTTTAGCGCGCTGCACCAGTGCGACACCAAAAAAGCACCAAAACTGCACGGTGCAGACTCCAGTTTTGCACCAGAGTGCAAAAAAGCGGAATGCACCGTGCGCCATCCGTGCTGAGTACAGGATGCCGTCGCGCGGGGTTGGTTTTCTTGAAAAATGCGTATTTTCAAGTTGATCACTTTGCAATCTTTCAAGCTACAAGATTTTCAACGACTCAAATCGTTGGAAAAAGCAGTCTCAAATTTTTTTTTACCTGGTATCCCAAGGCCCAGTAAGCAGGCAAGAAGGGGCGGCCAATGTGTTGCAGGTATTGCTGGATGACTTCTTCGGGAGTTGGGCCAGGGAAAAAGGCAATGTCCAGACGACCACCGATGGTGCGATAAACGAGGTGAGGACCTGGGGCCGTAACGACTTCCTGAACATTTCTTGCTTATTTTTGAATAAAAGTTTGTGGGATTCTCGGTTGAATCCTTCTAGCTTCCATTCAGCTTCTAACCTCCTTTCAGTTACATTCCCAACTCCTTCTCAGGATTTTCCTAGGTATGAATGTGTTCAAAAACTCTTTAATGGTCCAAAAAAATCGAATTTTTTTATAAAAAAATCTTTAATTTTGGATTTCTGGTGTGTCAAAAAGTCGTGTACACAAAATCAACCTTGAAGCCTAATTTTTCACAAAAATTCTCATCTCCAAGCCCAGAATTTTTCCCAGAGATGGATCTTCTACCAAACTTTCTCAAAGAAAATGTGCAAACTTGAGAAATATTCAAAATTCACCCTAGAAAGAACTTCCTGGCCAGTCTAATCCAAAGAAAACTCATTCTGAACATTTACCTGAGCATTGCTGTTCAAAATCAAGACACCGTGAGTCTTCCCATCGCCTTCCACCACTGAAAAATTAATCCATCATGAATAATCCACATTTAAATATTAACTCAAGTAGAACGGATGAACACCGTAGAGATTTTGAGTCGAAAGGGCGGAACCCGAATCAGGTCCGATGTCTCTGGCGAACATTGGCCATTCCGTGTACCGAGTTAGGTCGTGCTCAAATTCATCAGATTAAGTTTTTTCAATGAAAAATCACATCTTTAATCACATTTCTATTCACAGACTCATTATATTTAGATTTATCTACTAACTTTTTTTTTCTGAATAGAAGCTTTTATTGAAAAAAAAAACTATGTAAAATTAAAATTTCGAATTCGCAGCATTTCTCAGATGTTACAGTGAATAAATGTCCTGTTTTTACAGAAATACTAAAGTCAAAATCATTAGAAGATCTCATTTTTTGATTAAAAATTGAGAACGCTTAAAAAAATGGCTAAAACAATTTTTCATACTACCATTCTTTATTTTATACCACTATCGAAACATAAATCTAACCTTGAGCTTCTTGTGAACATGATCTCCGAAGCCGAACAAGTTCTTGGTCGGCAAATAAGTGGCGATTTGGATGAACTTGTCCGCAAACTGCATTCCTCCTGTAAATTTGAATAATGAACTTTTCATTGAGAAAAAACCGATGCTGGTGTCCCAAAGGACGGCTCCAGTGCTCTGGCGGACCACTTTGAAGGAGAAAAAGTCGGTTCCTGGAATCGTGCCAGGAACGAAATTCAGAGTTTCCGATGACATGGATGGTCCTTTCGGTAGTCCGACTGGCGGGACATATCTGTTTGAAAAAATCGGTTGAGTAAACGAAATGCGACTTTTCCGAAATAGGTAAATACCTGTCACTATTTCCAATCGTAACCAGGATCGTTTTTCCATTCAAAGAATAGGCCAGGTCGAGAGGAGAATAGTTGTTTCCGTAGGGATTTGCGAAACCTGTGAGATTTTTCAAATAAGCTAAATAACATTGGGGGATTTTGGAAAGGTCCCAAGATTGAAAAAAAAATATTGGTATAGTCAATCTTGCCAGATCTGAAAGGTGAAATGGGTTGATTGGCAAGGGTGACGCGTTGCGTGTGCGACGCGGCTTTCGGCGGGAAACTTGAGGTCAAAGATGAGTCACTCTTTTTTCTCCTTTTTGACATAGATTTTTAACTTTTATGAGTTTGAAAATATTCGGTTGAACAAAAAAAGTCTAAAAATAATAATAACTTGGTTTGTCCACTTTTTTTAATGATTTAGTTCGACCCCGAGTTTCCCACCCAAAAGCCGCGTCGCACACGCAACGCTTCACCCTTTCCGGTCTACCAATCTCGCCTTTCAAGTCCGGAAAAGTTGACTCTCTAGCTTTTTAACTTTCTGCCTGTCTGCGTCTCTCTGTTCTCTAACCGGCGTGGTTAGAGAAACATGAAAATAACACGTAATCGTGAGAGGATTTCCGAGAGAAGAGGAGGGGGCAGAGAAATCTCTGTCGTTTAAAGTTGTGACGAATGGACAATAAGAAAAAATAAATTAAGCTACTCTTTTTTTGGGATAATTTGTAAGACATAAAGATTTATTTTTGATACGGTCCGCGTTCTGAAAATGTGCCTCAAGTTTGCCGAGTTTTTCAACTTCCAATCCATTCAGGCTGGATTGATATAGCCTTTCAGGCGCTATTTTACAAAAAGAACCGACCTGAGGTCAGTTGGATGTGGCCGATGTTCTGCTCCTGGACTTTGAAGCCGGACTCGCGCGGGTAGTAGCAAAAAGGAGTTCCGATGGGGGCGTCAGACTGAAAATGCCCAAAATCATCTCAAAGGTTTCTTATTCCCCAGACTAAGAATTCATTTGAAGTCGATAAAAATTCTTCGTTTTCAGCTTGGAAAGTTTCCAAGAACCGCGGTCACTGATTAGAGACTTTTTCAGGTTGGAATGGATTTTTTTCGGCAGAGAAAGCTTCACAACTTTAGAAAGGTGAAAACAGAGGTAGGCCATAGAAAAATTTCAACAGAATAGAACCAACTTCACTCTCAACTTTTTTAGTCTCGTTAAAAGCTGTAACTGATGGAAAAGTTCAAAAAGAAAAGCTCTGGAAATCAATTTTCAATGTTTACCCATCATTCAAAAACAAGTTCGAACCAAATATGGTCTATTCAGATTTTGAATGTCGAATCATCGCTCAAACTCCGCCCCTTTTTGCGTAGATCAAGCCAATCAGAAAGTGGGCCATTCACAGAGCGTTTTCGGGGGCGGAGTTTACTGCTTGACATTCAAAATCTGAGCAGACTTTAGCCTGTAGCCTATAGGTAAAAAAAGCAAAAAAAAAAGAAATTTCTGAGGTGCCAAAAAGTACTTTTTTTTTGAAAAGTCAAAAAAGAGGTTATTAAAATCTATCAGAAAAAAAACCAGCTATTCTAAAAAGAAAAACTTGAAAAAGCTGTACGAAAACAAAATATTCTTGTAAATAAGAAAAAAATGTTTGACTCAGCAAATCAGATTTCAATGACACTTTTTTGGACAATGTGTTTTTTTTCTGAAATGAAACTTTCACACAAGTTTCTAGCGCCTTTTTTCGAAGATATGAGATCGAAAAATTTATTTTCTGGCATGATATATTTTTCCGAGACGGTCAAATTTTGAAAGTCAGCAGAGAGATCGATGCCGTATGAACAAAATTTTTCGCATTTTCGCTCTACAAAAAAACGTCTTGAAACGTATATTGTTGGTTAAATTTGAAAAAAGATTTTTTTTTTTGGCATGGAAAAAAAGGAAAAAGCTGGAGTGAATTGAGCTATAAAAAAACGAACTCCAGTTGGAGTCCAAACGCAGCCACGAGATTCGCAGGCGCCTTGTGAGGCTCCTGGTTCCGGGTAGCAGTCAACTCTGAAAAATGGCCAGAGTCCTGCCGCAAAAGGTAAAAACAACACCTGCTTTTGACGTCGACAACGGCTCCGGCAAAGGCCGCCAAGACGAGGGCCACGGTCCATAACCTCAGCAACATCTACAAGTTTTCAAAAACTCCAATTCAAAAAGGAAAAGCTTGATAATCATTGAAATACACGTGCAGCCGACGGCCGTTATCACAGGAATTATTATTTTTTATCAGTTCAGGAATCATCAATCTGCGCAATACGTTCTTATAAGGCTGGCATGATTAAAAATGTGTTTGTGGCATGATAGGAAAACCGAAAAATGAGCTTTTCGTCTTTCAGAAAATTTATTTTTTGAAAATAAAGCGTCGAAAAGACATATAGTCTGTTCAGATTTTGAATGTCAATTGGTCGCTGAAGCTCCGCCCCCTAATAGCGCGATAAACCAATCAGAGAGCGAGCCATCCACAGAGCGTTTTCGAATGACGTCATTCTACTTGACATTCAAAATCTGAACGGACTATAGTTTTAATAGAAAAATCTTTGAAAAATGGCTTAAGGCGTGACGACTGCGGATCGGTTACTTGAGAGGCGCACCGGACCATAAAACGACTTGCGCGTGACCCTATCAAAAACTGACCTTTTTGAGCAAGCTATTCTAAATGCGGCCAGCGACAAGTCTCAAAAAAATATTCAAACAATTTCTGTGAAATCTTGATTATGGTTCAAAAAAATTTATTTTTAAAAAAACCTTTTTTTGACTCCCCAAGCCTGAAATTTAATATTTTTTTCTCCACAAACAACGAATGAACCATGCTCTTTTCAAAAGAAACCCCCAAACCATGATAATGAAAAAAAGTCTTTATCAAGACAAAAATTAAAAAAAGAAAAAGTAGAACTCACAAGGCTATTAGAAACAAAAGTTTGTATACAATTTCGCAAGAGAAGGGAATTCAGAGAAAAAAAACTGAAGTGAAGTCACATGAAAGCGAAAACTTCCCATAGAGCACAGTTTAAATTGAAACTTACAGGAATTGTCAAAGAACAGGCTAGAAAAATGAGGATAACTTCCTCTTGGGGGAAAAAAAAACAACAATAATACGTATTTTTTAAAAGAGGTAGAACTTCAGGGCCAGAGGCAAGAGAGCTGAAGGACCAGAAAATGTGATGGAATGCGCTAAAAATATGAAATATACATTTGATCCTTGAGAAAGATAACCCGAAAACAGAAGGTGCTTGATTTGAATAAGGCACTTATTTCAGTGCAAAGTGAAACAAAAGGCACGGAAAACCCATTGGAAAAGAAAGATTAAAACAATGAAAATTCTCAAGAGGCTATTCGACAAACTTAGAACAAATTATACTGGGTCTGAATTTGAAAAAAAAAACTTGAATATCTAAAAATGACTTTCAAACAATGTTTCGAACGTCAGATTCGATTGAAAAACGAAAAAAAAGGCTGGGAAATGGCGAAAAAAGGGTGATGAAAATAAATTTGAAAGGATAATAATCGCGACTTTGAAGTCCTGTCAGAAGCAAATTCAGAAAATTTAGAGAATAATCTTGAGAAAAAAAGAAATTAGGAAGATTTGAGAAAAAAACATACATCTTTAAAAAGAGGTTTTCCTCATTATTCCTACGGTCTTACCACGCAAAATTCATCGATTTTGATTTTAAAAATTGAGCAGAGGGAAAAATCCTGCGTAAAAATCATTCCACAGCAAAGGTGCTCTATGGAACATGAATTTCTAAAGCTTTTTCTAGATTAAATTTGAACAAATCATACAATTCCATCGAAACAATACAAGTAGACCGTTGGAATAAAAGTTCAGCTCTAAAAATTTTTACAAAATCGATTCTTTAAAAACAATCTTCCAAGTTCCTAGATAACTTTCAAACTTTTCTCTCTATCTACTTCCAGAAATGTCCCAAAGGGAAAATGAAAGCTATTCCTCGTCGAAATCGTCCTCCATGAGCTCATCAACCGGAGCAGCCACTCTTCCGACGTCATCTCCAGTCAAATCGATAAACTGAACGGAAGGGGGCGGGGCGACGGTCTGCTTCTTTTTCTCGAAGATGTTCTTGGCCGGCTGGAAGTCGAGGGTCATGCTGGACATGTCTGCGACGAGGTCCACGCATTTTATCTGCAAAAATTTATTTTTTCTTCTTTCACCGGGGAGGTCAGAGAAACACGAAAATAGAACGTCTGTATGAGAGAAGAGGAGGGCGCAGAGAATTCCATTCAAGCCGCGAAAAAAATAAGCAAAACCTTCAGTCGCAGAAGGGCTCGCTCGCGTCGCGACTGCCGCCGCTGTCGTTGCTCCAGTTGGCGACAGCATTCGCAGTAGTCGCCGAGGAGGTCGACGTCGTCGAAGTCCGAATCGGAGTCGTCCGACGTCCAGATGTAATCATCTAAAGAGCTTTTTGAACCTCAAAATTGAGGATAATCATACCTTCAAGGTATTTGAATGATGTGACTTCGATATCTTCCCGGTTTCGGATCTTCTCAATGTATTGGACCTCTGGAAATCGATAAATTCGTTGTTGAAAAGGTATATTGTGCTCAGAAATCCTTGGTCAAAGGCGCAGAAGTCGTTAAGAAGCAAAACTAATTACAGTTTAAGATGATTTTCGTTTCAAGACCTATCAAAAGGCACATGGTTAACAAAAGTGATCAATGTAAATTTTCACAAAAATCACTATTTTCGCAGAAAATTGCCCCCAGAGTTGAGACAAAAAAAGTTGGATTTCCGCCAAAAGTGCAGTTTGCAGCAAAGTTGCTCCATGGACAAAACTTACAGTGATGTTTCTTTTTTTTATAGTTTAAATTTCCCTGTTGCTGACATGGAACTCTCCACCATGTAAGTATAAAATAGTGTTATGAAGGAAATTATTATTTATATCGGAAAAGGTTACGGCAATATTCGGAAACTTAACAAAAAGCTCCACAAAATGTCTCATAACTCACAGTTTTCTGACCTTCCAATTTGATTTCGAAAAAAATTTGAAGCACAAGCAAGGATTTCAAAGCAAATTATTAAAAACCCAAAATGAGCACGAATTATAGAGGAACGCTACTGAAGAGAGTCCAGAGAAAGAGAGGCTCTCAACTGTCTGACCTCTCTCATGTTAAGGGGTTCATTAGAAGCTTCTCACTTCCAACTGATAGAAAAAAACGGCTAAAGAGACGCGAGAGAAACGCAGACCCCCGATTTCTCTAGCGTCTCTCCGATGCCTCTTCATATCTCCTTACCTAACGTTCTGAGCTTCTCAGCTCTGATCTGCCTCAAGGTTCTGCCGGTGATGGAGAGGAAATCTCTCCGGCATTCTTCTCTGAGTTCTTCTCGCGCTTGGAATTGAGCTTCCACCAGTTCTTCCGACCATTTCACCGGCTCGCTGTTCTCATTCGCGTCTTGGGCACGTTGCGCGAGTTGTTCCTTCATCTAAAAATAGTTCCGTCATGAGAAAAATCCATAAAAATCAATCTATACTCCTGAAAAGGAAAATTTCGGCATTTTGAAAAAATAATATCTTTCAAAATCTTCGTCTCAAGAAGCTTTCTGTGATGATATAACTTTTAAGCTTTCAAAATCTCGAGCAAGAAGTACAGTAAGACTTCTCAAAACAGACCAATTCCTCAAAAGGAAGATACGCCGCTGCCCGATCCGCCTCGACCCTCTTCTCTTCCTCGACCTCCCACCGTTTCTTCACTTCAGAATCTTCGTCGAACGTCATTTTTCCGATGACGTCAGGTCGTGGTCGTGGGACTATATTGCACCGTAGGCACAGGTATTTCGAAGCTGCTTCTCTTTCGTTCTGCTCTTTCTTGAAAATCATATTAATGGGGAAAGGTGAAACTTTTACTCACAAGCAAGTTGACGGATTTCTTTCCCTTTGCCTTCTCAGCTTTTTTGCACCGTTCCAAGTATTTCGCTGAGACGATCTTTAAAAAAAAGAAATTTTATAGGGTTAATTTAAAGTTTTAAAAAATAGAATTGTGAAGAGTGAGGCATAGAACTTGATCTTTGAATTTAAAAAAAAAGCGAGAGAGCACTGAAGAGCCGCCAGAGAAGAAAATAATCTCTCTTTCTCTGTAACCTCCTCGAATCACTATGATCTCTAGCTTTCTTTATATTCAAATTGATTTTTCGGCCTTAGAAATGCTGGAAAATCGCCTGCTTATCAAAAAACTTTGTAAGAGCCAGTCTGACTCTGAAAAAAGAGCTCCAGAGAAATTAAATATTTCTTTATCTCTGAGCCTCTCCAAGCCGCCTCTGTTCTCTTTAAGGCTTTTATTTCTAGCTGTTGAACAACATACTCTTCTCTTAAATACATAGAAAGATGGGAAGGTATTATGGCTAGAAAAGATTTTCCAACGCCCAAAAGCTCAAAGTAGAAGAAAAAAGCACCTTTTTCTGAATGAGATTACTCGGAGCCACCGAGCTATTTTTCCTGTCGTCATTCTCAAATGACCGTTGCTTGGGACGTCGTTGAACAGCATGTTTCTCGAAACTCCTGCAGATCTGTCGGATGTCGGCCTTGTCGACGTCGCTGTGCCGTTCCGGTTCAATCACCACTTTCTGGGAAAGGGCGTCGGACAGATTGGTGTCGTCGTGGTTGGACGCCGGTCTTTTGACGGCTCTCGGAGGTTCTCTGGCCGGAGTTCTTGTTTGATGTGAGACGACCGGAGAGCGGAAGGCGTGGGAAGAAGAAGGGACCATCGGACGTCGTTTTGCGGGAGGTTCATCCGATTCAGCGGGAATTTTTGGACGTGGCGTCGAGTAGAGGTTGAGGTCGCGACTACGCATCAACTCGAAGGTTTCGTCCTCGTCGCTGAACGGCTCGTCTTCAGACGGGCGACGATGTCGGAAGACGCTGATGTCGCCGCGAGAAGGGCGTGGCATCGAGGAGACCATGAATCCGCTCTGACCTCTCCTGTTTTGGAGGGGAGTCGGCCTCATCGGCTGAAAATTAAAATTGGAACAGTTCCGTTGAAGTTCATCTTTTTTTTATGATATTGTTAGTTTTCACAACTTCACACTACACGGTACGACAAACTGTGACTTCTATTTTTCGTTTATAGTCCTTTTTCCGCGTCTTAAAAGGGAAGGAAATCTGTGCGCCCTCTTCTTCTCTCATGTTGACATGCTCTTTTCATGTTTTTCTGAAATCCTCGGTAAGAGAACAGACGGAGGAACTCAAAAACTGTCAAATCGCGGTGGACGGACTAGAAACGAATTTAAAAACCCCTCGGTGTTGTGAAAAATGTGTTTTTCTGGACGCGTCCGACAAAAAACTACTCTGCGCGCAGAAGCGTTCCGTAACACAAAAAAAGAGTCGATCGAGGTTCAGCGCAACCAAAAGCTGAGTAATAAAATTGGAGCTTCATTTCAACCGCCAGAAAGCAGCGTGGTAGCAATATTAAGATATATTCGACAAAGTATCAAGACATAACAAATCGTTTAAAACCAAGTCTTCTCTAAAGTTTTAAAAAAGGCTTCAACTCAAAGAAGTAAAGTTTTGAAATTAATCACTGATGACTTCTCGAAGAATTGCGAGGGAGTTACTTCCAAAATTGTACCCTTAAAGATAACAAACGTTTTATTTGCTTTCTTTTTAACGTTCTTTTTCTCAAGATACTCCAAAAACAGCCCAGTAACAACTCAATTTTCTTCAATTAGAACTCTATTATGGAGCTCAAAAATCACCCTATTGTTAGGAACAGCCGAAAATCGTGTTGGTGTACTCGTGGCCAATGGAATGATCGGTGAAGGCGGCGCCATCGAAACAGGATCTTTCTTCATTTTTTGCATGAAGCATTGAGCTTTCTGAATTATATCTTATCATATCTCTGGTTTCTGGTCTTTTATCTCATTTTGTGAAATTACCTGAAATCTTTAAGCTGCACTCACCTGAAAGCTCGAGTTATTAAAATTAGAGGCTATCAAAATCTTACTGTGTAGGAAAAAAAAATTTAGTATGGTCAAGACAACTTCAACACTAAAATTTAAACTTTTTAATAAAATTATTCATCGAGTCCTCCGCTTTCCATGTTAAATAATCTAAAAAATAAAAGATAAGAAATATTCTCTTTTCCCAATATTCAAAAGACCCACCAGCTCTTCGATTTCCAGCTTCATCCTCTTCATTTCCTCCTCCTTTTCCTTGATTTTCGATTCGTGCCGCGATTGCTGGTCAACCATCTTCAAAGCATTTTTATATTTCGCCAGGAAAGATATCTACCGATGTTCGGAGATCTTTCTCGACTTTTTCCTTCTCCCTGACCAGGTTATCAACGCGTCTTCTCAGCAGGATCAGTTCTCCTGGCGCCGCCGGCTGGGCATAAAATGAGTTGGTCAGCTGAGAATCCGCCAGCGCTTTTGGTGTCCTTCTGAAACTTCCCGCATGATCAGGTGAATTGGAAACTTTTGGAAAGAATGAGCTTCATGGATGGAATACAAGAACAGTGTACATCCAACATATAAATTTAACAGTTTCCTAGTAAGATGAAATTTTCTTCTACATGTAGCCGACTGTTTTATTTTGGTTTTTTCTCAAGTAAAATCGGGTAAGAAACCTTTTTTTCATAATTGAAGTTCATTTCTGATTGGAAACTGATTTGATAATGTTTCTTAATTTTTTTTTTATTTGAACGATCTTGGCAATAAACCTTACTCACTGATAGTAAAATGCAATTTTTCTTAAGGATAGAAATAGGTTTCCTTAAGAACTGTAATTTAAAAATATAAATGGATATGGTCGACCCCGGAGAAGAAGGATAGAAAACAGCGTGGATGACGGTTGAAATGTCCGCGTCGTCGATAAATTCCGAGGCTTTGAGCGCTTCTCGTTCAGCCCGCCTAGCAAGAAACTCTTGAGAAGTGAAAAAACAGGCTTAGAAACTATAGTTCCTATAAGAAAAAGTCAAAAATAGCCTTTCCGATAGCAGCGAAATTTCCCCGATTATGATCCACAACAGAAGTCTCCAAAATGGATGTAAAAGGAGAAAAGGAGCAAAAGTTATACAATTAATAAGGAAAGGCGCAAAAATATCAGCATAAAGAATCCTTTTGCACCCTAAAACCCCTTGAAGAAACATTTTTCAGACTTTGCCCATGTTTTGAGCTCCATTTTCGAGCCTTTCAAAAACTCGATTTTCTGAGCTCCCCACAGAAACCAAGAAAAAAACGAACTGGCTGGATTGGAATCCGTGAAAGAAAGAATTGTCGCTGCCGTGTCTGGCGAACGACGTCGACGCGACTGACGCGACTTGAGGCGGCCGCAGAGGCGTCGTCGGCGGCGCTTCTGAAGACGCGCCTGGCGTCGCGGCTATTGAAGCCTGAGAGGGCGTCTCCGAGTTTGACGGGAGTTCCTATTGAGATCGTCTTATTTGAGCTTACAAGGGAAGTTTTAAAAAATTTCTTGTTTAGATATCGATGAAACATGGCTCAGAAGTGCTCTAGAAGACCTTCTTTCTAAAAAAAAAAAGAATAAATCGAAAATCCGAAAAAAAAAACGCGTCTACTGCCTTTTAATAAAATCATAACACTTCGAATTTTGAATTTTCTCCATTTCAGGTGGAAAAAATAAGCTTTTCTGGAGCTTTTGAGCCTTTATGGATCTACAAAATAGCATAAGATACAGTTTTGAGACTGATTTGAAAATCCAGCGTCTCAAATTGATTCAAGGCTCATCAAATTATCAAACTGTGTCCTTTTAAGTGTCCAAAGATCGTTTCTTTTCTTAAAAATGAGCATATTCATTAATTCCTCAGAATCTGCTTAAAAAGTCCACATTCTGTTAATGTCAGACCTTGACTTAATTCAAAAAGTTTCGATTTTCCAGATCTTCATTGAATCCCGAGTACGCAGCACTATCTTTATAAAAAAATATTCTGGAGCACTAAGGAAAATATGTTTCCTATGAAGAAACCCTAATAATTTAACCAGCTTTGAAAACTCTATCTTAAAGTAGGGTTCTACATCAAATTTATTTTTTTTCCGTAAGTTCACTTATCTCTAAATGTCTACTTTAAATAAAGAGTCCTGGATTCTGATACCAACTTTGAGAACTGGTCTTTGCGGATGGACGACGAAGCACTGCTCAGACGACTGCCGAGTCGCCGTTACGTCTCCTGAAAAAACAGAAGACGTTGGCTTTTTCCTGATCTTCTAACCATTCGATCGCGCAGCCGAGAAGATGGGCTCGTCGAAAGAATCGTCAGAAAACCGGTCGACTTCTGGATCGGCCGGCCTTCGGAAGTTCTCCACCGTCGTTTCGCTCCGCATGACAATCTCATCGTAGAAACTGTCGTCTTCGTCATCCATCCTACCTAGAAAGACGAGAATGAATTAAAAGTTAACCAAGACCAAAACTTTTTAAGGACGCCAAAGAGGTCCCTGGAATGGCAACTTAGGGTCTCTAGAAGGTTCCCCTCTAGGGACCACCTTACCTATTTTTATAGGGGACGCTCACGCTTGCAAAGTGGCCTCTCTAGGGGAGTATGCTAATCGTTTATTGTTGTGAACTCTATGAAGAGGAGCATGGAAAAAAATCCAACAGATTAGAGTTTTTGAAGGAAAAAATAGATCAATTTTTACCAATAACGTCTTTTTAACTTTCAAATCATGACAGAAAATAAAAAGACCACTATAGGGGCCACTTGAGCTTTAGGGGCTTAAAGGTAAGACCCTAAACCCCAATAGGGAGCACTAATTTTTCCCGTCTAGAGACCCCTCCGGAGTTCCTAAGTCTATCAAGAGGTTCAAAAATAAAATATAGTGTTCTGCGCAAGAAGGTCACCTTTTAAAAGCACAGCAGAAAACGTTCACCCTAATCCAGCTTTTTTGCACACTTTCTCTATAAAACTGCAAAAAATAAAGGTTTTGAAGCGAATTTCGGTCAAATTCGGTATACAGGGTGCGCAATAAGTATTGAAACGCGTTTGAAACGTTATAACTTTCTCGAAAATCAACCAAACACCACCAAACTTGAAACAAATTTTATTCATACAATATAGAAACAAAATTCAAGAATAGTTTTCAAAACGTCTTCCTTTAGCTTTGATAACGGCCTTCAGTCTCTTTGGATACGCATCGATCACGGCACGAGGGTAGTCGTCGTCGATTTCGTCCCATTTCTTGATGAGCGCGGTCTTCAGAGCTTTGATACTTGGGTAGTTCTTAGAAGAGACCTTCTCGGTCAGATATATCCACACGGCATAGTCCATCGGGTTGAGGTCGGGCGAGGAAGCAGGCCAATCAGCAGCCGAGATGAACTCGGAAAATTGGCGCGACAACACTCTTGAGTCCCTTTGGCACGATGAGCGGGGGCGCCGTCCTGCTGGAAGGTCCATGATCGGTTTTTGTTGTGAGAATTGGCTCAGGGCAACACCCTCAACTTCAAAATCTACTCCCTGTAGTATACTTGGTTCACTTTGACTCCAGGATCCACAAAAATCAGCGGAGTTTTGCCGTCAGCGGTAATTCCGGCAAAAACCATCACGGAAGCCGGATGCGAAGTTTTATTCAGAATTTTTCCTTTTTCACAGGCATTCTGATAGTCAGTAGCGATGATCCAATGATTTTGGCCTCCTTGTTCGCCTCCACAGTGAAGATTTTCTCGTCGGTAAATAGCGTCGTCAGATGCGAGCCATCTTTCGTGCCAGCGAGCAGCTTTCAAGCCTTTTTCATCCGGAATGTCTTGTTTTTTTGACTGAGGAAGGCTCCTTTCTGCATACGCTAGGGAATCATCTTCAGCTTGTCCTTGACAATAGTTCTCATCGATTCTCGACTCATTTCGTATTCTTTTGCCATCTTTCTCACGCTTCTTTCCGGAGTGCGTCTGATTTTCTCTCGAACGGCTTTGACTGCTTCTGGAGTCGTGACGGTGACTGGACGTCCCCTTCTTTGCATGTCATCTGAAGCACCGAGACGCCGATAACGTTGTGCAGTTCGAAAAACGAGAACACGAGGCACTTTCAGCTTTTTAACGATCTCTGAATTCGTCATTCCGCTTTTGACACAATCAATGATTGCGGTACGGTACGGAGATGGGGCCACCATTACCTGAAAACTGAAAAGTATGAGCTGTAACTTCAAACACATGATAAGTGAGCATGAATGAACGAAATAAACAAAAAAATTCAAAGGCCAGTCCGTTGTGCAAAAAGCAGCGATCAAACAAAAAACGGTTTCAATATTTATTGCGCACCCTGTAATTTAAAAAAAAAGGACACGCCGGCGGCAGGCTTAGTGCGAGGGCCGGCCCGTCACCTTTTGGGCTCCCGATCATTATCTTTGGCCGGGCTTAGCGAGGCCTGAAGCAAAAACGGCCAGCCTGACCAAAAGAGCGCAAATTTTGCTCAATTCAATTTTTTTCTTCACAGGTGGGGTTAGTTAATCCACCTAGAGGTCTTTTTCCCTCCCTGCAACATCACCATACCATCCCGATGTTGCGAAAATAAATTGATTGAATTGAATTCAATTCAATTCAAAAATAGGACTTTTTTATAACGAAAATCAGATGTTTGTATTTTTTTTTCTCACTTGAAATCAAACAGAAACTATTTTTAAAAAGTAAAAAAATTTTTCGGTGAAAGGTTGGAGTTAGGATTTTTCGTTGCAGTTCTAAAACTTTATTCGAATTCCGGCTTGACCCAAGCCCTCTATCGCAAAACAAAGTCTAAAGCCAGGGCCGGTCTAACCACAAGATTGGTCGGCGCGGAACAGGCTATAATAAATTCAAAAAAATTTTTCAAAACTTTTCTTGACTTTGAAATGTAAGCCTAGTTTTTGTATTTCTGCTAAACCTTGTTCGAAAAATTCAGGACAATCTTGGAAGGCGCAAAAATTTTTTCTTATATATAATCGCTTCAAGATTCAGTTTCTTACTTTTTTTGAACCCGCAAAAGTTGGCGCTCATTTTCAGCGACTTTAGAAAGTATAAAATATAATTTCTCGCTACGAAGTCCCGTAAAATGACAAGAAATATATATTTCACGGCGATTTATAAAAAAATAGTACGCCTCTGAAAACTTCAAAAAAAGCTTTTTTTCAACAGGACCATACTACAGAATAATGTTTTTTCTAAACATTTTTGCTCAAAAACACTTTTGAGTGCTTGATGGTCCATTCAAGATTATGAGAAGAAAAAAAAATAATATCTTTCTCCAAAAAACCTCTTCTCAACAAGCCGTACAAAAATATCAGAACAGAAATAATTTCAACCGAAGAAACGACACAACACAGATCAAAAACCAGAAAAAGCATGATAAAATGTATTTATTACAAGTTGCTAGCGAATATTTCTCTCATACCTCTTTGATATTTTCTCTTCTATCAACATTATGTGGCAAGGAAATTTTCAAATGGTACCGATAAATGAATGGAAAAGGAACTGGATAGGAATTATGCACAAGTATTTAAGTATCACCAAAAGAAATTATGCAAGGCACAGGAAAATGCTCTGGGAATTGATTCAATGTCAAAGGGCAAGGCGATCCGGGATTCGTTGGCAAAAAAACCAACGGAAAAAAAGGAAAAAAATGATATAAATATTCATGAGACGATACAAATAGGCAATGAGTATACCGGGGAACGTATAAAACTGATAAATTCTTTCAATAAACGCTAGAATCTTGAATAAATGATAAAAATCAGCGGCTTTCGAATCCGGTCTGGAAGACGGCCTGGGGCAGTGGTTTTCCGCCTCGTTTATTCGTTTCCAACTCGTCGCGGAAATACTCGATGGTTCTCAAGAGGCCATTTTTCATTGTGACCTGAAAATTAGAGCGTAACAAAGCAAAAAAAAAGGGAATACTAAAACGTTAAAATCGAATTATTTTGCCTGTCTGTCAAAAAAAACTTTTCATCAAGAAGGTTCTTTTTTTGAGAAAGCACTGTATAAGATACTTCAAATAAGATGGGAAAATTATAAATTTTGAGAAAAAAAAAACCTAATCCGGATTCCTCCTACAATCGATTATAATCACTGCTGCACGTGAAATATTAAAATTTTAATCTACCCTCGATTTTTTTTTTAGCAGAAATATGATAAGAAAAGATCAATATACCTATTTTTGACTAGAATGAAAATTTCCCGACGAGCAAAATTGATAAATAATAGAACCCAAGGCGGGAAATAAATTGAGGAACCTTATTTTTTGACTGTAATAAAGCTTTCCAAGAAAATGGATGAATATGAAAACGAAAGCAAAAAAATAGGTTAACCTTTTTTTTTGACTAGAATACAACTTTTAAAAGGACCAAAAATGATAAATAACAAAACCAAGGTAAAAAATGAATAGATGAAAATTTTTCGAGTTCGAATAAAATTTTCCAAGAGCTGAAATTGTTGAACGAGAGAACCATGACTCCAATTTCACGTGAGAACAGTTCAAAAATCAAAAATATTTCGAGATATTACCTTAGGATGCCAGGAAATCTCCTTGGCCGCTCTTGTGATATCCGGTCGCCGTTGTTTCGGATCATCTTCTTGAGACGCCATGTTGAGTATTTCACTCTTGCTTCCTGAAAATGAATAATAAACTTTGAGAGATCGAGAAAAGCACGGTTGGAATTTTACGCTTCCTTGTCAATTATCTACCCAAAATGAAGAGAAGCTAGTTGTTCAAAATGATCATTTTATTCCATTTTGAAATGATCTACACCTCTCTTTTTTTTCAAATTCTTTCTCTGACTAGTGAGGATCTTATCCGTTTCATCGGGGTTATTTTGAACGGAAAATTAAAAATTATGGGGGAGAAGATTGCACCATGCAGTCTGATAAAAACTCTACATACACAAACCAGAAACAAGGTCCCGAATGATGGTAGCAAACTCGGCGATCGTGTGTTCTTCGGGGTTTCCGATGTTGACCGGCAGGGAATAGTTGCTGTTCATCAAGGCCACCAAGCCGTCCACCAAATCCGAAACGTATTGGAAGGACCGCGTCTGCTTTCCATCGCCATAAATCTGAAAAAAACCCGAAATTTTATGGGAAAATAGGAATAATTCAAAAAAGACAATCTTTTCTCTCCATTACAACATCACTATGGTATTCTAGTTTTTTTAAATATTTGATTGAATTTGGGCTCTTCTATAGCATGAAACAAACCGTCATCGGCTTGTCCTGCAAGGCCTGGATGATGAAGTTCGAGACGACTCTTCCGTCGTTCATGTGCATCCGAGGGCCGAACGTGTTGAAGATTCGCGCGATACGGATCGGAACCTTTTCCTGAAGAACTTTCTTTATTCCGTTTACTTCCAAACATCGAACTTCTCAATTATGAATTTCACTCATTAACTCTGACTTTTCTCTTCGATAAAATATCAAAAAGTGATTAAAAACATTGTAAAATGAATAAAAGTTGAACAAACTTTCAACCAGAACAAGAAGATCTCTAAAATATATGTTCTCAGGTCTTAGTCAAACTTCGATAGGAACAAAATAGGCACTAAACCTCCCAAAAAAGGATAAAAATGAAACTTCAAACTTTTCGCAAAGCTTACGCTATAACACCCAAAGCGAAAGCCATTTCAGAACAACCATAAAATTGAAAAACTTTGAAAATCAATGAGGAAAATTTGCCTATAAAAACGTAATTTTTTTTCTTTTTGTTACCTTGTTCTCTATCTCTCCGAGAAACCTGAGTCTTTGAAAAATTATCCTACTATAGAAGAACGAAAAACTGACTTTATTTTCATTTTTGACTTTTTTTATGAGAGGTCTTATGGCCCTAAAAAGATTCTATTTATACCAAAATGAGCTAGCCAATGATGATGATAAACTGGAAGAATCTAAAAAGTAAATTTTTCGATTCCAAAGTTTTTTTCGGAATTTTCATGAAGGCCACAAAATTTGAAAAAAATTCATTTTTCTAACCCTGAAACTTTTTATTCTGTTTAAAATCAACCTGTTTGTTGTAGGAAACCATCAAAGACTCGGCCACACGTTTTCCTTCATCATAGCAACTGCGAGGACCGATCGTGTTAACATGGCCCCAATAAGTTTCCGGTTGCGGGTGTTCCTCAAATAAATCTCTTTTTCGGATTGACAAAGAGTATCACTAAAGTTATAATTTTTGTACCGTTTTTTGCGGTGTAAAGCCCAATTTTTTTCGGAGGCTTCCTATGAACTTTACGACTTGAAAGAAAGAAAAAAACGTGAATTTTTAAAATCGCTCAAGTTAACTTTAACACAGCAGTGAAGTTTAAAAAAAAATTATAAACGAGCAGAAAAAAAAAAATTAAAAAAAACCTCAGGATCCCCATAAACCTCCGAAGTCGAGGCCAGCAGGACAGTCGCTTTGACTCTTCTTAAATTATTTAGTTTTAATAAAAAATGCAAAAATTCCAACTAACTTGGCTAAACCGAGCATGTTGATCGTGCCAAGAGTATTGGTTTTGATGGTTTTCACGGGGTTGTACATGTAATGCGGTGGGGATGCGGGCGACGCCAAGTGATAGATTTGGTCAACTGGAAAAATTTTAAAATTTTCCAGGCTAAATTATTTCTTTCTCACTGAACAAAACTTGACAGAAAAGTGATAAGAATAGTTTCATTTTACATACTTACTTTTTTATACATACTTTTTATGGGCCTTTCAAACTCAAAGGGTCTCGAAATCAAATATTTAGGTTAAATTAGATCCAAAATAGACTCAAAATTAAATTCAAGTGTTTTAGTTGAAAATTTCTTTACTGAAAAAAATGCTTTGCGACACTGTGAAAAGCAAGAAACGCTTCAGCAAAAAACTCCTAACTTATTAAAAATCTTCGAAACAGTGAAGTAGTATAAATGAGATTTTTTTCTTCGTAAAAACTATCAAGATCTTCAATTTTTCAAGAGTTAGAGAGACAACGACGGCACAAAAATTTTAAATATTTTTTTCGAAGAAAAAAAAATCGAAATCATGCTTTTATACCTATCTGAAAGTATCCTATTCACTCTATCAAGTGGCAAAAAAATTACAAATAATTAGTTTCCATCTTTAAAAAAATTAAAAATTAAGCTGGTCATCTGAAAAAAATGTTTTCATATGAGATCTAATATATTTAAAATGATAAGGTAAAATCAAGAATAGAAATGAGGAAAAACCAGCCTTCGACAAAATATGGATTCACGACGTCATGATGGACCATTTCGAAGTTCGGATGACCTATCCAATGATCGATATTTCTTTTCCGTCCGGTGAAGTAATTGTCCAAGGCAATCACCTGGAAATTAAACGTTTTTGAAGTTTTCTACAAGCTTTTGTCTTAAAAACCGAGAGAAGGTTCGTAGAAATATAAAAAAATTCGAATAAAAAAAATTGAAAATTTATAAATTCAAATGAATTTCTGTAAACCTCCAAATCTTTATAATAATTCAGTTTAGTAGAATTCGAAGTTTGAAAAAAATTAAATAATTTTCACAGACTAAATTCAGTGGATAAAATTGGAGCAAAATGTTGAAAATTCTCAATAAAACTGGAATTTTTTTCGAAAAAAACTAACGTTCAAAAAGCTAAAAAGAACGTTTCGTGAATAAACAAATGGAAAAATAACTTCGTGTCCGTCGCTCATGAGCTTGTCGACGAGGTGAGAACCGACAAAACCGGCGCCACCGGTCACCAGAATTCTCTTACGAGTTTCTTCGTTTCGATACTTTACAGATGGATACGTCTTACTGAAAAAATTGAATTACGAAGTTAAAAAAAATATGAATTCTCTCCAATTTTGGCCAAAGTTTGGATAGCTTTTTGCTGAAGCCCTAGGCAATAAAGTGGAAAATTATTTTCCGCCATTTTTATCAGACTCGAAAATGACTACAATTGGTCTCTTTCACATTGAAATTGTTTCGTGTGTATCCGAATCTTTTTATAAAACCTTATCACAACAGATAAATTCAAAATCAATGATATCCTAGCAAGTTCAGGCCTTTTCTTTGAGGAAAATGACGGAAAATCGTTTTCCGCTTTATTGCATACGGTCTCCGGGAACATTTTCAGAAAAAGAACTCAAAAAAGGAATTCTCAAGAATTTTACATGAAACCCAATCAAAAAATTATCATAAAACTTTAAAACTGAGCCTGAGTAAAGAATCAACGCTAAAAAAGCTTCAAAAAAAAAAACCTAAAAGTATCTTTTTCAGGATTTTATTTAGGTGTTTCAATTGTTAATCGAAGGCAAACTGACAATAATTTTACTAATAAAAAAAACCAACGTCGTGGGAACGGCGAAATTTGCCGGAACCGCGGCGCGATCTTCCGAATCGCTGACGCGAGAACGAAGCGACGCGATTTCTTCTTCCATCAGTTTTATTCGTTCCAACAAAGTTGCCATCATCGAATCTTCTCCAGTATTCCTATTCGGAAAAACTTGATTTCACTTTCTTTTCAGAACATTTTCTTTTATAGCTCATTTTAAAATTGAATTTTTGAAGCTTTCAGAACTAAATACAAAAGGTCAATTCACATGGCGGTTATTCCATGAAAATAAACCAGATTACTCTTTAAGGTACAAGAAAAATGTTATAACATTCCGCCCAATAGAACTTATTATTTATAAGGAAAAAAATAGAATCCATTAAAATGAGCCATTTTTTTAAATTTGAAATTCTAATTTATCAAAAAAACTAGAACGTTTTTTTCAGAGATTTTCAAAATGTTTATTTGGGACTTCAAAAAAACTTCAAAAAAAAAAATCCTGGCAATTCAGAAAGTTCCGCGAGATGAAACGAGACTTTTCTCGATAAGCAAAGATTTTTAAGCCACAAATTTCAATTCAAAACCTCTTATTCTCATTCGCCGGCTGTTCTCCATGGCCTTCCATATCCGCACTATTCTTCTCGTCAGGCATTTGTTGCAAAGTGGTGGCCTTTATAATCTCTTGTTGAGGAATGACCTTATTCGAAGCTTTCGAGACGAGTACTTGAAATTATCAAACAACGTGGGATTTTCATTTCCTTCACAAACCAAAAATAATAATGACAGCACCGAAAAGGGCCCAAGTAAAGCGAGAAGTCATATGGAAACGGACAACGTTCTGCAGCTTTTGTCTGGCTGTGAACGGCATGCGTGAAGGCTCAGTACGACTGCAGCCTTTGAGACATCCGGGTTCTCGCGAATTATCTATAGATAACAAACCATAACTGAAAAATGTTTACGCCAGAGGACACTATTCACAGAATCGCTACAAAAACAATTCAAATCACTATTCAAGTGCTGAAAAACGTTCAAAACGGATTCGACAATCGTCAACGGAACTGAATTTTTGTCGCGCAACGTAAAAAAAAACTTCCTGTTTGTTCAACTTTGACTAGATTGGACAAACGGTGAGAACAGAACATTTCGGGAAAAAGCTACAATTTTTCCTTCTTTAACTACAAAAAAACGGCCAGCTTTAGATAAAAAGAGAACCTTTGACTTTCTTATCATTGAATTATGACTGGAGATAAAATGTTGAAACATCGTCTGATGAAATCATTTAATGGAAAAAGTTTTTCTGCCGAATCCAAGCTGCTCACCTTGAAAAAGTATCAGAAAGTTTTTGAACGAAGCTTGAAAACAAAATATTATAAAAAAAAGAAAAAGAGAATTTTTGAATTGGTGCGACAGAGCGACCATTCGCGTAATGCGGGAAAAAAAAACGCGCGAAAATCAAATTTCTAATTGTTCAAAAAATTTTTTTATTGGGAAAAAAACCCGAAAGAATAACGTAGTGTTATTGTCTGAGGACTAAGTAAAAAAAATGGAAAACAGCTTTTACAACGACTGACATTGATAAGAGCCGAAAAAAAAAAACACTCAACTGATCAAATACTACAAAGTAATCATGTTTGTTGTTATGGCATTTGTCAGCTGCAAAGAAAACAAATTCTACGGAGATATAAGTGCTTATAAAATATAATTCAACGTGAATATCATAAATTTGAAAGTTGCCTTGAAAAAATTAGAACGGTGTTAAAAAAAGAAAAGGACAATGGAGTGAATCAATTGTGAATCGCTGTTTGGGAGATTAAAAGGAAAGCCCTTGAAAACTCGTTTTCCTCTCATTGTTGCTACACGAACAGCTTGCTGCATTGAAAAAAACTGTGAAATAGTTGGTCAGAAGAATTCAGTAGATTTTATTCTCTCAAGAGACTTAGAACAATTTTAATTTAAAATTTTCCAGTACTTTGACAGTGGTTTTTATTTTGGCGATTTTTTAGAAGAAGTTTCGACTTTGTGTTCGAAAAATGACTATTCAGGAGTAGAAAATTTGGGAAAATTGGTCGGAAATGGTTTTGTATTTTTAAAGCGTTTTTTGTGATCATTTCTCAGGTCAAACGTGTGACATTTTGTTTAAAAGATGACTATATAAATGTAAAACATATCGGTGTTTGTTAGGCCATAAGTTCAAAATTAGTTTTTTTGAAGCATTTTATTTCTACTTGAACATAATTAACTTTCATAATATCTATTTTTTTCAAGTAGTTGATGGGTTTCTTTCATCAGTTGGTTTTTTTGAGCGTTTATATATATATATATGATTTCTTCATTTATTTTTATATCAAATTCCCTTAAAACAAAGATTACCTGAAGTTCTTTGAGATGTCATAATTTTATCTCGAGCAGTAATTCATTTTTTTCTATTGTTCATGACGACTTTTGCTTTACTAAAACTTTGAAGCTTTTCACATATAACCTGTAAACTTCAACATTCTGAAGTACTTTTGAAGTTAGCAGTACCTTTTTTTTGGATCATTTCTTTTTGACCCCCTGGGAGGTCTGGGCCGTGCCCTGCAGCAGTGCAACGCTGGGACGACCCTTGAGCGGTCGGAGCAAGCTCCGGATCCACTCTCGGTTGCAAAAATAAGTTAACCTATATTGTACTCATTCGAGCACATACCGTAGGTTAATACGATAAGAACAGATACTACACTTTGATCTTAGCCAATAGGCCGAGAAGCGATACTGAACGATGGAAAGGAGTCCTAGTTACGTTGCTGTGTGTCCCGACGCCAACCGACTAGCGCGAATCCGGGAGAGACGCCGATTTTGGGATGAGGTTGAGACGAGCAGACGGCTGCGTGGCGTGGCCTTTCCTCCTTTGTTTAGAGAAACATTTTCACACGTTCTCTTCTTCTTTTTTCTTATTGGTTTGTTAATTTGTAAAATATAAACATTTTTAAAAACTATATTATTCTTCATCAATTTCCATCAGTTTATAAAATTTTTAATTTTTAATTTCGATTTTCTTCTTTTCTTAGTCATATACTTTCGATTTCGTACTTCCCTAAATCTTGCTATTATTAAATTTAGTCCCACAACTAAAAAAATTTTTGAAAAAAATTTCAAGGTTATGTCAAAAAAATTCCAAAACTGATTATTTCGAAATTTGAGAGGATGTGGCTTTTTTTACCTTTTTTTATCTCCCATTTGATCCTTCTATTTTTATTATATTTATTGAGGTGTCGAAAAGGCCAATCAACGTTTTTTCGTTTCAGTTTTTGCTTTGTTTTAGTTGAATGATAAATATTTTTTTACATTTTTTGGGTTTATGAAAACTTTCAACAAGTCGTTTAGGGTGTTATGTGGAGTTTTACTCATCTTTAATAAATTTATCGTTTTGCTTTAAATTTTTGACCCCATGAGGAATATAATTTTACAAATTCTGCTAGAGAATATTATGAAAACTCAATTGAAAGCTTCACAACTTGTTAAAAAAAGTTTAGGGAATTAAAATCATTGCACTTCAAAGTACATCTCTGCGAAACTTCCAAATTGCATTTTTAATTTTTGATGCGTATTCGCACAGAGAAAGAAACCAAAAAATGTATGACAAATGTAAAGAATGAACAGGCACTTGATACACAGAACTTTGATTGTTGAGCGAAATATAATATACCATAATACATGAAATGAAAGCAATATGAGCATTTCATACCGGGTGAAAAAAAGTCAGACCCCAACAACAACAGATGATAAAAATTTGACAAGAACGAATGGCGTTGAAAACGATCCCTGGGCAAGAAAATTACAACTGAAACAGGAAATAAATAACGGAAATTGAAAATAAAGAAATTTCGATGGCAAGGAAAAATAGGAACTTTTAGCACCAATTCAAAAAATGACTGATAATGACGTTAGTAGAGATTAATGGAATAAACTTTCAAGTTATTCGAAAAATAAGGAGTAGAGTTAATTTATATGAAAGAAAAATTTTTAATTGAATTAAAACTTGATGATTTCTTCTTTCACCGGTTTTTAAAAAGGCTGCTCCGAGCAATGGGGAAGCTTCCGTTGGATGTTTCTTCTGGAGGTGAAATGGGAACTTCGGCAAAACTGAAATAATAATGAACAATGCCCAATCTGATAAATTAAACTTCTATGCAAAAATTTTTCCAAGTCTAAACTTATCCACTTTTTGCCTTCAATTAAATTTTTCTTTGAATTCTTTCATTTTTTGATTTTTAAGCTGGAATTCCGTCAACGAATTTTTTTGATCAACATTAAAAAAATTCAAGTCTTATCATCAGAAGCCTCTTTGATTGCCTCTTCACAAATCAATGCTCACCTTAAAAACCACAGTCATAGAAATATATAACTCCTCCATTTTTTTCTCTAACTATTATTATTTTTTTCTGTCTTGCTTCTCTCACCTGACTTTCGGTTTCGGAGGTACAGGCGGTGGCAGATTTTTTTCGCGCCAGCTCCGAAACCGTTGAGATTGTCGTAGGCTAAGTTCCTCTCGTCGATGACAATCGGGAACTGTCGCGTTTTTGGAGGTCTTCCCGGCGGAGGCTTCGCTTCGAAACTATTCCTCGGGGGTGCCATAGGAGTGGTGAACGCGGGACAAGGACCCTGGGCAACCAGAAGTTGATAAATTAATGGATTTTTTTGAGAAAAAGACCTAACAGTTAAAGAATTGAAAAACTTGCATCAATAAATTTTTTTCAAACTTTTTTCATGCAGCTCATCAAGAAAAAAGCAAGAAAACCAAGTAGAAAAACTTCAAACCTGCGGCGGCGACATTCCCCTAGCAGGTCCGTCGATGAGCTTCGTCTCGATGATGTGGACGCGTTTCTGAGGAGTATAACTCTCGACGTTCTCTTCCATGCCGTCTTCCTTCTTCTCAGATGTTTCCAGCACGCGGATTTGACTTCTCTCCCTTTCTGCCACGTGGGGAGGGGTGACTGGTCGAGGCGGAGGAGCTGGAGAAACGCTCGCCCGTTGATCAACGCCAGAAATTCGCTTCTGAACAAAAATGGAATGAAACAATCTCAGCCTGATTTTCGGTTTGCCAGGATGCATTCTTAGCAAGAATTCGATCATTTTTTTAGTTTCCACTAAAAAAATTAAAAAAATAAGTATTTCAGTATTTCAAGAAGAATGACGAAAACACAACGAAAATTTCTAAAAAGAAGGAAATACATCTTAAGTCTCGCTTTCAAGTGTTTTAAATAAAAAAAAATCGTCTTTTTTGTGGCACCTAGGCTGTTAACCACCACGGACCTTCTCGAGAGTATTGAATCGGGACGAAGAACTCGACGGAAGGGGCGGAGAAGGCGTCGCAGTGTGCTTCAGGCTGGTGCCGCACTCGACGAGCAGTTTGTAGGCTTCTTGAGCCTCGGGAGACCATCCATCGGGTCCGTCGGTCGAAGTCTGAGACCGTCGTGCCAACAGACCAGCGCTAAAGTATTGCCTTTTCAAAAACTTCTTTCCAGAGAAACCATCTTTTGCTCAAGTATCAAGCTATAAAGACATTTAACAATCTAAATTTTTAAAAGCGCTATCTAAAACCGTGGTATTCAAAACCCAACTTAAGGCGTCGTGGGAAAGATTTGGATTCCATTCTACTTGGACCTTATCAAGTTGCTCTAATGCTTTCTCATGCTCTAGCGCGAAAGCCATCTTGGGTCGGTTGCAGCCTTATTTTGCCAAGCCAATTGTAAAATTTCCATAGGGTTCTACATTGAAGGTAGATATTTCTTCGAATCAGTGTACGTGGAACTTTTTTTTTTTGATATCTCAACTTTTCAGTACTTATTCACCGCTTTGATGAGTCTAATTCTGAAAAGTTATTTATAGTCATTTCAAATTCTAGTCAAAACTCAAAGAATCCCGAATTTCGGTTCTTACTGACGTTGAACCTATGAAACAATGTGAATTGAAAATTTTTAAATGTGGTTTTTTTTTTTGATTTAAAGTGAGAATCAGTCTGTTATGGAAAAATGGGTTAGGTTGAGTAACTCCGTAAAATCAGACCTCAAAGAGGTCGAATCCTCATCGACTCCATTGTCGAGAACCTCCCGCTCGTTGGTTTCACGACGTCTTTCTAACTTAAGGGCTTCTTCCGCTTTCCTGTGCTCCTTCAGCCGTTTGTCTTCCATCTTTTTCAATTCTTGATCCGTCATGAATCGTACCTTCGGTTCTGGTTGGCTACGAGCGCTGAATTCGAATAAATATTACTTTGAAAATAGGAGGAAAAAAGACCTTTTAGCTTCTAAATCCGCGTCACGTCTATTGAAGGAGTCCATCAAGGGACGAGTGTCAGAAAAGTCGCCGAGGGTACTCAGAGAAAAGTTTGTGATGTCTCGGTCGAGTCTCTGGATCTCCTCCCGAAGGTTCGCGTCTTCTTTGTCTTCGCTTGCATGGGCAGTCGTAGGAATGTCCTTCCTGAATAGGATGAGAAACATGATAAATCAGAAAACTTTTTCAGCTTTTGGGTTCTTTTGGCTTTTTTTACTGAGTATAGACTGAACTTATCAGAGTCCGTTATCCAGAAAGAGAAAATCGCCTTTCAAAGGAGATACAATGTTAAGAAATAAAAAATCACGATAAAGTGTGCTAAACTTTTTTAAAATCCTAAGAGATCTATATAGAGTCAGAAGATTGGATTTAAAATTTCAGTTCAGTAAAGAACGTGTCAAACTGAAGAGCCCAGTACATCGAGAAAAGGAAAGCTCTCCACTAAGAGTTAAAAGCGGGGAAAAAGCGGAAAAAACGTGTTTTTTTTCAGTTCTTCGACGATTTATAGAAGTCTGAAAAAATGACCAGTAGGTTTTTGAAACCGTACTCCTCAGAAAAATGCGATTTGACGTGTACTAATAACACATGCGATCTTATGTGAGCTGGATCCAACCCCAGCCTTCTGCAAGCAAGACAAGAAAAAAATTAGAAAACCTTCTTAAACTTTTTTGTCGGAATCAGCCCATTTGAAAAAGCTCTCTTCTAATAAATCAAAGAAACGCCAACCCCCGAGCATAAACAGCAGCTACAGGTCCTCGTGGCGGCGGCACAGGCTCCCTTCTGACGCCTCCATTGAAGGACGGCGAATGCGTCGAGGTCCTCGAAGACATCGTCGACGCCGTCGCCAGCCATCGTTCTTCCTCGGCGTCGTCTTGCTTGTTCAGAGCAATTGATAGCCCTTGGAGGTTCGTTTTCAGGGAATTCGCTGCCGAAGCCTTGAAAAACTCTGATAAACTTTGGATCTTTCAGCAAGACTCTCACAGAGCAGTCTTGAGCTGTCTTCGCTTTTTTTTCGTTGTCAATTTTTTTTTTTCAAAAATAAAGATTATTTTAAAATTATCCATAGGTACACTCAGCTTCAATGAATTTGAAAAGATTCAAATTTTTGCCATCTTTAAGTGGGCTTAAAGACCTTTTTTTTTTACTGAAAACCTACAGTAAGCGGAGGCGCGCTGGGAGTTATTGTCCCTCGAGATCTGTCCCGTTCCAACGAAGCGAACTGCTCACAAATCTTCAAAAAAAACCATTTCAAAGGGCTTCAAAAAAGCTCCAAACATCATCAATGAGCGGGAAATTGTGATTGGAGCGGAGGGAGCTCGTCGCGTGGAGTAACGTTGAAGACGTCGGCGGTTGTGATGGCGCGCGATATTGCGGTGGCGATACAGCCTCGCGGAGGTTCAAGGCGTCCTAAGTACCTTTTTTAATTGGAAGCAAAAAAAAAAAGGAAAAGCTCGAAGAGCAATTTAACCATGGGGTGTTGAAAAATCTTCGAAAAAAAAGGCGTTTTACTTGAAAGAACATAAATAATTTGAATAGAAGATGTAAAAATCAATGTAGAAACTAAATAAAGGAAGGTAATAATGGCCCCAATGATAGGAATATCATTCACCTTACTCAAAGAGGACGTGTCTCGGAGGGACATTGTCTCTTTGACTATCGCCTTTCTGGAAGGGACGTCGCGGAATTGGACCGAGGAGGAGGAAGAGGCCTGAAAGAGCAGTTTCAAGGAGAATGACTCATGGTGAGTTACATGGGAAGGAGCTGGAGAAGGTTGAGAGGACATTTGACGAGGAGTATGAGACGCAGATGGGGACACTGCCGACGGGGTCAAGTCCTTCTTGTCGAGCTGGAAAAGCAGTTTGAACAAAGAAGTTTGGCCAGGCTGATTTCAGAACGCGTCAAGGGCAAAAATTCAAAGCAGGGGAAGTATGAAAAAACTTTTTTTTTTCTTAAAACTATTTTATTTCTTTTCTCAATCGGAAATTGAGCTCCATCGAAGGCTTTACTTTTTCAATCGGTAAATCCAAGGTAACCAAAAATAATTTTAAAGGCTTGAAAAAGGTTCATTTGTGCTCCACTTTTGCGTCTTTTTTCGATCTGAACTGATTCTTTTTGCTCAAAATTGCATTCCAAACAGATACGACTAGAATTCACGATTTCAATAAAAACTGAGAGCAGAGCCAAATAGTTCGAAAATAAGTTTTTCAGATGCACCTGAAGAAGTCCGAAGGCGGTCCCATCAATACCGACGTGACACGTGTGTCGGACTTCTCCGACCGGCTCACTGATCAAGGCTTTCCTCCGTTCTCGTTCGTTCTCCTTGTCCTTCTTCTGGTTCTTCTTCTCACTGTCCTTCTTCTTCTCGGAGAAGCTCATGTCGCTGTTCAACGTCGTACCATTATTTGCTGGAGCTTCGGAACCTTGAAATTATTAAGCTTTCCTTGAGATTTACTTATTTCTTGCTGCTGAAGGATTGTTTTCTTGAAAAAAAACCAACCAAGATGGGCGACAGTGTCCGATGGCCTGAAGAGTCCCAATTTGCCATTTCTGAGAGAGCCAAACCAGTAATAACCATCCGGATATTCAGCCGGACTGAAAATCGCATAAAAGTGGAAGATGATTTTCAGAAAAGGAAATCTAAAAATCTCTAAAACTTCCCCTGCAAAAAACCCGTTTCAATTTTTTTATTTATTTCAACGATCCCAACATTTTTCAGAAAATTCGTGTGGAAACTGGGAGATAGCCATAAAAAAGCAACGTGGGACATGAATTAGAGTGGCCACTAGAGGGACTCGGATTTTAATTGTATTTCGTGTTCTTCCCATGAAAAAGAAGATCTTAGACTTACAATCGATCGATAACAACGATCAGATCATCCTTTTTGAAGTTCAAGTGGTCGGCAGCGTTGTCGAAGCAATCGGAAATGGCTCTGACGGTTTGGACCCGCCTGAAACTCAAGGATTTCTCTGGAAGTTCAAGAAAAAAAGACCTCTCAGGGAACTTCTCCACGATCTCCGCAAAGGTTGGACGTCTTTCTGGAGCATGAGTCCAGGTCTCCTTCATCAGTTCGTAGATGTCTTCGGGACACGCGGAGGGTCTCTCCAGAAGCTCTCTTCTTCGATCAACAGCCTCCAGAATCTGAGCGCCACTCCTGCCTTGCCACGGCATCTGCCCGTAGGTGAACATCTCCCAAAGTGTCACTCCGTAGGCCCAGACGTCAGATTTCGAGGTGAACTATAGGAAATGAGGTTCAGAAAGAAACGATTCTGATTTGAAGGAACCTTCAAGAAGTTGATGCATTCTGGAGCACACCAGGCAATTGGGAGGCGGAGCGAAGGCGTAAATTCACTTCGGTAGTAGTCTTCACCGACTCCCAGAGATCTCGACAAGCCAAAGTCCGATATTTTCACCTGAGAATGGGTAATTGCTGAATTGAGGGTTGCACAAAGAATTACATGGGAAGCCGGTAAAAGAAACTGTTGTAGGTATGAATAGATCACGGAGAAGATCAGACCACTATATGAAGGTCTGTTCGTGGACCATGATATACAAACTCTCTCCGGCCTGTACTCCAGCTTCCGACATGCTCTCTTCGGCGATCTCACCGCCCGACAACAACTAGCCGCCGTTCCATGCCCGGATTCTACTCTAGCTTCCGACATGCCCTCTTCGGCAATCTCACCGTCCCACAACAACTGACCGCCGTTCCATGACCGGATTCTAATCCAGCTGCCGACATCCGTTCTCCGGCGACTACACCGTCACATGGCGGCTCGTGACGTGTGACAGTGTAGCCGCCAAAGAGGGCATGTCAGAAGCTGGAGTAGAGGCCGGGGTGAGTTTTTGTATTATGAATTATGCTGTGTGAACAGGCCTTTATATAGTGGTCTTATCTCCCACGTGATCTATTAATTCCTACATACTCAACAGAAACTACGAAAAAAAAAAAGTTTGGAAAAAAGTTAATTATAATCGACGTGGATCAAGTTAGAATGACTCGGTGTGAAGCTTCTTCATTATTATTATCTCATTTCATTACGTCGACTAGTCGGTCTCATTGCCGCTCTCATGGGATAACATTCCGACGCCCATTGGCCATGGACAAGCTGTGCGCCGTACTGTTCCAACATGGTGAAGCACTTCATTTGCTGGTACTAGCAACGGAGCCACGTTAATTCCTAACTCTAGCTGTCTCGCCGAGACTTATTGGACAACGATTGTGGGCCGTAACCCGCGCCGACGATAACTCTTCGATTATACCATGCTTTAGCAGAGATTTCTCCATCTTACTCTGAAGACTAAATAAATTGTATTGTATTGTATTGTAATTGAAGCTTCTCCATCGCAGTTATCATAAAGTTGCGCCCGACTACAAAGCGACTTGCGCAGAAAGTCGTAAGTTTGCCAAAGTTCCAATAGAAGCTTCAAGATTCAAAGTACACCCGCAAAGAAAAAAATGAGCCATTCTAAAAAAATGAATTATGGTAAATTAAGTAAAACTTCAATATAAATATCAATGAAATGACGATTGCATAGAGAAAGCCTTCGAAAAAGTTCTCAAATTGAAAAAATGCTACGAAGAAAGACACAAAAACCACTTTTAAAATATTTTTTTTTCAAAAAAAATTCCGAAGCGAAAAGGATACTGTAGCCTTGGGCTTAATCTGTTTCTCTCTAAGTTTCATATGAGCGTACTGTAAACCAAAAAATTACCTTTTTGGGACTGAAAACCAGAACATTTCTGGCGGCGAGGTCTCGGTGGATCAGTCGCTGAGATTCCAAGTATGCCATTCCCTGAACATACAGTTTATAAATATTCAATAATTCATGAAAACCATCGCCATTTGCTCAGCATAGTCACACAAGACGTGGACGGGGAAAGAATCTCGAAGAGCCGGTTTATGGATGCATTCCAGCAATGATCCGCAGGTGGCCAGTTCCGAGACCTGGAAAATAATGGAAAATTTGAGGGCCTATGTGAGAAATCGAGCTCTTTTTAGTTTGAAGCTTGGAATTTTATAAATTTGCGCCGACTCTCTCTGACAAGGGAGGTCATTCCACTTAGCGGTTTGGAACTTTGATGTACCAGAAGAAGTTTCTGAAAGTCTCAACTTGCAAAACTTTCTCGTTTTTGAGAAAAATCGCCGTAAGTTCTAATAAATCGCTCAAAATCCATTAAAATGAGCTATTTTGGGTCTTTGGAACTTCATTTCTCGAGAACTAGGAAGTTTTGCAGGTTGAGACTTCAGGATCTTCATCTGGTACATGAAGAGGCGTTCTGGCCATATTTCAGAAAATTCCCAACCGCAAAGTAAAATGACCTCCTCTGTGAAGGTCTAGGTGAATCTCTTATAAACACTCCTTTCGATGATATGATTTCAGGAAGTTTAAAAATGTTTGTTTTAGAAAATATGTTGTCTTGGACATTTTAAGAATCATATCTTCAAAACTTCCTTAACAAGGATCTTAACCTAGACCTTCAAAGAGAGTTAGGGAGAATTTACAGAAAATTCAAAACTCCAAGCTTCAAACTAAAACTATTTTTCCCTATTTAGAGCTTCTACACAATTTCACAAATAGTATTACTTCCCAGCAGTATTGAATAATTTTTTTTTGAGGTTTTTTGAAACATGGTATACACCTCTAGCATGCACTAGGACAACGTCAAAACAACTTATTTTCCAATTTTTCGTAACCTCTACCTTTTAGAATCTTCCAGATATTTCTGAAAAAAAACTCACATCTTTATGATTAGACTCTCCTCCCACTCAGAATAAATCTCTCAACTCAAGAGAATCTTTTTTTTTTTGAATACTGATTTCAAAAATGTTATATGTTATCCAGATTGATTATCGTTCTACTCAAAAACAATGCCAGTAGCCAATATTTCACCATAAAACTGACCATCATGATCTTCTTGGTGTCGAGAACAACTCCGAAAAGCCGGACCACATGGTCATGTCTCATGCGGGTCATGATGGCGGCTTCTTGGAGGAAAGATGAAGAAGAGGAGAGGAGCTTATCCGCCGCCACGCACTTTACCGCTACCTAGAACAAAATAAAAATGATAATAGCTTTTTAAAATACCCTTTTGATTACAAAGAATTTTCAGAAGTTCACGTCCTCCTCATCAGTGAATTTATGCCCAGAAAAATGTTTTCCAATTAACACTTAGGTAGATTCTTTACTAACTGCAGAAAAAAACTTTAAAGGCATGAACTATTGAATTTTGAGCTAATGAAACACTTCGTAATCTATGATAAAAGACAACTGAATCCAAACAAACTATCAAATTAAAGACGGAAGATGAATTAGCTTTTTATTTCACATTTCATTATCCTCCTCGAAACTTGATTTCAAGCTCATATTTGGAGTGCTATTTTTAAAAAAAAAACCTGGATAACTTCGGCGTTATTTTTCCAGGAAGCTTGCCAGACCGAACCAAATTCGCCGTGACCCAGCTCTTTGCAGAGAGTGATTCTGAAAAACCAAAAAATTACATAAAAACAGAAAAAAGTCACTTTTCAAGAGGAATAACGTGTTGATCGTCGTCTTCCCTCTGGGCGACGGCTTCTTTCCGATCGCAACTTTCAGATCGTCCAAAAACCTGAGAAAAAATTTTTTCTAGTTTCCAATCTGGGTAAATCGGTATTTTTGATGATTCTCGCAGAAAGGAGATTTGAAGGGTCCAGTGTTTGAGCTTTTCATTTTTTACTGGGTATTGAAAGCTTGGAAAAGCTCGTAAAGAGCAGAAAAAAAAGTGAGAAAGGGGAAAGATCAACGCAAAAAAGTAGCTTAACCTACAAAAATTCCTATTTTCAGAAGAAGGAAATCTCAAAGGCGAAAAAATCGACAAATTCCGTTAAAATAAGCGAGTTTAAGATTTTGAGACCTCATTTCTCGAAAACTAGGAATTTATACCGATTAAAACTCTCAGGACCTTCATTTTGTACATCAAGGGATATTATGGTCAATATTCGGAAAAATCCGAACCGCAAAATGAATTTATCTTCCTTGTAATTATCCTATTTTTCTGAATAACCGCACCTTTTTCAACTTTCCAACGAATCCGCTCGGATACATTTTAGTGTACTCTTTCCTAAGACGCTTTTGTTCAGGACGGCTCATTCCTAAAAAAACTATGATAAATTTTTTTACAGGGTTCTCAACCGATAGAAGAAAGATCCAGCTCCTCAACGTACTGAAGGTCGCCGGCGTTGCGAAGTTTCAGCTTTTTCCTCATTTCCCGTTCATACCTTAACAAGAAAATGAAGTGAGTGAAAATTGAAAAAGAAATTTAAAAAAACATTGAAAAAAATGAAATTTCAATGGCACGGAAAAAAAATATCAGAAAAAAAAGAGTTTTTTTGTTGAGAAAAGACATTCAAGAAATCGTTCTTTTTTTATGACTTTTTCTTGGAGAATTTTTTTATTCAAAGACGATGGTGAAAAAAGATCGAATAAAATTACAGGAGAAACCCTGAAAAGCAGAGATAAGCACAAAATTCTTGAAAAGACGTGAATGAAGTCTTAAAAAAGGTGTGTGGACCTTTTTTTTCTCACTGTGCGTCATAACTACCGACTCATTAACTTTTTTTGTAGTTGTTTGGAAAACTAAGAACATTTTTGCAGAATAAAAATTATTTTAAAAGAAACCTCATCTAAAATGTGAAATTCAAAATACTTTACAAAAGACCTTCAATCGACAATTCTTCAAAAAACAAAAGATCATGTTTTTGACCGCGTCAAAACTATAGACTCGCCCTGTGTTCTTCGTTTTTTTTCTGTTTTTTTTGGTGCTTTTCTACTCTATCGAACTTTCATAAGATCTGACATTGCTTCAAAATTTTTTTGAAAACCCATTGAGCTTTTTATTGGCTCAAGTCTGGATCAGCGCCAACATTTTTTTTTATCAATTTTTGACTTTTGGAAAGAGTCTTGTTTTGTGATAATGGGCTTGTAATTGATATCTCGCTCGGAAAATTTAGCCTTTTATCTAATTTTGAGCTTTGAAAAGAGCCTTTTTCGAAACAAAATGCTCAACATCGATATCTCACCCGGAAAGGTCAGCTGCGACGAGAAGTCGGGTGAGACTGGCGTCTTTGTCGCCGGCGACGTGGCCGTTCGTCGCCGAGCCTTCGGTCATGGCGACGCCGTCTTCGCTTCAAATAATGAATCGAGAAAATTTCCGGAGAAAAATCTATACAATTTAATTGAGAGCTTAAAAGGAGGAAAAATATACTTTTAAAAAGTAAAGTGCTTTGAGAGGGGGGACATTCTTTTTAGAAGCTTTCAACGATTCGAACATGAAAGGGAGCAAAAAAAGTGAAGCTAGTTTGGCCCAAGAATCCAGCAATAAATTGCGAAATTTGTCAAGAATCGGAAATTTTCAGGTGGAGTAAAAGGGAAAAGACGAAACAGTGGCAATAAAAGAGTATAATTAGATGACAGCGGGGGCACCTGCCGTCGAAATTCAATGAGGCGTGGTGTGAATTTTCTCTCTGACCGTTGAAAATTCAGAAGAAAAAATGAAAGGTAGGTCATTTTAACGTTAATTTTGACATTTTTGAGAACTTTTCAGAAAAATACTTTGTTAGTCTGGATAGACCCGCGCAAATATCATGCCTTGTTCAAGTAACTTCCACGAAATTGGAAAATATCTCTGACTCTCTAAAATCAAGTTGTCTTTTTCACTCTCTGACGGCTATTTTTAGAAGACGGGGACGATTTTGAAGCTTCAATTTATCTAAATGAAATTAAAAGCCTTAAAAAGTAGAGCCTAAAGCTCCTTTTTGAGTTTTTAAAAAGGTATGAAGAGTTTCTCGGAATATTCTTTTTTTTCCATCTTTTTTCCGCCTTATTTTTTTACACCTCTTTAAAAGGTTTTATTCAGAAAAAGGTCTAGAAAAAAGGCGCCTTTAAGGCCATTTAAAGGCTTTTTTTTCCAAAAGTCCTTTTTGAGACCTTTAGGACTTTGCCCGTGAATATAAATGAAATGGACGTTTGAAAGGAATTTCAGAAAGATATAACTAAAAGGCCTCCATCTCCAGGTATTTGGAAAGAAATACAAGGACGCTTTCGTTCTAAACTCTCACAAGAAAAAAAGGAAAGGACAAACAGAAAAGCCATTAAATCTATGGGTTTTCTTTTTCTTCTTCGGTTTCACTTTTGTGGCTTCAGATCGGAGATGTACATATGGCTGTTACAATGTTGTTTCAATCGTCAAAGGGTTCTTTTGGGTCGAAAAAGTTCTAATATTGGTTGAAATTTTCGAAATGAAAATTACTTGAAAAAAACGTTGAGAAATGTTTGTTTTATATGTATTTCTAAGCGTAAAAGCGTTTAAAAATGGATAAAATGAAGGATTTGTTAAAACTTTGACATAAAGAAGAAATATTTTTCACCACCATTTTCTTGGAAAGGTCCATTTTTTGATGGTAAAATAGGCAGAAAACAAAATTTTTCCTTGCATTAAGATAAAAAAAGTTCAAAAAAATGAGGAAATATTTGAAAAAAACACAACTTTTTCGAAACTGTTTCTATTTAAAAAAACGATTATTTTTCTGAGAAGCTTCACTTTTAATGGTAAAATGGCGGAAAACAGCTTACTTCTCATTTTCAAAATGAAAAACAAGCATTAAAATCACCCAAAAAACAAACGTAGGGGCAGAGAAGAAGAAGAAAACCAAGGAAAATGAGAGAAAAATTGATAGTACATGGTGTCGTCGCAACGTCGCCACAGTGATTTATGACGGTAGGGAAAGGGGGCCAAATCAGAACGAACACCGTTCTTTTCGATGTTTGTGTACCTAGAGGATTAAGGCGTATGATTTAAGATTAAGTTTCCTCGAAACTTGGAAACAGCAAAGGTGATTCGATCTTGACTTCGAGAAATACTGAAAGTCAGGTTCTTCTTCATTTGCAGCATTTCTGACAGATTTATTTTTTATAATTTAGAGATAAAATAAAAATAGAGTTCAATTTATCATAAATCGTTCCAGGACCATTTTTTTTAAAACTGATAGCTAACAAATTATAAAAAAATATCCAAAAATATCTCAAAAACCTCACGGACAGTCAGACCAGAAAAAAATACGAAGAATCATTTGATACCTAATCGACCTGCTTCCGTTGTAAACGGGCTGATTACATGAATAATTTATCAAATAAAATAAAAATAGCACAAATCCTCGAAAAATCTTTCAAAAATTGGAAAAGACCCTTCTTTGGAAGACCTTGATTTACCCCTACAAAATCTTTTTTTGTGCTTCGAATTCTCTTTGAAAGGAACAAAACGGTCAATCGCAACTCAAAACACGAAATTGGGCATGGAAGAAGCGATAAAAGCAGAAGAAAAAACAAAAAAATCATTTAATCCGAAATTTCATTGGACTATTCGTTTCAGGACCATTTTTTTTTGTAAATGACAGTGTTTCTGATACTTCTAACTCAACACAATCCTTTAAACAAGAAAGGAACAAAAAAGAAAATAATAATTCAATGATTTGTTGGACTATTCGTTGCAGGACCATTTTTGCAAACAAAACTTTTTCTAAATCTGAACTTTTCTGCTTTAAATTTCCTCTGAACGAAGCAAAACGATCAATCGCAACTCAAAACACGAAATTCAACCTAGAAGGAGCAAAAAAAAAAGAGTTGTGAAGGAATGCCGAAAAGAGTAAACGCCCTAGTGTCGAGTGGTGAGTCAACGGCTGAGCTTGCCAAACGGACATCCATCATTTTCGCCGAAACGTCCCGCAATACTCGTTAAAACGGCCAGAATCGATGCCGAGACATAAAGTCCGAACAACATGTAAGCTGAGAACAAAGAAAAGAGCTTGGTTTGTTTTATGAATTCTTTAGGAGAAAAATAATGAATGGAGCGAAAAAAAAACGGCCTTTTCAAATCCGCTTCTACAATGTGTGCTACTCGGATCAATAAAAATCGGAAAATGTGTTAAATATTTTCATTGATGCGTGTAATCCGTGAAATGCTACTGATAGATAAGAATCCAAGAAAAAAACCCTTTGAACATTTTTTTGGAGGGAGGGGGAAGGGGCTATAGCCTATTCCAATGTGCCTACCATCCCATTTTTTAAAACTTTCAGAAAACTCCAAAACTAAATTCTTCAAAAAGGTCTTCAAAATCAGAAACTCAACCCCCTAAATCAAAAGAAAAAAATTTTAAAACGGATAAAAACGTTTGAAAGAGAAAGGAAACGAGAAAAAGTATGACCACCCTTAATTCGTAACGACGCCTTTCTTTTCGGCAAGGGTTGGGCCGAAGGTTCATTGAATAAATCATGAGAAACAAAAGATTCATAGGCATGAACGCGACGAGAAACAGCTTGAAAAACAGGTACGCCATGCAATTTCTGATTGTATTTGTCAGTAATCGATAAATTCTCTTCTGATGACCTGCCATGGCGGCGTCGCCCACCTGACAAAGGTCATTTATTTCCACGCGGTGGTAAATTTTAGTGAAATTAAGCGAATAATTTCTATTAACAGCCAATCAAATCGGTACACTAAAAAATAAAAAATATTTCCATGATGATTAATAATTTCGAACAGCTTTATATAAGAAAACAAATGGCGCTCTCTTATTTTTCGGGAAAAAAAGCTCTCTAAAAAAATAAAAAAAGAAAAACAACCCAGAAAGGCAAAAAGAGTGCAATTGAAAAATGTATCGATTTCTCCTTGATTTTTTTATGATTTAACATGAAAATTTTTTTAATATTATCAATATTAAACCTCTCATTTCTGAGAATTACTGAATTTTTTTCAGAAGTATTTGATGCTTTATTTTTGAAAAAGAAGCAATGAAAAAAAGGTTGGAAAACCCTATAAAAAAACATACATTTGAAGACTGCGATGCTTCTTTTTTTGTAAAAAAACGTTCCCCGGATCCTATAATCCAGAGACGGATTTATGTGACAACCGCATGTGTTCAGAATAAAATGGAAGCGAAATCAAGTCTTAAAAAAATTTTTTTGATTAGAAATAAAAACCCACATAAAATTACTACCAAGCACTTGAAAAAGCCTAAAAGCGAAAAAACGTATTATCGACGGATCAGTGGCTCGTTGTCGCTAATTTATGACGTGGTTGATGAAATTTGAAGCTCAGAAAATTTTACACCGTGAAGCTTTCGAGTCTGAAAAACCGAACAGCATTTTAACAAGTGCCAAAATTCCTAGAAACGCATCAAGGAAAAAAAAAACAATATTGAGTTTTAACCTAACACTACCAGTATAAAACCTTTGACTAATCAAACTGAAAATGTGTATTTTTAAACTTTTGACACATTTATAGACCGCGAACTTTCGTAAAATCGCCCTAAAATCTAAGAACCCTGAATAATTAACCAGGAAAAAAAACTTACAAAACGAACATAGAAAATTTATAAGACACAATAAAATGATCTCAATTTTCAGCCAAAGCTTGAAAAGGAGAGTGACAAGTCCTTGAGTCCATTCTGTCAAAACTTGTCAGGGATAAGCTATGACTGGATGATGGAAGTTTTTCAAGGTCTGAGAGAAGAAAAAAATTTTACATTCTAGGTGTATTTTAGCTCCTAAAGCTTCAGAAAAAAAAAGCTCAAATTGAGGATAAACCAGCTGTTGTATTCCATATATTCAAATTCTAAAATGAAAAAAAGGAGAAGCTTCTAGTAAAGGATTAAAAAAAGTTAAAGAGATTAATTTGGAACCGCAGGAAGGAGCTTTCAAGATTTATGGATTTTTTTTTATGAATTAAAAGAAATTTAAAATTTCCTACAGACGTCTTTTACCAGTTTAAAATTGATCTTAAAAACTATTTCAGTCCATTTTTGCATCGTGTATGTATTGTCTAACAAGGTAAATAATTTCAACGCTGAAAAATTTTCAAAACTTCTCTCGGAAAAATTCGGAACGTCAAAGTGAAAAGCCGTTATGCATACGTTACATGCGTAACTTATTATATTCAAATTTTTCAAATTTTTGTATTCTTTGCAATAAGGCTGGTAACTTATTATACATCGCAGAACAAAATAATCTTGAGATCAAGGATCAATTTTTGGGTCTGTAAAGGATTTCTACTCTGTGGAAAGGCAACTTCCGAGAATTAGGCAGAATAATTCAGGATGAATTTTTGATTTGTGGGGTCCTTTCTCAAAGACTAGCGATTTGAGCTGGTTGAGAGTTCCAGGACTTTCATTTGGTACATCAAAGATGATCTAGTCAGTTTTCAATAAATTACCACCCTAGTGAGGAAAAAAGTATACATCAAGAAGAGTTATAGCCGTTTTTCAGGGAATTTTCAACCAAAAAGTGAATACTCTGAGGAAAAAATAGTGTGAAAATGGACATCCCACTTTTAGATGTACCTTACCTATAATTTTGAGGTGTCTTAGTAATTTCTGCTTGATTAGACTTTCAGGATTTAAATCTGATACATTAAGAAAAGTTCGAGCCAATTTCCAGAGAGTTTTTAATCAAAAAGTGAAAGGACCACCATAGTGAGGAAAAAAAATTGTGTGAAAAGCTCGGATTTCGGACAAATTGGTGAGGCTGTTATGCAATATGAAATGTCCGGAATGGACAACAATTGCGTGAGTCCAGCCGGAGCCACGCGCCCGGAGTGTATGTCGAAGGGGAGAGAGGTGACGCCAACTGACGCCCCTCCTGAGGGCCGACTTTACGTTCGTTTCGAATGGGCCCCGCGAGTTTCGGACATCAGAGGATGGTCGCAAAACGCGTTCCTCAACACTCTCGTAGCACATTTGACATCAGAAAGAGAGCGAGAGCGATCGTATCACTTTTTGCTTGGATCCGATGCCATGAGATCGGGAGCAAAGTGAGGCGGCGGCGGCGTAAGATAAGACCCCACTTGCTTCATCTCTTCTCAATCTTTTCACCGGAACCTTTCAAAGATGCTCAAGAGAGTAGGAAGATTGTTGCAAAATGTTGAGATTTCAACTCTTTTCCATTGTCTGAAAGGCTTTTGCAGACAAAAAAGTAATATTATGGGTTCATAAAACCTTGATAGAGCGTTTTATTGCTCGGAAGCTTCGTATATCCCGGAAATAAGTGCAAAAAGGTGTATAATTTATAAAAAGGACCTATATTTTTTTTAAAAGGGCTTTTGGGAATGTAGAACGAATGAACTTCGAATTCTTTATTTTTAATCGAAAAATTTTCTAGCTTCAACTTTCGCCAAGAAAATCTTACAGTAAGGGAAAAAAATCATCGAAAAAAAGTCTTGATAGTATCATAATCACCACACAGAACGCATAAAATTACTGTTTTATCGGTGACTTGGCTTTATCCTATTCGCGAAACAGAGAGTCAAATTAAAAAAGGTTCAGACGTCTCTGCAGTTTTTTTTCTCAAGATAGCGGTGAGTAAAGTATGGAGTCAAAAAAAAAATAGCTTGAAAATAAACTTGAAGGTTACTGTAGAGATTCATAACTTTTTCATCAATCAATTAAAGAAAAATTTCAAAAGAAAAAATGGGAAATTGTGGTTTTTTTCATATTATTTTCAAACCTGCAGATTGTTAATGAGAACACAGAATCCTCGTTGAAAATCGCCAAAAAATAATTAATTAAGACCTTGAAAAACTTGAAAAAAATTGAACAAGGAAAAAAGAAACAAAAGAAGTAAAGATTTAAAAAAACCTCTGCGAAATCCGAACTCCAATATTCATAGAGTCGTGCGAACACACCGACTTGAAGTATCAAAAGTGTCAACTTGACTTTTTTTTTCCGGAAAGGTAAACACACACTGAGATTTTTATGAATAAAAAAATTTATTTGAAAAAAATGGCAACAAACAACGGGGAAAAAAACAACAAAAAGCATAACAGTTTGGAAAAAAATTAGACATATTCATTCTAAACTTCTGGATTCAATTATCATCGCAATTCAATTGAAACAACAAAAAAAACAAAAAAAACAAAACTTTATTTCATGATTCTTCCTTTTTTGGCGGCCAATTTCTTTTTGATCGCTTTTTTCGCGGATTTTTTGAGAAGGCGTCGTTCTTTCTGTTCGTCGGTCCTGGAAAAACAATATTCATCAGAAAAATGCCTCCCTTGAAATTTTTTTCGTTTTTGAAGTCAATTTTTCCTCAAAGAGTCGAAAATGGACTATTTTTTACTTCAAAAATAAAAAAATAGTTGAAAGCAAACTTTTTTACAAGTAAGAAGTTTTTTACAGGTTTATAGAAGTTGATTTCAACCTCTAGCTAAATTTCTGAGCTTCCTTTGTCGAATTAAGACGAAAAACTTGAGATTTTTAAGAGATATTTTTTTCCAATGAAGCTTTTTTTCAAACGGCTCTTTTTCACCTCTTTTTGCTATTTTTTTGTAAACCAGAGAGAGAGAAAATGAGCAGAAAAAGAAAAAAACGACGAGATGTGTATTTCAAAATGAGACAAGAAACTTTTAGGGAATATTTTCATACTGGTTTTTCTGTTTACCGATCTAGTTTTTTTACTTATAAATAAATTTTTCATAAAGAAACAAGCAATTTAGACAAAAGTATCTAAAATTTTTCAAAAATTGTTCATCGTACACGGAGCTGAGGACTAATAATGGAGGCCACCGCACGAATACGAACTTCATTTCGCACTTCCGAAAGCTCGTACAAGTGAAAATCACTGCACAAGAGTGTCTGAGTGCAAGCGAGGGATCGAACCCGCGACCATGGCGGCGGCAGACAAACGCGTTCCCCACTGCGCCAGGGTTCTAGGTCCTCTTCTCCTTTGAGATGAGCGACTAGTCTACTCGCGCGCAGCCGTATTTTCTTTTAAAACTGTTTTTTTTAAACCTTGGCCTGCTTTCTCTGGTCGAGAATTTGTGTTGAGCGACTTTCTCAGAGACTTTTTCAGCCGCAGGTTTTTTCTGTTTGCCGGCCGATTTCTTGGCGTTGGTCACTTTCTGGAAATCGGAAGTTGATCTTTTTCTTCTACTTCTTGACTACAGAAATCTGGTTTTTCTTCATCAATTTCGTGATTCGCAGATCTCGCTTTCCCAGTTTGATCGTTTCCATGCCCAAGGCGAGTAAGACGGTGGCTTCCGACTGTAGAAAAAGTCGAATTTTCTCGGAGGTTCAATGAAAATGGAGGTGAAAACCTTGAAATTAACGAAAGAAAATCCTTTGCTGTTGCCAGTTTGAGCGTCCCTGACAATACGGACCGAGTCCACTGGGCCGATTTCTTTCTCGAAAAGTTGAAAAAGAGTATCGTCGCTGATGTCAAACGGCAAGTTTCCTATAAAATGTCGATTTTCTTTCAAAAGTCTAGAGCTTTTTTATTTATTTTGCGTTTGAGGCTTCTACAGTCACAGAGAGATTCAACTTCAAAGCTTTATGGAGGGTATGAATTAGTGCACACTTGAAAAATTTGTTTTGAAAAAATGGGAAGATTTTTTTTTTGAGTGACGTCAGAGGCAAGATTCCCAATAGAGAAATTTATGAATTTTCCGAGAAAGTAGAGAAAAAAGTGACCACAACAAAGTTTTTGGCTCAAAATGGCCCCTGTAGGCACTTTTGACGTGTTAATTAAAGCGGTCTGCACTATTTAGTTATTTCTGGCGGATTCTACTATAGAAAGATCGATCCAGAGAGCTTACTCGTCTAACAAATAATCAGTTAGATATCACTCAAAAAAAAACCCGAAGTGACAACTTAAGTGTCGAACAATACTGGCACTATAGGTTTTTTTTATCGATGCGGTTAGAGTGAAAAAAAATAATTTCATAACCACGCTGATAGAAATATTGCTTCAATGCATCAAATTCAGAGTAAACTCTCTGATGACCACGTCAAAATCTTCATTACCACTAGAGCCATCCCTAAAACTTATAAGGAAATTTTTAGTGACCACAGGTTCCTCAAGGGATTTCTGAAGAGGATTCTAAAGTGGCCACTAACTTTAGCACCTTAAGAGGCCACTAATTTTACGACTATAGTGGTCACTGAAAGGTCACTAAAAATATTCCAGCACCACTACAACGTTTTCCCAAACTGACCGACGAAAACGGCCGTATTTTTGTCGTAGGACTTTTTCTCGCCACATCTGTCGACGCGAATCGTGTGAGTATCAATTTTGGTACCGTTGCTGAAAAGTTCTCACTTTCACTCTGAAATAAAATCCGGAGGCTCACTAGGCCAGGGCTTTCACGACGGACTCTTCGTTGTCGAACTTGACGTAGAAAGTGAGGGAAGTCTGTTTATCACTGAGTTTACCGGTGAAGTGGGCGAGGCGCTTCGTCAGCTTCCCATTCGACGGTATCAAGCTGCGCATTCGGACCGAGTCAACCTGATGAATTGACTTTGGGAAGCCAGTTTTTTATGGGCTAATCTTGAGAGATTCAGAAAAAAAAAGATGAACAAATGAGAATCTCCTTAGAAAAAGCGTAAATTTTGAAGCCAGCAGTAGAAAGCCGTTTCAGAAGTTTCCAACATTTTCGCAAAAATTTTTAAAAAAACTCTACTGAGAAAATTTGAAAATTTTCTTTTCATTTTCGACTCCTATTCCGGGCCTCATGATCTGATTTTTTACTTCGAACTCAAAATTTCTGTTTCTTTTGTAGAGAGTTTGAAGCCAGGATACTGATTCCATTTTTTTTTTCACTCTCTCTGCCAGGTTTTTCAGAAAATTCAAAAAAAACTGTAACGAAAAATGAAAATTCAAGAAATGGCCAAGGTCCATATGGAAAGCAAAAAATTACAATAACGTGTCGAAAAACACCTATAAGGCAAAGAAAAAGGTCACAAAACTGAATACCTTTCCGTATTCGCTGAAAATCCGGCGAACGGCCTTTTCGTTCATCGTCAGAGGCATGTTTCCCACGAAAATCGTCTTCAACGTGTCTGCTTCTCTCACTTTTGCCAAGACCTTCATCGTCTTTTTCTTATCTCTGGATTGATTAAGCTCATTAGTTTTAATCGAAAACTTTACTGAAGATTCAGAAAATTCTAAAAATATAGTCAGTTCAATCTTTGAATGTCAAGTTTGTCGCTCAAGCCCCGCCCCTAATGACGCAATGAACCAATCAGAGAGCGCGCCATCTACAGAGCGTTTTCGAATGACGTCATTTTACTTGAGATTCAAAATATGAGCAACCTATACTCTAGTTATATTCGATATTTTGAAACGTCACATGGAGGCAAACAACGGGTACATTGAATTTGTGTGGGCTTTCAGAAAAAATTTGAATTTTAGTTGAGTGGCATCCCGTAGCAAAGAGAAGGAGCCGTTCAAAGTCGGGCGCAGTTCTAGAGTAAGTACCAAATTCCACACTCATTCTATTTTTCAGCGTTTTAGCAAGAGTCCCATTCATTCAATGCAGTTTCAAGGCATTTTAAGTCATCAAAAAAAAAAAATAGTATTTGCTCAGTTATCAACAAAAATTGCCCTAGGTTCATTTTTGTTCGAAAAAATGCGAAATAATTGAATCACCTCTGCTGTTTCCTGTCAAAATCGCCTTCTTTCGGCGACTTTGCCTCCTGTTGACTAGAAGATTCCTCAGAATCCTCCACACCATCTTTTTCGTCGGAATTCGCCTTCTTATCAGTTTTCTTGATGACAGTTTCGCCGGAAGTCACTTTTTCTTGCAAGACAACTGAAAACAAATTTATGAACTCTGTGGAAAAACATCAAAAGTACAAAAAAAAACTCCAATTTGAGAACACTTCCTTAACTTCAACGCAAATAGGTCAAGCTTCAGTGGGAAATTTCAGTTTTAGTGTGAGAAAATAATTTCTAAAAATTGATCCCGACTTCGCAGAAACAGTCAAATTACAAGCTCACGATTTGAAATTCAATTAATTTGGAAAAAATGTACCTCCATCCGTAGATTTACCAAACAAACTCGAAAGTCCTCCTGCCTGGTAGTTGTTCTGAGGAACTAAAAAAAATAAATCTTTGCTGAAAGATTTTTTTAACCCACCACTTTCAACTTTTTTCTGCTTATCGTCATTATCGTCAGTGGGTTCTAGAAATTCAGATTTTTTTAAATAAATTATTATAATCATTTTTTTATTCTCTCGTCAACAATTTTTTTATCTCGAAATCTGACGAGTTAACCTATAAATTTGACCTTCAGAGAATCACTTGAAATCGGAAATTAAAGTTAAAAATGAAATTTTTTTCACTTTTTTTCTTTAATTGAGGTGCCTTAGAAATAATCAACTGAGCTAATAGCGAAATTTTTAGGCGCTAAAAAGGTACACAAATTCGAACATACATGAAAAAAATAAAGTTACCGGTCGACTTTTTTTCCCTATTATCGTTTATCGTATTTAAAAAAAGTTTATATTAGACCCTAACTCTTACTTTTTTCCTTGTTCTTCTTGATTTTCTTAGGAGCGATGGCCTCGACGGATTCTTCGTTTTCCGGCTCAGCTTCTGAACAAAAATGCGTTTTCTTTTATTTTTGAAAAAATTTGAGACCTTTCACTTTCCGCTTCTTATTTCCCTTCTCTTTAACCTGTTCAGATCCAACGTTCTCCTTCTGTACCTGGTCGTCACCGATCGATTCTAGAAAAATAATTCGACTATTTTCTGTCAATTTGAAAAATAAATGAAAATTCAAAATAAAACATAAAAAAATTTGACTTAGCCTGTTCAAAATTTCTCTTTAGGGTTTCTTTGAAAGAAAAAACGTTCTGTCATGAGCTCAAAATAACAAAGAAAAGGGCTTTTTATCTTGAAAAATTTTTCTAAAATCAGAATTTTTCAAAAACCCCCGATGATCTTCTGACGTAAAAAAACCGAAAATTAAAAACTAAAAAGCTGGAATTTATCAAAAACTTACCACTTGAACGGATCTACAGGAATTCAAAGTTTTTAAAAAAATTTGCCTTTATTTCCAAAATCTTTTTAAAAATTTCCATTAAAATCTTGGAACAATATCTTTCTTCCACCTTCTTTCGAAAATTAAATCAATTTTTTTGGCCTAAATTTTTTTCAAAACCAATTTTTTTCATTGGCCCAAAAATATATTCATTGATTTATGAAAATCGATAACCGCAGTTTTTTTCAATAATTTCAAAATTTCCAGTATCTTCAAAAATTCATCGAGAAAACTGATAGAAGCTCCCGATTTTCACTTCATCTTAATTTTTTTAGCCCAAATAAATACTCTAGTATCAGTTCAAAACGAGCGAATAAACCCGGACCATTTTTTTCGTTTATTCTTCTTGCTCTTCTTGGGACTCTCGACGGGTTCCTCTGTTTCTGAAAAAATATTCAAATTTCTGTGAATTCATAGAAAACCTATAAACCTTTTATTTTTCGCTTCTTGTTGGCCTTCTGTTGAACTTCTTCAGTTTCAGGCTCCAACTTTTTGCCCATTGCTAACTTTTAAAGACAAATCATGACTGAATAACGAACTTGAACTTCAGTATTGCATAGCCAAATAGTAACTATTCGAGAAAATTCATAAGAAAACTGATATTAATGTCCATTTTTATTCTTCAAAAAAATAAATAAGGAGGGAGTATCAGTATAGCGATTGGGAAAAACAATTGGAATAGTCGACAAAAAAAGATTAAAAATTATCAACAAAAGAATGACAAGGTGTTTTTGCTCAATATTGCATGTACATTTGCATGCCTGGTGGTGCCGGCGGAAGATCGTCGTGTCTTCCTTCGTTTCGGAACGCCACCTGGAAAGGTTTCAAAGTTTTTGAACCGTTTTTCTGACTAGGGAATGGTCTGCGGACGCAATTACTGAGTTAGAAAATATTTTTCTAAGGGTTTTTTTCTCGCTGATTTCGAATCTGGTCTCAAAAACTGCCGAGGAAGCTTGTGAAAAAAATTTCAAAGCTCTCGAAAAAAAATTAGAATTTTTCAATTTCTTTGAACTAACTATTTTTTTCATAGTAGCAGATGACTGATCAATTTCTTCCGAAAAAAATTTTAAGTCTCGATACGATTTTTTTCAAAGGGAAAATTTTTTCGCAAATTATCAAAATCGTTTGCTTGAAGTAGCGGACAAAACCTATTTATTCTCAGTTTCCAGAAACATTTTCAACAAAAACTTTTTTCGAAAAGGCTCTCTGAATAATTCAGTTATGAAATTATGGTTCCAAAGCAAGAGTTAAGGTAAATAGAAAAAAATATGGAAAGAAAAAGACTTACCCGTATTTCCAAACTCGGATTTTTGAATAGAAACTCAAAATAATTGAACATCAGAGACTTTGAGATAAAAAAAAAAACAATTTTTGGATTCCAAATTTTACCATGAAATTACAATTTCAACTTTTTATTTACTGCAAAGATGGCGCTTATGAGAAAATTTGAAAAATATCAGCAGAGAAGTTGAAAAAAATCCTTTAAAAATTATTTTCGTCGTCTATCTTCAAATGCAAAATTTCCAAAGAAAATCTTTCGAGACATAATTGAATTACCTGTAGGAAGAACTGCTTCGTGTCCTTGTTCCACATCGTCCAGAACTTTTCCGATTTGTCGATTTCTCTGTAAGGAGTTCAAAAATAAATCAGAGAAACATATTTTTCGAAACCTGGACGGAATTTTGAAGGCGATCGTTTCGTAGGGTTCGGCGGCGAAGAGCAAATACTGCCATTTTTTGTCTGGGGGCTGAAAAATGACGGAAATTATTAGATGAACAAATAATTGCACCTGGATCTTCTGCTCATAGGCGGACATGAAACGGTGTCTCGGGGCGATTCCTTCCGTAATTTCCGGGTAATCAACTTGGAAAAGCAGGGCCTGTTGTCCAGTTCCCGGGTCTCGTTCACGAGTTACCTTAAATCGCGCTTTCAACTCAGCAATATAATGGGATGACGTTTTTTATAACAATTTTATAGATCAACTCAGTCGAACCTAACTAGTTAAAAAGGGAGGTCTTTGAAATTTTTTTAAGAATCGGCCAGTTGAGTAATTTACCACTGCTGAATTCTTTCTGAATACGAAAGCGGACAAAATTCAAGTTGGAAAAGTTTTCTGGAGATTTTTTGAACGAAAAAAGTGAAGATCCAGCCTTTTTGTTACGTTTTCGAGCTGTGCAAGCATTCTAATTTGAAAAAAAATATTCACTTCAAAAAAAAAATAATAAAAACAAAAAACCTTGAAAATCATGCTACGAAAATTCCCGGAAATCGTTCGAAACCTGAAGTCATCACTTCATAGAGTGATTTCTGCGCATTTTTTAAGTTAAATATCTTCCAAAAAAACAAATATGGCTCGGAAAATGAGCTTTTTTTTTTTAGAAACTTTTGGGAGTTTCGACCAAGCCAAGGAACAATTTAGGAGAACAACGACCTTTTTTCGCATATTTCTCCATAATTTAGGATTATGCTCAAGTGAAAAAGTATTTTTTTTCTAAAACTACCAAACTTTCTCTGTATTTTCCTTGTTATAGAACGAACCTTATAACCGGGCCGACCGATCTTGACGAACTTCTTGACCTCGACTTTGCTCTGCTGCGGAGCCGGGAGGAAGGGCGTCTCCGAGGCTTCTTTGGCGGCACGACGGGCCAAGTTGGCCTGATGTTTTTTGCCCTGGGTGTGGGCCAGGTAGGACCCCTCATTGTTGTGAAGTGTCAGACAAAGTTTGCACTCATAGGTTCCGATGTGATTTCTCATGAAGTAGGGGTCTTTCTGCAGATCGATCGTTTCCAAGGCGAGTTGCCTGAAATTTACTCATTGAATACCTGTATAGTCTAAAAAAATATACTTCTATAAAAACAAGTATAAAATCTAAATTCCTTCCTGGAATCAAAGAAAGGTAAACCTGAGCCGTTCTCTCCGATCGACGCCGGCATCGGAGGCCGAGGCGACACCTCCACTTCCGGTTTTACCACCAGCTCGATTTTGAAAATCCATCTGGTTTTAAAAAATTAAAAATAAATTCAAAAGCTTCTGGAAAGGTATAAAGACCGAGAGACCACGGAAAAAGCGAGAAATAATCCAAAAAACCACTGCGTTAGAATAGTTCATTGCAAGCGATTGAAAACAGATTCAATTATAGAAAGCTATCAACAGACCGGTAGAGAAATACTTGTCCAAAATATCAAAAAAAACACGCTAAAAAAATAATTAACGATGAGAATAATCAAAAATAAATGAATAAATGTGAGATTTCCAATGGGAATAAAACTTGGCGTCGTAAAGTGAACAAGAAACTGGGGAATCTCGACTTGAGCAATGATGAGAATAAGGCAAAACAATTAGATAATATGCAAACAAGTGAAGCATAAATATTGAAATCTGCTCGAAAAGGCTTTGTTTCAAAGTCTCAAAGGGTTGTTAGAGATCAAGATTAATAAAAATAAATTGAAAATGTTTAGGAAATATATTTTTGGTTACAAGATTCCATTCTGCAGATCTTTCATGGGCGAGTTGAGGTCGGAGCCGCAATTTGGCCAGACGACCCACTCAGAGACAACACGACGAAGTTCCCCGATCAGCGAAGAACGGTCCCACTTGTCCCTAAAAGTTAAAATTTCGAGAAAATAATTGAGATGATACTTCTCAAAGTCCACGAAAAATGTATGAAAAAAAAAATTTCGGAATTCCACCTTGAAGGAAACCAAAATTTTGACCCAAGTCAAGTCGATAGAATATAAGAGACTAATAATGAGCAACTTAATGCAAATTGTGAAAAAAAAAACGAGAACAGCTTGAAAAAACAAAAAGTTCTTTCATCAAGAGATACCTTTGCATTTTAGTATCACAGCCTATTTTTTAATCCCAAATGCGTCGTATGTTGCTCTATGGAAAAAAAAGCCCGCGAAAAATGGATCCAAAAATTTTTCGATGAAAATGTCATATCTTTTGATTTTCATTAAAAGTTTATTGGTCCTTTTTTCAACTAGGCCAAGATTAAGCCTCATGCTTCCCTTTTTTTGAGGTTTTTTTCAAAACGGTGTTCGATTCAACTCATTATCATCGTTTACCTATGAATAAACTGGAAACAGAAATTTCAAAATGGGCGAAGGAAAAACTAAAATCATAACACAGAAAAGCAAATTAGCTTTAACTAACTAAGAAAACGAGTCATGAAATTTTTTGCCAACCTCCGATTCTCAGGTGAAAATCTACTTATGTATGCTCCTTTTCTGAAAATTTCTGAAGGTGGAAACGTACCTATACTGTTCGATATGATGGGAAATAACAGCTGCGAGCCTTTCGAGCTCGCTCACCGACCAGCCCTCGCTCTTCTCCACGCACTGAATTGGAAAATAAATAATTTTCAGGAAAATCAACTAGTTATAGTCGTTATGAACATAATGGTAAATGACCATGTTCATATCCCGATATCACAATTGCAAAAATTTTACCAGCCTTTATTTACAAGTCTTACAAGATTTTCTTACAAGAGAACAAGCTTTTTTAAAAAAGTTGTAAATACTGTACTTCAACTCCAACTTTCTCAACCCAAGCTTTCAAATAATAAAACAAGGCCAAAAATTGAAAAAATTTCAACAAGCGCTTGGTTAAATGTTTGTTTTGGCGACTTACCATTTCAACGAAGTCCTTGAGAGCGTGCTGCGAAATGACCAACTGGAGCTTTTCTTTGGGTGACGTTTCAGGAGAGATTCCTTCCGCCAGCGACCCGTCCATGCTCACTTCGTTGTCATATTCGTCTTCGTCGCTGCCCGCCAAAGTCTCTGTTTTAGGAACCTCATCGTCCTTCGCTTCTCGACTAAAGTTGCACAGTAAATAAGTTTCATATCGGATTCGTTTTTCCCTCAAACATATCTATTCTGTACCATGTTTTAACTAAACTAATAAAGGAAGAAAAATAAATAGATAATAGTTATCAGAGAGAAGTGTAACTCCATAACATTAATTTGTTTCGCCCACAGTTTTTTTGTTATGTTATGGTGGAGGAAAGGAACCAAATGGAAATCTTTTGGTGGAAAGAGAACGTTTGAAGGGATTTGAGTTTAAACGCAGATGAACAAGGTCCCGAAGTAAGGTAAGAAACCCTCAATTTCGCCTCTCTCTAAAGCTTCGCATCCAATCAGCCTTTTTTTCGCCCTTTTCATATTAAAAGAATAAATTTAAACAATTTTCAAACTTTCAAACTATATTAATCTACTAATATAAAATCCATCAAAACCTAGATTTCTCTACGAAGTTTCATCAACAAGATCAGTTTCTAAATCAAAATCAAAATAATTTGTTTTTTCGTCAAAAAACCTGTGCTCCGGTTCTCCGAGGCTCTTCGACTTCTTCCTCTTTCCGGAATTTCCGACGGACCACCGTTTTCTCTTTCCGACTTTTCTGACGACTCCATTGGGCAAAGGTTCATTCGTTGCCGATTTTTGCGCCTAACAGAATAAATTATCGTCGAATGTATGAGTTCCAGCCTGCCTCAGTGTTGTTCAGGGCGGAATTCAGCTTCTGAGCTTCTTTTTCCTTTTCTTTCTTCCACTTTTCGATCTCAGCTTTCAGGGAGTTGTTGATGCTCCAAGGAGAGCTTCTGACGAATCCAGACGGCATTTCGATGAGTTTTTCGTTGGCCGGCGTCACATTTCCTTCTTGTAGAAGGCGAGAAGTCGCCTAAAACCCCCAATAACAACATTATTTCGTAAAAAGTTGGAATCAAAAGGAAAATCAAATATTTTAAGATTCTCTTTTTTTTTCTAATCTTTCTAGTTTTATGAAAGGATTGGAGAAACGGACCATTCAAAATTTTGAACGAATTTAAAAAACGGATATAAAAGTATTTAAAATACATGTTCAACGACCATTTTCGTAAAAATTCGCTCAGCGGAAAGAAATTCGAATTCAAAATTACAAAAGTTTTTTCAGGAAACGAACCCATAACCCTACAAAGTCCTTGTTTCAACAAAATTTTCGAAAGTCGAACCTCAAGATTTTCGACGAAATTCTCATCCAACTCCGTGTCAATCAACTCTTCAGTGACATCACGTAGACCAATGGCATAATGTCTGATAGTTTTTCCTATAAGATTCAATTTTTTTTTTCGAATTTAAGATTTTTGCAGATTCATTGAAGACGGTAATTCGATTTAATTATTTTTGCCTAACCAACTACTGAGAAAAAAAATTAGTGTGTCCGAAACTACCTCCCTGACAGAAGGAGATTCAAACTTTTTTTAATTCCTGGTTTTTTTCCAAAATTTTTTTATAAGCCTTATTTTTTTCTTATAACTTAAAAAAAGAAATTACGTAAACAACCTATTTTTTTCTAATTTATTGATCATAATAATTTTCTACTCGTAAAAAGTGCTATTTTTTTCTCGATAAAATGAATTCTCACCATCCTGCGTAGTGACTGGATTGTACTCGAGGGCATTTTTCGTGATCAACCGAACATCTTCCAGAAACTGATCAGCGTGAATGTATTCCTTGCTGGAAGTTTTAAAAACTTTGTTATATTTTTCAAACTCCAGAGATAAAAATAGATTTGAAAACGACGGCTCTTCACCTCGAGACCTTTATAAAATTTTTCTACGGTCGTCAAGGATTTTTAAACAAATTGCAGAAAATTTGCATTAAAGCACAAACTTGTCAATCTTCTCCATGATATCAGCCAGACAAATGGGATTCTCTATGATTTCGTGATAATCTGCGGCGTCTTCCGCATCCACAGGCATCACGAAATCGACGAAACGTCTGTCGCGAACCAATCGATCTACAGAGAACTCAAAAATTATTCCGAAAATTGAAAAAAAATATTCCTACTCAATTTATCCCTGAGAAAGATTCTCATCTGACGGAGCAGAGATTCGTACGTTTTTTCGAGAACTCGACCCTCAGCTTCGCTCAGTTTGCGAGTTGGAGCAACTTTTTCCGCTTCGATCGCTCTCAACGGCATTTTGTAGAGGGAAGCTGAAAAAGGAACTCATAAAGTCTTTTAACCTGAAACTTCGTTTACTTCTGAAATGAAATGGCTGCAAATTTGCAGTTTATAAACCTCCCATTGAAAGTCAAAGGTCGCAGATGGAATGGCTCGACATTTTAAGGCCGATATTCAAGACGCAAACGATCAAGAAAAAAAAAACCTTGCGCGTTTATTATAAAGAGCACAGTAAAATTTTCAAGAATCCAGACTTTCAAAAATATATTCATAGTCCTGACTCTACTGTGTTGAAGAAAAAATAATAAATAATTACCATCAAAAACCTTCGGAGGGACCAAAGAAGGCTTGACGATGTGATCAAAGTACTGAACTCGGAGGTTTCGCCGAGCGGGTGGAAGGCTAAAATTTTTGGATCTTCAATCTTTTCTGAACAATCAGATCATACGTTGGCAAGTTCAGAAGAAAGCTTAAATAACGAAAATATTGAAAAATAAGACTTTAAATTAAGAAGATTTTGGAGAAGGCGGTCTTTAGAAATGGGCGGCTTATGTAGGGATCAGATAAATCAAAATATAATTTCATTAATTTAGGAACCAATGATTGTTTTCTATGGAAGTCAAGGCCACAAACCAGAAAAGGCGAATAAAAATGAAGAAAAAAAAATATGCGAATTCAGATTTCTTATGGAACTTTTATAGTAAAAGCCTAACCGAACACAATTCGCAGGTCTAAAGATCTCCTTGACATAATCCGAAGCTCCGTCGTACTCGGAATCGAGAGTGGCTAGGAACAGAACCGGCGTGAAACCGGTCATGGAATCGAGGCAAGTTGTGAGCTAAAAGTTGAATTTTCTTTTGAAAATTCCCTTTTCAAAGCGAAACCATGTGGAGGACACTAGGAGGGACGACATGTTCCCACTCATCAATGGAGGGCAACAAAATGATACAGGGACCGTTGGTGGCGGCTCTGATGGCTCCTTGGACCACGTGGGACAGAGCTTCCTTAAGCAGAGCAGTTTTTAGAAATATTCGAGCATAGATGAGATAAAAAATCAAAGTTTTCTTGCTAGTAATTTTTGAGTAATTTACATGGAAGATTTGCAAAAGGGGTGAAATTTTAATCTATTGAAGTCATTCCTGATTATTTCGGCGAAGCCATATCGGAAATTTATTCGAGAAGGTGACGTTATTTTCAAGATTATTCTGATAGCCTTTGCTTTGAATTTATATTTTAAGCTTCCAGATAATAAATCAAATTTTACCTTGACGCGAAAAAATTTTGGTTTCTGTAAACCTTTAAATTTTGAGTAAAAGTCATGATTTCTCCGCTAGGTATCGTTTTAGAAGCTCAATTTTCCTAGAAGTTATCTCAAGTAGATAAAATCTGAAAGCCTATAAAACCCAAAAAAAATCTCAAACCTCAGGACGTCCATCGTTGAGCAGAACAGACACAGATAGAGAAAAGACAGGCAAATGGTCGAGTTTGCTGAGAATAGCAGGAAGGACGAAAGAAGTCTGGCCGGCGTCCGCGACAGCCGCGGATCCGCAGAGAAGCAGTCGAACTTCAATAATATCTTTTTGAATGCATGAGACACCCCGGGCTCACCCGCGGGAACTGTCGGCGGCTGTTCCAGGGCTCTCACGACCTTTTCCAGCTCCGATCCGGCGGTCGCCTCTACAGTTTGGACAAATCGATAGCCCTCGGGAATCCTGGTGGCTATCAAGCTTTTGACCAGGTCTCCCAACAAGATGCAAGTCCGTTCGTCCAGGGGTCGTGATGGGATGGTCAAATCTACAAATTTTCGTGTTATAATCAAGAATTGATGAAAAAAATGTTTTGGAAACCAATAAAATGGATTTTTTTGCTCATTTTTCAAGTGGATTTTTTTCAGAAAAAAAGTAAATATTTAATTATTAATTTATTTTTTTGAGAAATCATCCTTCGTTTCACACTATGGGACAATATCAATTTCTCCTGTGTTTCCAGGCAAAATTTGCAAAATTAATTTTAGAAAAACTGTTCGATTTTTTTAAGTGAAAAATCAAAAGAAAAATTATGAAGAAGCGTTTTTTTTTTCTGCAACAACCTACAGCGTTTCAACTTAGTGAGATCAAATTATGACAAACCAAAAAGCTATATAAGGTTCAGAAATTTCTTGTTAATCAATCGATAAGTCACAAAATCCACCTCTTCTGGAGGCAGGTGTGATTCTCCTCATGGCGCTTTCGAAATGACTTCTCTCCACCCGAATCTCATCCATGTCCAGAACCAATCGTTCCGAAGTCATGTAAATATGAGGATACCGGGATCTTAGGGCAATCAGTACAGATTCAGTACAGAGGAACTGGAAAAAGTCATCAAATTTCATTTCTAAGGGTCGAAAAACCTTGAGATCAGCTCCACAATAGCCGCTGGTCGAGTCGGCGATCGCGTCGAGAGTCGAATCTGTCGGTTTGTTCTCGTTCCAATCCGAAGTGTGGATGTTCAGGATTTGGCGACTAAGAAAATCTATTTCTCATAGTTGATGCAAAACTCAAAAAATGTTTTTTCGTCAATAAATTTGAATTTTTTTCTTTTTTTTTCCTCATCGCTAGAACTATAAAACCGTGCAAGTAAAACTACAAGCTTTAAATTTCCAACTAACCTTGCTAATTATTTTTTTGAACATACTTTACCTTTTTTTGAACTATTGAAACAGTTACCGTATAATAAAGGAAACAAAAAAATCAAAAAAATAACAATTTCAGAATTAAAAAAAGAATCATTAAATTAGAAAAACTCAAACTTGAAGTGTTGAGATTTCATTGGCTCGGTATTCTTGTTTTTTTGGTTGTATTAATTTTTTCTGTTCAAAATGTTGGAAGCTTAATTTTTTCAAATTTTTTTCAAAAAAATACCTAGGTGACGAACTTTTTAAGCTACAAAAGACGAGAGTTCCGAAAAATTTATAAAAACGTTTTCGTAAGTATTATCAAATAAGAATATTTTTTTAAAATAGTCCTGAAATTTTTCGGCTTAACATGCAGCTAAATTTTCTGCAAAGCCTTTTTTTTTGCCTCACCAGACTTTTGACTTTGCCTGGTCAGATTACTTGAGCTCGAATTTTTCAAGCTAAAAATCTGTAAAGAACTTCCATCGACCCTATTCTTACCGAGCATTCCTATCCGGAAGTGAAAAATTGAGTTCCCGATCGAATCTTCCCGGTCGTCGAAGAGCCGGATCGATGGTATCCAGCCGATTTGTAGCTCCAATGACCACGACCTTCATAGAAATCTCGATTTTTCGATAAAATAAGATATTTCGAACCTCTCCCCGACCATCGAGACCATCCATCAGAGCCAATAAAGTGCTGACAATACTGGCATGGATTTGATCTTGTTTGGAAGATCTCACTGGCGCCAATCCGTCGATCTCATCGAAGAAAATGATAGAGGGCCGCATTTGATAAGCTTGATCAAAGAGAAGTCTGTAAATTCGATTTTTTTTTTTCGTTAGTTTCGCATGGATTTTTTTCAAACAACAGACTGTATAAATCATATTTTTTTATACCTTCAAAATGAAAGAAAGTTTTTTTAGGTCAAAAAAATCTATGGGAAAAATATTAAAAAAATACTCACCGCAACTGGCGCTCCGATTCTCCAACCCATTTACTCAGACAATCGGCTCCTTTCCGCATGAAAAACGCCACTTTATTGGCTCCTTTACGGCATTCGTTGGCTAGTGCTCGTGCGACCATAGTTTTACCGGTACCTACAAGAAAAACAATGATAAATGAATTTCGCATAAAATTGTCGATTTCATTATTTTTTTGTTATAAGTTGAGAAAAAAATATTTTATTTTTCATTATAAGTTATTTTTCGTTATAAATTGAGAAAAAAAGGCTGGAACGATTTTTTTCTAAACCCAATGAATGGATAATTTTTTTTTTAATTTTTTCATTTCTGTTAAATCTCGGAAAAAGGTCCATTTTTGGGGAAAATATCTTAAATTTTCTTATCTTTTTATTCACTTTTGCAACTTTCCTGATGAAATCGTACCAGTTTAGTTTAATTTGATACTATAATGGCTACCTGAAACTTCCATATTTTTTTCTATCAAACTTAATTTTTACAGAGTTCTCCCCTTTTTCCTAGCATCTTCAATTTATTTGAGTAAAACTCCAATTCAAGTCAAAAATTTCGACATTCCTGTTTCGCAGACACTTTTTGACATCCTTAATATAAAATACGAAGTTAAATAGCTGATTAAACTTCAAATTTGGGCAAGAAATATAAAAAAAAACGTTGAGACGACTTTGAAATTTTCAGATGATATTCGAATAAAACTTCTCCTTCAAATCCTCCAATTATTCTCACTGTTACGGATTTCTAAACCTTACCAGGAGGTCCGTAGAAGATGACTCCTTTGGGCGGATTGATGTTGAATCGGGAGAAAACTTCGGGATAGAGCATGGGGAACAGAACAACCTCCTTCAGGGATTGGATATGAGGGCCGAGACCTCCAATCTGGATTTCTATATATTTTCCGACCTTGAAAAAATTAAAAAACCTGCTCGAAACCAACAGTCGAGTCGATGCTCATGGGATCGATGTCGCTACAGGAAGCTCCTCCGATTTGTCTCAATTTGTCCTTCACAAGGGCATTTTCCGTCAAAGCCAGTTCCTTCTCTTAAAATGGTGAATTAACTTATTGATTGATTAGTGGGAAGCCAAAAGAGATCAATTGGATTTAGAATTTGAAAAAAAAAAGATAAAAATTTAATTCTGGAGGAAAAAAACCTGAAACCAAGAAAACCAAAAAACCAAAAAAAAACCAAGAAAAAACCCATCTTTTTTGAAAAGTTCAGAAAGCCATCATGATAAGAGTTAAAAATATTTCACAAAAACCTTTTAAAAGAGCTTCGGAGCTTTCGCGTTTCTTCCTAAAATTGTAAAGAAAATAATCCTGATTTCATCTTTTTTTGAAACTTGAAAAATTTTGTCAACTCCTCTAAACTTTCCCAAAAAGAGAGGCTTCAGAGAAAGCTTGGAAGTTTTCTTTAGACCTTTTCAGATATTTGTTCCTTTTTTCGAAACACAAAAATCACTAACGAGTCATATTGATGGGCATAAATCGACCCCGATGCTTGGCCATGCTTCTGTCTTTCCTCCTCTCGAAACGTTCTTCATCGTCCCCCGTGGAGTCGGAATCGCTACGGACATTTCTGCGTCTGAAGATCAATATTTAGAAAAAAGAAGAAGAAGAGGCTGTTGTAAAATTAAAAATATTTTTTTCGCATTATTCAATTTCCATGTTTTTCTCCGTCCGTTTTTTAAAAAATGTGCACATTTCTTTGAGAAGTTAGCCTAGAAGCAAATTTCGGCGCATGTAAAAGAAAAGTGACAAAATTGTTCCCCGGCTGGAACTATATACTTTATAACGTTTTTATGTGTATCTTTTTTTTTAATCTCCAATTGCTCAAAGAGAAAATAACTCCAATTTTTAACCCTAATTGAAACAGGAGAAGCTGAAAAGACCTACCGAGATCGGTGTCGCCGACGACTTCTACGATCTTCCCGTGGTTCGCGACCTTCTCGCACGAATTCTCTCAACCTGAGGCTTCTGCTCGACTGAATCGGTTGCTGTTTCGGAGGCGGTCTTCTGGCCCTCAGACTGTACTGCCGCGGACCTTCCTCAGCTTCTTCTTCTACCTCGTCCTCCTCATCTTCGACTGCTACCTTTTCTCCTTCTTCCTAAATTCAAAATATTTTCCATTGTGCCACAATTTATAGTTTATCCCCTGTTCGCTGCAAATATGACTTGATGAGAATCTTCAGCCTATTAACGCAAATTTGTGCATGAAAAATGGTAAAGATGTTTTTTTTTTGTATTTCTATCCCAAGCTAGTAGAAAAAATCAATAAATTTGTCCAAATGGATTAAAAGCGCCTACTTCAGGCTTGTCGTTGGTTTCTTCACCGTCCTCCATGGCCTCATCTTTTTCTTCTTCTGGTTCCTCCCTTCTCATCCTGCGGTCATGTCGCAAGTTTCTCGAAGTCGACGGAGAGATTTTGGGAGACTCGGTTTTCGGTGAATCTAACCGCCGTTCCACACTGAAAACTATCAAATTGCAGCGTTGAAAACAATTATTAAATTGTCATTTTACGAAGAAAAGAAGGCTGGAAGACCTTTTGAAGTGTACAGCGAAAAAAAAAAGTTGGGACCTAGTTTGAGAGACAATTTACCCAGATAAGACTGAGAAAAACACCCGCTAGCCAAAACAACTATAAAAATTGTACGAGAAAGCTTGAAAATTGTGATAGTTGTCCTTTTTAAGAAGCTACTGAGTTTAGAGTCTGTTGCAGAAGACATAGGCATACGAAAAATGAAAATGTCGTCTCATTTACTTTGGAAAGCAGGTAATTTTACAGTTTCTTTTACATTTTACGGAATTAGTCCTAAATCCCTTCAAAATATAATTGCTTTTTTTTTCACAAACCTAGTTTCTTTAAATACTCAATACCCAATTTTGATTCATCATATTTTATATTCCTTAAAATTTACCCTAAAACCCAATTTAAATATAATTATTCCGACTTTTTTTCTCACAAACCTAGCTTGTCTTCGCTCGCGTTTCACACGATCGTACAACGATACTTCCTCTTCTCCGACTTCCTTCAAGTTAAATTCCCTCATAAAAAACGCTCCCATCAAGAAACCTCTTCATTGGAGTCGTTCTCTTCTTGAGAAAGCCGCCGACTGGGTCCCGACCGATGCTGAGTCTCCGGTTTCGGTTTTGAACGACGAAGTTCACGTTCGTGCATCAGCCGTGATTCCTTGATAGCTTCGAGAACGTCTTCGCGATAGGAATGCCTAGGAAAATATTGGATTGAAGAAGTTTAGAGCGGAAAAAGTACCGTCTAGTGCTTTTTCTGGGAAGAAGAGCGTCCTCGTCGGAAGAATGGCCGTCGTCGAAAAACGCGTGGATTTTGCGGCCCGATCTTGTGTAGCCGGTTGGTCTGTTTTGAGATTCGCGGAGTTCCTGGAATTCATTGAAATTCAAAGCTTCAGAGTCCAAATTTAATTCGAATAAACGGTTTGTTTCTGAATTCAGTACTAATAAAAAGGCGATTTCGCGTTTTAAGCTTCACATTCGCTTGAATAACAATCTAAGCCGAAATCTACAATAAATCGTATTTTTTCAGACTAATGAATGACCGGAAAAAAATTGATTAACCAAGCAGATTAAAATTTTCACAACCTTCTCCTGGTAGATCAAAAAGATATTGAATAAACTTCCAAAAAAAATCACAATAAAATACCTTCCCGTAAATGAAATTACATATGCAATGATAAAAATTGACCGGATAGAGTGCCAAAAAGATTTTTAGACATCTTTAAAAACTTTTCGGCATTTTTTTTGTCATGGGAGTAGACTTACACGATCACGAAGCCGATTCGCGTTCCCGATCAAACTGTCCAACATCTCGTGATTCATACCCAGTCGATTCTCTTGAAGACTTGCGTACAACGTTGCTCTTTCCCTGGTGGAACGGCGAACGTCCTTTTGAGGAGAGAAGCCATCGCACCGCACAGGCGGCATCCTGAGGGAATTTTTCAAAATGATTTCATTTTATTACTATTCATTAGCGATTTATTGACATTGAAAAAGAAAATTAAAGCTCTACTAATGCTGGCTTGACACTGTTAAACGTATCAGGATTAGCCATAGAAGGATATAATGAAGAGTGAAATGAAGAAATTAGGACTTATCTTCCTTGTTTTTGCTAATTTCAGAGGTGAAATTTAGTTATAATCAAATTTCATCATCGGAAAGCTATTGCGGGAAAAAAAACATGAAAAAATTGATTAGGCTTCGAAAAAACCAATTGAGCCAGGTATTTCTGTTTTTTGACCAATTTAAAAATGTTATATTACAATAGATTCCACAAGAACGCATAGATATAACAAAAAAAATTAACAAAAGAAAAAAACCAGACTCGATTTGTTCGAAACGGTGGAGCGGGAAAATGTTTTTAAAGCTGCATTAGAGCGCATTTTCTCCTCTCCTTTTCGAAAGGCCACTGAAGGGTTTTTCCATCACTATAGTGACCACTCAACGATGATCTTGAAGGAATTTTTTCTTTTTTTTTTCAGTCTTTCTTTCGTTTCCCTTTCGATTTCCTCGTTTTTCATCTCATATTATTATACCAGAATTCCATAAAAAATAAAATTAAAATTGAGCATAAAAACGGGTATAAATTTCCTATTAAGATTTTTATCAATACTCCATAGGTCTACAATACTATCGATACAATTTCTGTTTTTACTTAAAGTGTTAAAGATTTTAAAATTCATTCACAACTGTCTCAAAAGATGTTTTCAGTGGGTTAATTAACCTGAAATGCTCAAGTCGTTGGCCATTGCTAGCCGTCGTTTTGCGTCATCTGGTTCAGGAGATCTTCCAAGGTGCGGCTAAATTTATTTATTCTTCCAATTTTGTTTTCAGAAAGGTTGTTCTCTGTCCTTCTGGATCGATAGCGGCGGTCCATCCTCCACAAGAGTTCCCATACGAGCATACTCGACCGATAGAGCTCGAAGAAGTTGATAAGAAGGTAAAAGTGGCCATTTATTCATAAAAAAATAGAAAAATTATTATTCAGGAATCAAGGCTTTCCGCTGAGGCTAAGGCGCAAACTCGCATCCCACGAGAACCTGAAAATTCGGAATTAAAAGAAATTTTTTATACGACCAAACACGAGTGGTTTAGCAGGTTCGAAGGATATTTCTTGCTTAATCCTCAAATTTTTAAATTAAGAACTCGCGAGGAACGTTTGCGAAAAGTTGCTGCCCCACTCCCCAAGAAGAAATAAGTGCACGTTATGCGCCTTTCAACCTATTTATCCAAAAATTCTTTGAAAATCGTCGATCTTGGAACCATTTCTTATAGAGAAGGTCTGCAACAGCAGCAAAAATATTTAAATATTGTTAAGTCACACAAGGGTACTTTCTCAAAGTGAGTTATTTCATATTAATTGCTGGAAAATTTGCATTTTCAGCAATTTCTTATTAACTCTTGAACATAAACCAGTTTACACTGTCGGTATTCGAAGCAAGCAATATACCGAAGAAGAAGAACAGCGGCTCAAATCTCTCGGCGCCGATTTTTACAGGTTTGTTTCTTTCACAAAAAAAATTAAAGTAAAGCAGAGATGAGAAAACCCGAACTTTAAAAAAAAAGATGTCGAATTATATTAAGTTTTCGTTGCTAAATTATTTCCCATTGAAATTCTAATTGTACAACGATTCAATGAAACAAAGAAGTAGTTTTTCAAATAAAAGTTAATTGTGTATCCCCATTTTCTTGCGCTATAACTTCCATAGGTTTTCAAAAACTGTGTTTTTACGTTATTTTTTTCTGACGCAAATCCTTGATTAATTTTTTTTTCGCTTTTTTGTTGAAATTGTGTCTTCAAAATATTTAGCAAGTCAGTGGGCACTTGAAATGTTCATTTTGTATTGAAAAAAAGTTTTTCGGTTGGGAATTCTTTCAAAAATGGCTAAAAAAAAACGTTTTGATGCACGGATAGAAAATTTTGAAATTCTCGACCTGCACAACTTCTTTGTTTTTGAGGGATAAAAAATGTATTGAATGGATTTTGAGGGTTTCCTTTGACTTTCAGGTGTTTCTTCTCAGAAACTAAGAAGTTGTAAAGGTTTCAGGTATACAGAATTTTTATCTGATACATCACGAAGTGTTCTGGCCACTTTTCAAAAAAATCGCAAAATGAAAAGATCTTTGTAAAAAAAAAACCTCTATTTTGTTTCATCGCAGGACTTCTCGCGGTGGTCTTATAACGTTTCACGGCCCCGGACAGCTAGTTTTATATCCAATCTGTGATCTTCGTCGGATCGCTACAAAACCTCTTGGAGTCCGGAACTTCGTCGAAAAGCTTGAACAAGTACATAATCATTCTGCATCGAAAAGATCGAAGATTGGTTCTTCAGACTATCATTGACTGTGCGACGAAGAGTTTCGGTATCTCCAACGTCGGTCGAACCAGACATACAGGTTCCATTTCAACTTTTAGATGTCAATTTTTCTCCTTTTTTCAAAATTTCGATATTTTTTTTTAGCAATCTCGAGCTGTAAAAAACAAAGGAAAGTAGGAGAAATGCCAAGAGTTTCATTAATAGATCGCTTGTTGCAGTAATTTGCCACTTATGGATTTGAAAAAAAGTATCTTTTCATTAATAAATTATGAATATGTACGGAAAAAACTGAGCTTTTTTTAGATTTCATAGACTTTTGAAACATTCTTTTGAGAGCTTGCTTGAAAAGAGGAATTTAAAAAAAGAAGATATTTTTGCGAAAAAGTGTATTTTTGTAATTTTTCAAGATAATTGTTAACTTTAATTTTTCAAAGTTTCAGGTGTCTGGGTGGACGAGAATCGGAAGTTGGCGGCTCTCGGAATAGCCGTTTCGCATGGCATTTCTTATCACGGCCTCGCTATCAATTGTTCAACCGACCTTTCTTGGTTTGACAATGTATGTCATCGAAAAAAAGATATGAAAAAAAGAGTGTATTAAACAGTAAGTCGAAAAAAATACGCAGTTTTCGAGCGTTGAGACAATGTAACAGGTTTATTCAGCTCTATTTTTCGGGCATATTACAGTATAGCCCCCCGCATATGTTGGATATCACCCCCCGCGACACGTTCGAACAAGCCCCCACACTTATCCAATATAGCCCCCCGGAACTATCCAGTATAACCCCCCACACCGAAAAAAAGTCACGCAACGATCACGCAGGACACGTGTCAGAGCTTCCATTTTTTTAAATTTATTTTTCTAATTTTTTTCGTATCATTCGTCGTTCTTGGTTGTTTCAAATGGTTTTTTTGTATTTTTCGCATGTAAATTCGTGTTATTTTTTTGTGAATTTAATAATTTTTTTGTGATTTGTTTTTTTAGACCATGGAAGAAATTAGGTCGCTGACCGAGTTTCATGAGAAGTTCAAGTCAGACAAAGAAGTTTACGCGTACGTCTCGCCGAGATACGTACGAATATCATAAAATTATGGGGCGCTGACCACTTAGAAAAAAAATTTAAGATGAAATTTATTAGTTTTTCAATCAAGTAATTGTTCTGAGGAATAGAATTTTTTTGCTTTTTTTCTTTTCATGCACATTAATTGATGAATTACTTAGGAAAAATAGGCTTAGTTTTAAGGCTTCACACGGAGGCGGAGCGCGCATAGCGCGAAGCCGACTGTGGCTCGCTTCGAAAAAACTGAGCCACAGTGAACAATTCGTCAAATAAATAAAATACTTGACATAGAGGGGGTCATTCTGAAATAGAGGGGGGCCATTCTGAAATGGGAGGGGGGCCATTCTGAAATGAGAGGAGGGTCATTCTGAAATGGGAGGGGGCTTGTTCGAATGAGCTATGGGGGGACTATTTCAAAGCCGTGCGGGGGGCAAATATGAAAGATTGCCTAGGCATTTCAGAATCGCCCCCCGTTTTGTACTGTGGAGGGCCATTCTAGAATACGTATTCACCCCCCGCGTTCGATTCTTCCCCCACATGAAGTCCTCCTATTTTACCCCCCACAGATCGGAACTTGGCTTGGTGGGGGGCTTGTTGGAACGCGGGGGGCAAAAACAGTGTGGGGGGCGATTCTGGAATTTTACCGTTTTTGATGAAAAGTAGGTAGGGACCGCAAAGCCACGCCCCTTTTCGCGATAGAAAAAGTGGCTTTTTTTTGGTTTTCAACTTTCATTTTGTTGTAGTTGCAAAATATGTGGAACTGGCGAATAAAATTTGACACACATGTACAGAAAAAGCTTCCTCTTTCGTTTAAAAAAATATTTCACGCTTTTTTTGATGCGTTCTCGCGGAATGTCGTACAAAAAAACGTGAATGGAACTAAAAAAATTTTTGTCATTTTTTTGCTTTTTTTCATGTGTTTTTCAGGTCGAACGCACTCTTTCTTTTTTTAAATAATGATTTTTGATTCAAGTAACGAAAAATTTTTAAAACAATAAAATAAAAAAATTCGTCTTTGCCAAAAAAATTTTTAGGGAGCGCCGAAAGTCATAATTCAAAATATCGTTAATAAGCGAATATAATCAAGTTTTTTTGTTTTTTTAAAAAAATTTAGATCATGGCCTTACTTGAATTTTTTTCTTCACAGTATCTGTGCTTGAAATAGTTGTTTAATACGCAAAAAAATGCTCTTGAAACTAGAGGATAAAATTAGCGGCGTTTATCACACAGAAAGCGGCCGAACGCAGGTTTTTTTAAACGATTATATACATTTATTAGTGAAAAAAATCTTTCAATTAAAAGAATAAAATAAAAAAATTCGTCTTTGCCAAAAAAATTTACGGGGCCGTTTTAAGGCAGCGATCGTTAAACGAGGAAAAAAAGCACTAAAAAAACAGTTTTTTTCGAAGTGAATTTTTCACGGAAAGTTTGAGTAAAGATTTGCGAACATATTCTGATAAAAAAATAGCTGAATTACTTCAAGTTTTTTTATTTTTTTGAAATAGGCAATCTGTGCTATCTAAACGGCTCAAGGGTAAGGCGGATGGAAGCTCCCCTTGCTAGACTTAGCAGCTTGGCGCAGCGCGTGCGCTGCGATTTTTTTCATTTTGAGGTCGCGAGTTCGATGCCCGCAAGCGTCAGTTTTTTTGTTTTTCTGGAAAATACCGACTTTTTTTCGGCAAACTAGCTGATGAGCATCATTTTAGCACTCTATTATGATTTGTTACATCATAATAGACCAGTATCAAAACTTGTTCTAGAAGAAAAAAATCGAGAAAAAAATGTCAAAATGGATAATACCAAAATTTCAGTACTAAAAAAATGGTGCGCGGCGCGCCACATTTTTTTCGTCATAACTTTTTCATCCTCAATCTTTTTTCGAAAAAAACTAAACGGTTCTGAGTTTTTGAATCGAAACAGCTATCAAACCATACAAAGCTCAATGCTGAAAAAAATTTTTTGAAAATTGGTCTGCGGTCCCTAAAAGTAGGGTTAGTTTTCAATAAAAAAAAGTTTTGATAATGACCAAAAAATTTAATGAAGTATAGCGCCAGCTTGCCCCATTTTTTGTTTGACCAAAGTTCTCCTCAAGGCCTTTTTTTACCGTCTTTTTCGATGTTTTTCGGGCTCAAGTGCAAAAAAGGCTGTATTTTAAAAAATCACAGTCACAATAAAAATCTAATATTTTCAAAATTAGGTATTCTGATCTAGAGTTTTTCAATTTTTTCAAAAGTTTCCTGATAAATAGCTAATTTCAAAGTTATCAATTTCGATATTCAAATCCCCACCGATGACCTCGAAAAAATCGAAATGTTCAATTAAAAGATGGAATTTGAAGATTGTCGGCTGTGGGATCGAAAATGTATCGACAACTTCTATTTCCAACGAGTTGAACCGTGACGTCAGTGTCCAAGAAGTTCTTCCTCGGATGATTGACTCGTTTAGCGATAACTTTCAGTGTAATATTGTTAGGGACTAGGTTTTTAGCTTCTAGTTGTTGATTTTCATCATCTTTTTTCAGCTTCATTTTGTTATTGTTTCCTTTTTCGTTGGCTCACCCATGAACTTGAAAAAATCGTTTTATTAGCCTACAAAAAATAGTACACAGTTCGAAAAAAATAACGATAATTGACAAAATATTCACAATTTTGAGGGTTTTTTCCAAGTGGCAGACGGCAAAAGCGGGAAATTTAGCCAATATTTACAACAAAAAAGAAGCATGGCCAGAAAAGTTCAAAATTTTGGAGGAAAGTGAATATTTCGAGGTTATTTAGTTGAAGAACATGTAGGCGATTGGGATGAGGAGAGCGGCCGAGAAGGAGTACCTGAATGATATTTTATTTTTTGGGTTCAAGTTTCAATATTTGTTTTCAAGATTGAAAGATTTTACTATAACTTTCTTCAATAGGCGTTTCATCCCCAGAAAGGTTTTTGAAAAAAAGACAGAATAGCTGAAAAAGCTCATTTTCAAAGGCCAAGTTGAACAAGTTTTTTTGAATTTTCCTGAAAATGTCACGCAAAATCTCCTTTTTGGAATTTTGAACCGCTTTTTCTTTTTTTTATCTTTTTTTTTCTCCGTTGAATGAAGAGGCGAGGTGGTCATTTTGAGTTTTTTTTTTGTTGCCTAAATGCTTATTTTTCAAACTCACATGGATCCCGAGTTCATGAGCTTGACGATGTCGCCGAGGCCGTTCTTGTCGAAAATGTCGCTGACCATGGCTTCCCACTTGCTCTTGTTCTCCTCGAACTTGGCGGCACCTTCCTGTCGCACCTGAAACTTTCCGATTGAATTAATATTTATTTCTAGTCTCTAATAGATCCCTGAATAGACGCGCTCTTTCATTTTTTCAAGGACATGTCCGAAATTGAAAAAGCGAGGTCGTTTCGCCTCAACCGTGTTGTTTTGGCGAGGCTCCCTCTGTGAAATAAGAAAGGTTACAGTGGTGTTTTCGCCTCCAAACAACTGCGGGAAGAAGTTTCTCGCTTTCCGTTCTTTGTGCGTGTTTTGGAGTCCCCTCAAACATGTCCCGTCTCAAAATCGAAAAACAACCGATCTGCCAAACGAGATGTATCGATTTCGCTGTGTTATACTTTGGTCGAAACAGCTCGATGGGGTGTTTAAAGGAGCATGGAAAATTTCTCTCAAAGGTCTTGCAACGACGAGCCATTTTCAGTGTTATTGAAGGTATTGCAACTTTTTTTTTATCGTCTGAATTAATTAATGTGGACTAGATTGGACTTAACTAACTCAAACCGGATGTTTCTGAGAAATTACAGTAATCACTTAAGGGTTCTGACGCCGTTAAAGGGGTAACTAAACATGCTCCGAGTTGCTTCAAAGAGGCCCGAGAGGTTTGCAGATTTTTTAGCTACAGATTCATTTTTAGTCCTTTTAAAATTTGACTGTAAACATGTCCAGATAAACCTTGGAGCATATGTTATCTTAAGCCAGAGATTGAATTTCTCACGGTTTCAGTTACGTCTTTTTCTTTTTTTTCCGTGCGAAATTGAAAAATTAAAGTTCAAAAAAAAAAAACTAAGAGCAAATCTTTAAAAAAACTCAATTTCTATAATTTATTTCTTCACCAATTTTCTGCTGAACTCTTTTAAAATCTAATCAAGTGCTTTTTGAACCTTTACCCCTTTTTCGTCATATCCCACCAAATTTATGGCATTTTTTCCTTCTACCCATAACTCCAACATAAAAAGTTATTCGGCTCGATTTAGGTTATTTATAGCCACTCCTATAGACGGATAGAAGAAAAGTAGAACTTTTGGAGACGAAAATAGGAGAAATAGCAGAAAAATGTAATATTGCCCAGGGCATTCTTTGAATTGACAAAGGGTGAGAACTTCAGGAGAAAATCAGCATTTCTCTACTGAAATGCTGGACAAAAATCTCCGGGTTTCTTTTCACTTCAGGGGCCACTTTGAGCTTTAAACCCTTTAAAAATAACTGAGACTTTTTCCAGCTTTCACGAAAAAATTCCACTTTTATTCGAGAGAAAATGAAGAAAAATATTTTCTAAATTTTTTTTTCTTTAAAAAAGGTTAATTGAGGGCTCTAGCACGTTTCTAAAACATTCCAGTGTTTTTTTTAAATTTTTTGCGTCTTTCTAAAAGTTCCTAAAATTGCAAAGTCTTTAAGGGATCACTTAGGACTTCTACAGGTTCTCATTAGAAAAGTCATCCGTTTTTTCAACAAAGCAAGAATTAAAATAGAACTTTCCATAATTTCCACTGTTTCATACCGAACTTTATTGATTCGGGGATAACTTCAAGGTACAACTTGAGCCCTATAAAGACCACTTAAAATTGCTTACCAATAATAATGAAGCTAAAACTTCCAAGGTTCTGTTTACCCAAAAAAATGAGTTATTTCGGCGAAAGTGTGTTAATCCCTCGCCAATCCTCTCTCAATAGGGAACAATACCCAGTGCTTTGTTATTTTCATCATATTTTGTATTTGTGTGCTTATTTTGAAGGCAGCAGCTAGTCTAGGAAATGGCAGCTTTTCAGCCGAAAATGTTGACAGAACTAATGATTGGTCCCCTTCTTCTGAAGTTTTTTTTTGCTTTTACTGGCAAAAAAGACTTGAGGATGGCTTGCAAGGGAGCAAAGAGCAGACTATTGCGCGGGTAATGCTCCTTGGAGCGGCAGAAACGGCCTTCTCCCCCAGGGCAAGGAAAATTGCCCGCCACCACCGCTTGTTTCCTTGCACCCACAAAACAATTTCCATCCTCGTCTTTCTTCTGATTCTGATGCATTTTTAAGAGGAGAAAGGAACTAGAATTGATTTGTTGGTGAGTGGAGAGGGTTTTTTGAATTTGAGACGTTTTTCTGATCTTTTGGCTCAAGAGAGTTTCAAAAAAAAAAGCGGAAAAGAGACGGAGGGAAGATAGAAAAATTAATGGGTATTTTTAAACTTTGAAATTTTTTTATAAATTCGCTCTTCCTCCGATTCAAACTATTTGAATTAGTCCGTAAGATATTTCTAGCTAGGAACACTAGAGTGGTCCCTATAGGGCCCTAGAAAATTCCCTCTAGGGGCCTGGCAAAAATGGCCACTCTAGGGAAGCATGCTGGTCGTTTATTTTTATGAAGCTATGAAAATAAGCATCGCTAAGAAAAAAATATCAACAAAAAGTAGAGATATCGCTTTTTGTCCACTACAGGGGCTGGTTTCCCACATCACCCCTATAGGGGCCACTATGGCGTTCCTAAGGATTCTTTGAAAAGGTTACGTTAAGGCTACGAAAGAGATAAGAAAAAGTAATTTTCTTTTCAGAATCTCTTGCTGTACCTTAATCATTAAAAATCTTTCTAACGCCCAAAAAAAGATTTTTAGAGCGAAAAGTTGGGAATTTTCGGGTCTTGACGCGACAGATAAGAGGCTTTGCGCTTTGGAGGTTTTCAGACAGTATCAAACGAAATGGTACTTCTGGTACTTTTTCAAAAATCTACTATATAAACATTTTTTTCTCTAAGCTTTTGCCTTAAGAAAAAAAACCCTAGCTGATTTTATGGACGTTTTTTCGTGTGTTGATCATAAAATAAATCCGTCTTTTCACGAAGGAAACCGGACGCCACGATGAGCGAAAACAACAACCAGGCTGTTGACTGCTCCGCGACGAGTATTTATTTCTTCGCTTTTTCCACTCGACAATAAACAGACCTCCTTCTGGAAGTTGTCGACCTTGGTGGAGAAGGCGTCAACCTGCGCCAAGGTGGCCTTCTGGGCGTCCGAGGCGATTGGGCTCAAAACCTGCAAAAATTCAGAAATTAGTCTTTCTAATTTCATATCCTATAATGGACTTGCAGAGAATCAAGAATTTAAAAAATAACCTGAAGTTTTTCCTTGATCGTGGTGAGAAGACCTTTCACGCGCTCGATGTTCTGCTCGAGCATCTGGAAAAAAAAAAAAGTTTATTTCTGACTTTATGATGGCTCCTTATTGGGATGATTTTTTAAATATCAGGCCAGTTTAGAAGTTTATCAGAAGCTTGAAGGTTTTTATAATATTAAGAAGTCATTTTAGAAGCCTCGAGAGCTTTGGGTAGAGCTTATGAACTTTTAGAGCTATTAGTGAGCACTATAGGGGCAGGAATACTGTTAAAACAATTTATTTTCGTCAATTTACAAATTTATTGCGATATTTCTAGATTTTTTTCCTAGAAAATCCCTTCAAAAATACTTTTTGAAGATGCTCCTCTAGTGATCAAGAGAATTTTCTGGGAATCAGAAGAAAAAGCTTTTTGAACAACAGCCTCAGACCCCTCAAAAGCCGATTGTTCTGAATTCGAAATTTCTCGTTTTGTTTTGGCAACGGAAAATTTTCAACCTTTATTCACAATGAGAAAAGAAAATGAAACCCACAGTCTGATCGTTGGCGAACAGATCCTTGGCATTTTGGTACTGCTTCCCGAAGAAATTGCCAACGTCGCCGGCCAAACCTGAACGCCAAGGCTCATTTCTTTGAAGGACATTTCGAAACGCATTTGGAAGGACATTCGGCGCCTTGATGAGTCTTCATTAAGGCAGTCCCTCTTTCCCTTTTTTCGCATAACGATTAGTGCCGCTCGAAGCGTTTGTGTGACAGGAATGACTAATCGAGTGCACATTTGAAAAAAAAAGGAGAAGAAAACTGCCAAACTGGATCCCCAAAGAGTTTTCTGAAGAGTTGCCACTCTTGAAAAATGATGTGACTTCCAGAGTCAAGGAAGGAAAAAAAGGTCCTTGTGGAAGATTCGATTTGCGATCTTTGACTCATACAATTAGGTGGATTCGAAAACTAAATTCAGACTGAAAGTGTAACAGGAATTAGAAACTTAGGGAATAAAAAGGAAAATCAAAAGGATTTTAAAAGAAACTTAGGAAACAAAAAGGAAAACAAAAAGGATTTTAAAGAAAGGTTAAAAAGGAATTTTCCAGTGCAGTTGCGAGCAACCGCGCTGCACGACCACTCAAGGGGTAAACCAAAGGGACGAGGAAGCGCCCTCGTCGCGGCGGTCAAAACTAATCGTTTTTTTGTTGATCTTCTTTTTTTAAATTTTTTTGTTTCTTCGTTAAAAAAAGAGCGGGAAACGAATGGAAAGGTTTTTTTAGGGAAGAGTCTCCTCAGTCGCAACTTTTTGTTTGGTTGTTTGACGGGCAAACTCGGTTAATGTAGAGGTTTTTGGTTGAGCTGAGCTCCCTTGGTTTCCCGCTCTCCCTTGTTATTCCACAGGATCTCGTTTTTCGTTCAATTTGAACACTAGGGTTTACTCATCTGTTTTTTTGGATTGAGATTTTTGGATTTAGTTTTTCATTGGAATTTACCCATGTTGGCCGGGGACAATTTCTTTCTTAGATGGAAGGCGCCCCCAGGGTTAGTTCTAGTCGTTAGCTAATTAGCACTCAGGATATCAGGACTAGGAATCTTTTGGAAAGGTAGTCACAATCCAGGCTAGGTTAAGCTAGGGATCTCTTCGACAACTAGGAGCACGTGTTTTTTTCCCATTTTTGTGTATGGGTTTTTTTGTACATGTGTGATTGGTGCCTCCCCTCTAACTGTATTTCCGGTATTTTTCGTGTAATAACCAGGTCATAAAGATTTTTGTATTTGAAGCGTTTGTTTGATGATGATGAACCAAATTTATCTGGGATCAACGCCATCAACCCCAGGTTGTCTCGCTTGGAATCTGTCCTTTTTAGGGGAGACTCCGGGGCCAGTCGGCGACATGGGGGCCGAACCAACATCATCATAACGCATCAAAATCTTTATTGTTTCTATAATTCCTCGGATACAATTTAATTATCGGATTACTATGCACTCGCATTCGGAAATGTTCGCGTTAATTGAACTTGACAGGAAAAAGGTTTAATTACCCAAGTTTGAGGTGTCCAAGCGTAACCGGGCAAACGGAAAGCTATGGCGTCGCCAATCCAGTCATCGGATGATGAGTTGTCGGTACCGACGGAGGACGTCAGAGAAGAAGAAGGCTCAGACGCAGGACAGGAAAAGGATCCACTGGAGGTAGTTACCAAGGATTTTTCGAAATTTTTCAATAATATCATTGATTTGAAATACAAGGACCTTGCTAGGAAAAATAAGCTGAAACTGGAATTCCTAGAAAAGCTGGAAAAGGTGCTAGAAAAAAGGGAACAGGAGATGTTACAGGCCCAAGGACCTGAGGCAGAGGATCAGGAAGCTAGATCAAGGAAGGGCTCGACTTCCACGGAGTCGTCTGCTGGTAGGCATAGGCTAGCTAGTGTTGGAAGTAGTAAGAATCCGCAGGAAAGGGCAACAGGACCAGCCTTTTTGTCGTCAGACAGCGAAGAAGAGCACAAGGAGAAATCGCACCGATTCGCCAAGGAGCGCAACGAGATCCCCGACAGGACGAGTCTCGAGACAGGAGGAAGTCTCAGGGTGAGCATCTTAATTTTTACGGTTGAAACTCCGATTTTTGGCTTTAGACCAAGGAGATAGGAAATATAAGTCTGAGCAGGTTGCGCGCGAGGACTGTAGTGAGACCCAGGAGTCCTGAAGATGCTTCTGCGCGCTATCAACGAACAAAATAGGATTGCAGCGAACCAGGAACGTAGATCGTTGCTTAGAGATCCGAAACCGTTCAATAGAGAGCAAGGAACCGCTAGAAATAGGACTTTTCAAGAATTTGCGGATGAATTTTGGAACCTTTATGGCCCAGCGGCACTTTCTGAAGACGAAAAGATTGTTATTTTGGGCCAGAAACTGAAAGGCGAGACAAAAACAGCTTTCAATTCTTTGCCCGCAGGAATAAAAGCGCAAGGACTAGCAGCTATTCTCACGGAACTTGCCGACCGTGAGGAAAAGAAGAGCAACTCTTTAGTCATTGATAGGCTAACTAAGGTCAGCAAACTTAGCTTTGTCAGAGTAGCCAATGTAGAGGAAGCATGCTTTTTGATTGAGGACCTTCTTCCAGCAGAAGGAATGACGGCTAGAGCCAAGGATTTAGAGAGGGCTGGATTCCTCTGTGTATTGCTAGCTAGCAAATGGTCGTCCACAGACATTTCGTTGTTGCGCAATGAGATGGACCGTGTCCAACCTGGTGAAGTTTTTGCTGCTATTCACCAGCTTGCACTCAGTATTGAGCGATCGAAAAACATGATCGATGTAGGAAGCCGGAGTTTTTGGAGGGTTGAACCTTTTTGCAAAGCGTAGACCTTGGAGAAAGGAGCAGGAAAATTTTGCAAACCCCAACCGGCCTGGGCTAGAGGAAGAGCAGGAGCACCTTCCGGCTAGAAAGTGGACGAACCAAAGTGGAAACAAGTCGTTTAGTCATGGACATGATCAGGCAAACGCAGGTTTCAGAAATTTCTCGCGAGATAGAAATAGAAGATCCTTCCATGGTGACAGGAAAGGACCTAGTGGCCGCGCCCTGGCGGACACTACTTGTTTTGGATGCGGCGAAAAAGGTCACCTCAGGCCGAATTGTCCAAATAGACAGGGAAATACTTCCCAGAGAAAGGAGCAGGTATCCGGAGCCGCTTCTAGACATTGGGTCAGGCTCGTACAGGTGCAGGATGAGGACGTTCCGACGGCGCCGCGCGCTGCAGATTCTCCCCGCGAAATTTTGAGCATTCAAAACCAAACGTTCAGTGCGTTAGTTGACACAGGTGCACAAGTGTCGCTAGCTCCAGCTCATTTTTTTCGGAAGACCAAGCAGCGAGGGAATCGTTTTTTTGACAGCCCCGTACATTCAAAGCCTCATAAAAACCTACCCAGTTAACCCTTTTTGAACGCTAGTAGTGAAGGAATGAACGTTGTTGGAGAAACAGTTCTCAAAGTTCATCTCCCTAGATTTAAGCGTTGTGTTAAAGTACCTTTTATACTAGTCCAGGACTTGAAGGAATTTATTGTCGGAATGAACCTAGTTGAAGCTTGTAGAGACTTCTTGGACATTGACCTAGTAAAAACGACGAACCCATTATTGACTATTAGGGAAGGATTAGTCGTGCCGGCAGGAACTGAAGTTTCCATGACCATAGGTAATGTTCCAAAAGGAGAAGCTGTGCTTTGGGGAAATAGACCTGAAGTACCAGACCAAATTGTTGAAGGCTCTGGTGAAGGAAAAGCCGTAGTTAGGATAGTTAACAGGACTAAAACTGACCTCCAATTACCGGCAGATACCCCGATTGGACTAGTAGAGGTAGTAACTTGTTCAAAAATGCATCTTTTGCCGGAGCAATTTAGGATGCACTTTGAAGGAAGATGGAATGACGAAAACCCGTCAGAAATCATCTCAGTTTTGGAACAAACTAGTGGAAAAACCTTGTCGGAAAAGGTGAAAAAGTTAGTTTCCAAGTTTACTGATGTTTTTGTGCAGGACGACAAGGACTTGACGCAGACGCCAGTTTTTACTCATGATATCGAGCTTTTAGATGATAGGCCGATTAGACAAAAGACTAGGCATATCCCTTTCGGACTAAGGAATGAATTCAGGAAAACCTTAGACGAAATGTTGAGTAAAGGAGTAGCAGAACCAAGTAGTTCGCCTTACGCGTCTCCAGTTGTCCTAGTCAAGAAAAAGGATGGTACTATTAGGGTCTGTATAGATTATAGGGAAATCAACAAGGTTATCAAACAGGACTCGTACCCCCTACCTAAAATGGACTCTATAGTGCAGGACTTAGGCGGAAATAGGTTTTTCTCGACTTTGGATCTTTTAGCCGGCTATTGGCAGATCCCACTCACTGAGAAAGCCAAGGAAGTCACGGCTTTTACGACCTCAGAAGGTCTTTTTCAATTTACGGTCCTCCCGTTCGGTCTAGCCACTTCGCCACCAACTTTTCAGCGAATGATGGAAATAGTGCTTAAAGATCTGATCAGGGACGGAGGTGTCCATTGTTACATTGACGACGTTTTGGTTGCCTCAAAGACGGAAGAAGAACACCTAGAACTTCTAGAGAAAGTCTTGGACGCTTTTAGAAGAGCAGGACTGAGCCTTAAAGCTAGTAAATGTAAAATAATGCAACAACAGGTGAAATTCCTAGGCCAAATCATTGACAGCAATGGCGTAAGTACGGACCCAGAAAAGATCGCAGCCGTAAAAGACTTCCCTCAGCCTAGTAAGCGCGACGAATTACGCTCGTTTTTAGGACTTTGCTCTTTTTATAGAAAGTTCATCTTCAAGTTCGGAACTATATGCAAACCGTTGTATGAATTGATAAGCGAGAAAGTAAAATTTGAATGGACTACGGAAACGTTAGCCGCTTTCGACCATATCAAGCAGGAGTTAATTAAAGCACCAGTTCTTGCGCAACCGGACATAGAAGGAGCAATCAACGGATCTAAACCTTTTATCATCTACACAGACGCTAGTAGGAAAGGTATAGGAGCAGTTCTGTGCCAAAAAGGTATTGATGAGTTCTTGCACCCGATTTTCTTTTCTTCAAAAGGACTTTCGGCGGCAGAAGTTAGGTACGGAATAACTGAACTGGAGGCGTTAGGAGTCATCCACGCGGTTAGAAAGTTCCATCAGTTCATTTACGGAATAGGAGCCACTGTGAGGACTGACCATCAACCTTTGTTATGTTTCTTTAAGAGAGGTGAACTCAGTCCCAAAGTCATGCGCTGGGCGTTAGATGTGCAGCGTTATCAAATCAACCTAGAATACGTGAAAGGCAAAGCTAACGTAGTCGCGGACGCACTATCGCGAGGCCCAACGCAGATCCTGGAAATTGATCCGAACGATCAGGACTATGTAGTAGCCGCTGTGAAACTTGAACTCGACAGGACTGAGGACGAGCAATGGTTAGCAGAGCTCAGAGAAGACCAAGATTGGACCGAAGCCGTAGCAGCCGTAGAACAAGCTAATGACAGTTTTTCTCTTAAGTTACCAGGAATAGAGAAAGACCTTACAATCAATCACTTGGGAGCGGTTCGCAAGGCTCTACAAGTCAAGGATAGAAGAGGGCTGATCGTGACATCTTTTCCGACGTCGGAGAATGCGGCCGAAGAGCAGAAGTTGGGGGCCCCACATGGTTTTTTTGGACTGGCACCTCAACAACCGGCTCGGGATCAAGCGAGGTCAGCTCAGGAGATCGAAGGTTTCTTCAAGAAACTAGCCTGTTTCTGCGACGAAAACGCGTTCCCGCGGCTCTCCATTTCGCTCCACAGGTAAAAACTCAACCTTTGAATAGGAAAGGATTAGGTTCTACTGAGTTTTTCTTTTGGATTAGTAAAGCGCAGGAATAATTTTGGACTGTCGGCCGGGACGGCCTTTTCCTGGGCGGCCGGCATGTAACAGGAATTAGAAACTTAGGGAATAAAAAGGAAAATCAAAAGGATTTTAAAAGAAACTTAGGAAACAAAAAGGAAAACAAAAAGGATTTTAAAGAAAGGTTAAAAAGGAATTTTCCAGTGCAGTTGCGAGCAACCGCGCTGCACGACCACTCAAGGGGTAAACCAAGGGACGAGGAAGCGCCCTCGTCGCGGCGGTCAAAACTAATCGTTTTTGTTGATCTTCTTTTTTTAAATTTTTGTTTCTTCGTTAAAAAAGAGCGGGAAACGAATGGAAAGGTTTTTAGGGAAGAGTCTCCTCAGTCGCAACTTTTGTTTGGTTGTTTGACGGGCAAACTCGGTTAATGTAGAGGTTTTGGTTGAGCTGAGCTCCCTTGGTTTCCCGCTCTCCCTTGTTATTCCACAGGATCTCGTTTTCGTTCAATTTGAACACTAGGGTTTACTCATCTGTTTTTGGATTGAGATTTTGGATTTAGTTTTCATTGGAATTTACCCATGTTGGCCGGGGACAATTTCTTTCTTAGATGGAAGGCGCCCCCAGGGTTAGTTCTAGTCGTTAGCTAATTAGCACTCAGGATATCAGGACTAGGAATCTTTTGGAAAGGTAGTCACAATCCAGGCTAGGTTAAGCTAGGGATCTCTTCGACAACTAGGAGCACGTGTTTTTCCCATTTTTTTTTGTGTATGGGTTTTTTTGTACATGTGTGATTGATGCCTCCCCTCCTAACTGTATTTCCGGTATTTTCGTGTAATAACCAGGTCATAAAGATTTTGTATTTGAAGCGTTTGTTTGATGATGATGAACCAAATTTATCTGGGATCAACGCCATCAACCCCGGAGTTGTCTCGCTTGGAATCTGTCCTTTTAGG